TATGTGTTGATACTGCCGTCACTGGAATGACTTGACAAGTTTACAAAATATTGATTTTCATATTGATATTTTAAACTCCCATCACATAGGGCCAATACTGTGTGGTGTCTTCACGCTCATCTTACTCTTTGGCCAGTGTCCCTATATGTTAGATACTGTAGTTATTTCAACTTTGCTTTATGTTTTTTAGCTTGCTTTTTTATTTTGTAAACTTACTGTCAGTACTTTGCTGGTAGGTTGTTGGGCTTCTAGTACAAGACTTAGAATGACTACATTTTACTGGCTTACTGAACCCATTCCAGAGGTAGTGTAAAATCTAGTTGTCTCTGCTGATGAAAGTATGCACAGTACACAGTAAACCTCCTTAGCAGAGATCAGGAAAGTGTATCCACCACATACTTTCAGGTGCGCACCACATACTATCAGGGGAGCACTAAGTACTATCAGGTAAGGGACCCATATAGTATACACCACATCTTTCCATAGAGATCCAATAAATCTGAACACACTGAAAAGAATGGAAGGTGTTGTTTGTTTTAGGTCAAACAGAGTTTCAGTTTGAATTCAATTCTTTGATAATTTTTTGTCTCAGTATTAATTCATGGTGCAAAGGTGATTAAGAAACAGCATTAGATTAGAATATTGACTTAACAGAGTTAACGCTCATGCTTTAATGTGGATTTATAATCAATTCAACAGTTGATTGCTGTCTGGGCAGTGGCAGCTCTAACCTATCTGTATTGTGTATTATTAAATATGTGTGTTTCAGTAAAAGTCCCTAAGCATATAGTCTAAAGACAGCAAATAAAGTCCAGAGCTGCAGTAGATGGGGCAATTGTATGCAGCTGGTATCACATAGGTGGCAATACAATATTATACTGGAATATTAATAATTAAATAATTTTTAACAGAAAGATTGTTATTTATACAGATTATTTGGCTTTGTCTGCATAAAGTTTCCCATTAATTATTGAGACACACTAAGTGTGGTATAAACAAAAAAAATGTTACTTCTTGAACAATTAAGGTATGGAAATGTGCCTTTGGATCGGCTTTAGGTCATTTGAGGGACAACTTGGTGCACAATTTAGAATTTGCTTTGTAGATTCTGAGTAGTTTTACACTTATTTGCACAGTTAATTTGTTGCACTATTTCTAAACATCTGTTTTATTTGCTTCTATTTTGAAAAACGAGCAAACACACCAGACTCTGAGTACCAGTTTGTTTATGTACTCAGTTGTTAAGTGTTTATTTATTGAGTACCTCTTGTTCTACTTCCAGCACTGGTCTCCCCAGTCCTCCAAAAAGAAAGATGTGAAGCATAGTCAGAGTAACATTGTTGATGATGTTGCTGTAGGGAGTTTATAACTTGGCACATAACAGTATTCAGTTATCGCGTGTAGTCTGTGTGGAGTATTTTATAACGGTTTAAAACGCGGCTCAGACAGTCACGTCGAGTTGCTGTGAGTATTTAGTGGGTGAGTGGGTTTGGGCATGTCATAAATTGTGCAAGTACAATTCGGTCTATGAGTTTCTGTACTTTTTGCTTTGCTATCTTTATTTTCTGTTTTGTCTTCCAGGGCAGTTGGAGTTAATATTTTAAAATTAATAAATTCATATAGCCGGTCAAAGCATACTGTCATTTATTACACTGTTTCCCTGTGAGGTTGAGGTTCATTAAGTTTACTTTTTGTCTTATTTTTCTTCAGGAAAAAAGTCAACGTTTTTAAAATAAATATTCAATTTCATATGGAGACAAATGCAGGTTTATGCAAAATTAGCCTGAAGTTTGAAAAAATAGCAGGTTAATAAAGGTTGACAGATCATTTAGGCTGATAATGTAAAAAAAAAAGTCTTTAACCTATGAACTGCACACTCAGTTACAGTAGCTGGACTTACCTTGGTTAGAGGTGTGAAGTGTCACCGAGCTGCCTCTGAGTGTCTCTGCTCTGGTATATTTGCACTGCTCTGTCTGTCTCCTAAGCCATGAGCTCATTCTACTTTCACTTTCAGTCTTAGGATGTGAGTGTGTGTGTGTGTGTGTGTGTGTGTGTGTGTGTGTGTGTCGGGGGGTAGGGGAGTGTATATGGGCAAGGGAGGATGATCTAATACAGTCACTTGTCTGGCCAGGCAAGCTGACTTTCAGTCACAGGGTGAGTGTAAAGGAAAATAAAGCTCAGAATTGTCAGAGAAAACTCTGACAAGACTTTGCAAAGATTATCTGAAATCGCAGACTGTGTATAGAGAAATTAATTATAAATAACATTCAGGCATGAGCTGACTATGCCCGGGGTGCTCCAGGTGGAAGTCAGCAGTAAGACAAAGATCCAGAATGTCCTCCACAAGAACCCATGAACGCTCCTCTGGGCCACATCCCTCCTAGTCAGCCTGGTAAAACAGCCTCCACCCCGACGCCTGGTGTCTGTATACCAGGGAGCTGTTCGCATTAAGTGGAGGAGGGGCTCCACCTCATCCCCAAGCTTTTCCTTAAAAATAAGCTTCTATGAGCCTCTTTCTCTGAAAGTTTAAAGTCTGTCCTGCACTCTCTTTGAAACTCCAACTACTGCAGTCCTCCTGCTCCCTCTGCTGGACAGACAGTGCTACTGTAGACCTTTCACAGTCTGTGGCCTTCATAGAAGTGCAGTTTTTACAGTTCTGGTCAATAAACTTTGATTAAACAGCAATGTGTGCTAAATTCACACATAATACACAAATATATGTCAGCATTATGTACAAAAATAAGTTTATACAAACTGATGACTGACTAGCCTGTTGTATGCATAACAAACAGTTTGCTGGTAATTTTTTACATTTATTCTTACATTGTTTTTCCTCACACAAAGACATTTTCACCACTTAAACACTCAGTTTGTTTCTGTGTCTGTCATTTGTAATTGGAAAAGAAGAACAGAAATAGTTTAGCTAAACACACATGCTCTCTATTTCCCGCATTAATCTCCACTACAGTCTTTCACATTTCTGTGATCCTAAGTTACTTTTACAGCAAATTACGTTTGGTTTCATCTCATTTGAAGAAGAAGTGTTCTGATCATTTAGGTCCATTCAAATTTTCATCAAAGATGATTCTTAAACATTGTGGTCAAACTGACTGGTGTTTACTGCATCATCTGAAAAGGTTTACCTTAATTAATATGTGCACATATTTTACAGCAGAGTAATTTCTGTTTTTCAATTCCAGAGGATTAATTCAGATCTCCAGCAGCTCATCTGCATAGAAAAACAGCTGCTTTCTGCCACATGGGGGCACCATTTCCCCAGTAGGCCTGGGGAAAATGAGCCCCCATGTGGCAGAAAAATGTACTGAGGAACAATGTACAGCCTGATTTAAAAAAAGGGATGTGGAACTGAGTTCAGCACAATCTGGTAATTTCCATGTTCTAGGATACCAACCAAACCTGGTAATTATCTGATGAATTAAATCAAGTGTGCATGAGCGGGAAAATCACTGTGCCCTGTAGGACTGAAATCTCCCACCCTTGTTTTAAAATCTGAAACCGTGTTTTAAATTATTTAGCCTAATTACTGGCTAAAAGTCTGCATGTTTTTAATTAGTCATGTTAATTCTTTTAGTATTAGAGTTTGTTCATATTAGCAGGAGAGCTGTGCTAAAGATGTGGCAAGTGGGCTTGTGAGATGTCCCTATGTCTAGGTAAGTTCATAATCAGAGATAAACAGTTAAAGGTAAATAAAAAACAAATATATTTATAATTCAATATGGTAAAAAATTATATTCCAAATGTATTTGTCAAATATATTTTTGCAGTGTATGAAAATTGCCAAAAGTTTGTAAAACATTAATATATTTAAATATACATGAATTGAATGAACTGTACTGTGATCTGCACTGTACATTAACCATGTACGTCTGCAGTCAGACTCTCACACACAATGTATTTCACATAACCAAGATATCAGATCATAACTGCATTTTCACAGAGCATCAATACCCACAACATTTGCTTCTGTCCTGTTAAAGGATCATCTGATCAGATTTAAAATGAAGATACTGGAACACAAATTCATTTCTAAAGGTATCAGACAGTGAAGAGCATCAGACAGGATATTGGATATTTTCATACAGTTTTAAATGGGTTTGATAAACACATTTACATACATTTTAAAATAAATGCATTTTAAAATATATGGCAATATATTCTGAAATACATTTTAATGTTTGTGATGTATTTGGTTTGCAATATATTTAACATGTATTTCAAATACATAAAAATGCATGTCCATATATTTTTTCCATATGGTATAGTATGAACTATGTTTTTTTTTTAATTCTGCTCAAAGGAATTTTTTATACAATATCACTTCTTTATTTGTGTGACTTACGCAATAATGGACCGAGATGTACTCATTGTTTTATTTTGGTTTGGGTGCTTCTTGAGGACACTAGGTTCCCTTGCACATCATAATCAGCAAACAACACAGATATATCGCTGCCATTGCAGTTTTGTGGTAAAATGACAGACAATAAACTACAAACACAAACTTTACTAAACTGCACTTTTTAATTACTATATTTAACAAAGATGAAGCCACAACGCAGCCGCTTATCCCTGTTTTTGCTTGCATGTCAAGCTGCAGTGTTACGGGCCGTCACACAAAAACATGCACATGATTAAAAGAAAATGAGAATGAATTGCTAATCATGAGAACAAATTAAGAAATCATGGCCACAAACACGAAATTTTCACCCCTGGCCCCTCTGGGGATCTGTACAAAATGCAGTTTTTCAAAAAATGAAAAAATAAAAAAGTGAAAAAAAGCTCCAAGTGTATCTGGTAATAAGTCCACAAACATTAACAACATTACAGTAGAGGCCTTTATTGAATTTTAATTAAGGTCCAGTTTGAGAAAATTTCCTCAAGCGAAGGTCCGGAACATCATAATGTCTAACTTGCAGTATGACTCAGTGCCATATACTGTTTACTGAAGTAGCCTAGTAGGTATATCAACATCTTATACAGTCAACAACTGAATATCAAATCAAATAAAGCACAATTCAGTCATATTTCAACAACATTTATTGTCCGTTTTCTCTTTTTAGATCACGCCCTGTGACATAACCTCCCTCTGACTCACTCGAGTGTCAGAGCTCATCGTAATGCATAGATCTGATTGGCTGAGTAGCGTCACGTGTGATATTTATAATGTATGCAATTGGTCTGTGAGTCTCCTGGGTCGCTAAAGCTACCATAAAGGTTAGAAAAGTTACGCTGATTAAAATAGAACCACCCTGCCTAAATTAAATAATTCTCCATAATTTATCAGTTACAGGTCCATATAGCGTCTGGGTCTGGAGTCAGACTACGGTCCGCCTATTAGTGACCTCTGAACTAGAGGCTCAACTTTCAAGTCCTAATTTAAGGATTTCAACTTAAAACATGAGCTCAAAATGCTCAAAACATGGACCAGCATTCATACTTGAATGTCTTTAACTTTTATAAAAAGTAAAAACTTTTACACAGGCCACATTTTATGTTTATTTTTTCAATATGTTAAATTAATTAAACAGTAATTGTACATTAAAGTCGGATGGTCTCTGTAGAAGATGTGCTTTTCACTTAAAAATGTAATTTGACTTTTATCTTTTTATTTTTTTTAGCATACGATTGGTCCAAAGAGATCACTAGATATTATCTGAGTTATTGTCACCAAATGAACAACATAAAATCTGCTGTGAAGTTTTTTTATATGTATGACTTTTGGTTACGTCTTTTAGTTCAATGTCAAATACATCGGAGTGAAGGTTAAGAGAACCATAACTAAAATAAAAACAGTGTTATCACTTCCTGCTTTGGTCCGGATGAAAGGAACTGAAATACAAATGTAAATGCACCATTAAAGAGAAACAGAAAAGACAAATGAGAAAGAACGAGAGAGAGAGAGAGAGAGGGAGAGAGGACTCTGCAGTATCTCTCACATAAACGTAATAATAAACTCTACACAGACACTATTCTATCTCACGTACATGTACTGAGGAGTCTTCACCAACCCAGAGCCCAGCACAGAGCGGCTCAGTGAATTTAGTGTTGAATGTGTATAAGTGGGTCAGGGTCTGTGTGTCGGGTGAGACGCTGTAGAAGGACAGAGCGCCAGCCAGCCAGTCCACATACACCCCTATTATAGGGGAACTGGAGGGAGGGTCAGGTATGACAGTCCTCGTATTATTGTGACAGACAGAGTAACTGTTATTATAACAGTTCAGACTCCAGGATGTGTCATTATTTCCAAACAGACAGTCACAGTCTCCTTTCCTTTGGATCCCTCTGTACAACACTGATATAAAAGCCCTCTTTCCCGTCCACTCAGCCTCCCAGTAACACCGTCCAGTCAGACTCTCTCTACACAGAACCTGTGGATGGTGTTCAAATCGTTCTGGATGGTCTGGATACGGCTGCTCCTCTCCAACGTTCTCCACCTTTCTGTTCCCCTCAGACACAGAGAGGCCTCTGTGTGCTGTGTTTGGGTCCAGAGTGAGAACACAGGCATCTGTACACACACACAGATTAGAGGAGACAAAATGAAGAGCAGGAAGAGAAAACTGTTCCCTCTAAGACCCCCAATAACAACTAATATGTGCATTGCAGTAGATTAGTTAGTGGCCATTTTGCAGATGATTTATAAAGGCATGTGTACAAAGTTGTAGAAAACAATTTGTAAATAAGGCCTTGGCACAGGGATGTTCAGTGGGCATGTAAATATCTAGAGTTCAGCTCAGTTCATCGCAGGATTTTTTTGGGGTACCCTCCCCTAACCTGTTTAATTTTTACTTTATTTAATATGAAGATCTGTGCCTCAACAAAACGTACAGGAATTCAGCATTGCTGGTTGTCATGCCTTGTAAAAACAATCACAAATAAACAAGAGAAGAGTGAAAATGCTGCTCGTAAAAAAAGGAACCAAAGACGTGTTTCCCTAATAATGCCATTCTTCAAGTCTCTACACTTTTCCTCTCTCTCCACATCAGCTATCTCTTCCACCCATCTCCTCTCGAATGTCCTGCTTACAGACAATAAATTTCTCTCTCTACAAAGGACACACTTGCCATTTTTCATGTTCATTTATTTGCTTAGGTTTACATATTGGGAACAAATTATAATATAAAATGTGCCTGTTGTACAGGCCATATTTTATGTTTTTTATCAATATTTTAAATTGAGTAAATAAACAGTAGTTGTACAAATTAATTGTACAGTAAAATGTGGACGTTCTCTGTAGAGCATGTGTTAACTCATTTTCACTTAGAAAATCAGCAAAACGTGATTTAATCAGTTAATTTGTCAATCAGTTTGTGGTAAAACTAAAAATGAGGGAGTTAAGAGAGATATGGTAGGACATAAGAAGAAAACTTTGGTAAATAAAGGCAGGTTCAGTTGACAACAGGACAGTTCAGTTTATTTTATTACCTTGATCTCATGACATGAATGAAACGTAACTACAGTAGAGCTGTAGCAACTCATAATACATCTTCTGTAGGAAAGGTACTTGTAAACTTGTAAACATACTTGTAAACACATACTCAATAGGACGAGTTGGTCATGAGGGAGCTGAATCAGTGCATACGTTTTTTTTTGTTGTTTGTTTCTCCACGAGAGCAGAGATAAACAAAGGGCATTTCAGAGCCGAAAAGGGATCCCTGCAACTGTTTATTCACAGTAACACACCAGTGATTGTTATGCCGAACATAACAATGATCAGAGTACAGCTCTAACTGACTTGTGTGTTCATTATTCTGTTCCAATAGTGTTGAAAGAACCTTACATTGAGAAAAAGCTGGCTGAAAGCTCAGTTACTTTTTTGACCAGATTATGTAGTTTTACTTGATAAAATATTGGGTAGGTCCTCAGACAAGCCCTAATACCTGCCATGAAAAAGGCCTGGTCCAGGTATTTTTTTTCCATTTTTTTTACCTTTAGGCTAGTTTTTAAAAGCTTATAATGATTATAATTGCTTAATGGTGTCTTCAGTTTCTCTCCATTTGCATTCTCATTGCCCTATATTTTGGAATACTATGAACAACATAATGCATCTGTCTGTAATTAGATTAGCTTGCACTTCTCTTGCAGGTGTTGTCAAGTTTGCATGTTTTTACACATGCAAACCCTTAGTAAACCAGGGTATCAGTGTTACAGTTTTAACCTGTAATGAATGTATAAATGTGTGTGTGTGTGTGTGTGTGTGTGTGTGTGTGTGTGTGTGTGTCAACATTACTCTGAAAACAGTGAACTTACATTTCTTCAGTCCTGGTTTCATCCTGATTTCCCCTCCATATTCCATCCTAAAGAAGAAAAGAACACAAAAAAATACTCAGAGAGAAGAGTTTTCTCTTCCTATAACCATTTCCACCCTCCCTCTATTTCTCACTCTCTTCTCTTCATATTCTCTCTCTCTCTCTCTCTCTCTCTCTCTCTCTCTCTCTCTATAACCAGTCAGTAATATCCAGCACGAATACACAAACCAGGCAGTTACTTTCAATTGTATGTGTAATTAATCTACCAATTATCTTGACAATTCATTAAGTAATCATAATGCTTTCTAAAAGGGTTAAATGATAAAAAATGAACTTTACTGAACAATAACAAACAATAAATAGCCTTTCAATGACTGTAAGGTCACTTACAAGAGAAAGATAAATGAAACGAAAATCAACGAGTTATTGTCTGAAAATTTTTGAATTAGGCCATTATTTTTCCATCTCCATAGATCCACAACAAACGTATGAAGTGTTCTATTCTAAATATAAGCAATTTTCACTCCTGGACAGTAAATGAACATATCAGAATACAAAAACATTCCTCATACCTTTATCCTAATAGATACCAAGTCATATGCAAAACCCTGGTTTCAAAACTTGGAATCAAATTAAAGCAATCCATTTATATTTCTCATATGGTTTAAATGATTATGTTAAAGCATCTCTGGCTCTCTTTGTACAGGCCACATGTTTTAACTTGTTTTTTCAGCCTTTCATCCTCAGGTGGACAATAACAGAATAATTTTCAGGATATGCACAGTTTTGTTAAGTTTTATACAATGTTCAGGCTGTGTTGTGTAGGCAACTAGTGACCATGGGAGACACTGCAAAAACAGTGTCAAATAACACCAGGCAAGAGAGAGACTACACTTCTATTTTGAAGCAAAAAGAGGTAACTGATGACAAAACAGAAGGCAATCTTGTTATCAGCTCTTCAACAGTGTATCAGTAAAAATCATCTCAGTAAAATTGTAGAGTCCTGTAGTAGAGGAGCAGGTGAATCTGTATCATCGTATGTTGCTATGCTGAAACACCAAGCATCACAATGTGGTTCTGGCACTGTACTGGAAGAGCGTCTTGAGTCCACATCTGCATTGTCATGACAAACCAGCATCTCAAGTTCTCCTCTCAAAAGAGGAACAGGGTCACCTGTTGTTTTGGAGAAGTGTACTAGCTTACAAGCTCCAAGAGCACACTCACTTCCCCAGAGGTGGAAAAGGAATCAGTACAAAATTGAGTCATGATGTTCATATGAGGCTCTCTTTCTTATAATTCATAGTGTGTTTCAACTATACTCAGTTTATAGTTTTGTAGTTTGAGATGAATTAGTTGGTTACATTAAATATTTGCATATTATTTATTATAGTTAGTGTCACAGGACATGCCAAGCGCAGAGCTTTTGGGCATTTAGTCACTAGTTTATTTATTACTGTCTTTGTAGTGTGTGAAAGTCTTACTGGAATGAGGTGTTGAAGTGAAGTAAACGTGCTTTGGTGTAACTGTGTGGCTAGAGCGCACGCCGGGTCTCAAAGGCAGACAAAGGAGACGCTAAACACTGACATGCTCAAACAAAGGAACCTCTTCAAAGGAAATACTGAAGAAACACAAAACCACCCTCAAGCTTGAGGGGAAAAACGAACACAGAATGTGAATAAAACTCTGATACTATTAAGGGTGAGAGCTGAGCTGGACCCCAGTCCAGCTCACTAACCTCCCTTGATGTTATCTTTTCTTTTGGATCTCTGTTCAAACTATTCCTCTTTAGATTCTCATTTTTTTCTATTTTTTTATTTTCTTTTATGTTGCTAGCTTTAGTGCTTTTTTCTTTTCTGCTTCTTTCTTTCTTTTTTTCTACCCACCTGGGCTAAAGTATCATACTGGTAACCCATCTATAAAGGTGAAACACTGAGCTGCAGTTTGCACAAGCTTTTTTGCAGCATTCCCTAGGTGCAACCAGTCAGCACTGATTAGAACTAGGGCTTCTGGGAGTTGAAGTTTTTGGAGTCGCATCTAGCAGCTCTCCTGGCACAATGCCCAGGCCCCCTGCTGCTGTCTGTATCTGTAATTCACTAACCCTCTAGACCCCACGGCGGCCTCTGCTGACCTCTCTGCATTTCACTACGGGTGGCCATGATTTGATGAGGTGAATTTTGACAGAAAACACAATTAGAGCCTTGTTCGACATGGACTACATTCTGTTATAAAACTTTATATGCATTTGTACAAATCTTTTTACAAAGAATCCCCCAGTGAGGGCTTGCAGCTCTGGCAACTGACATGGTGGCTGCTTGACGGTGAAGCAGCAACCAATCCAAACCCCATTCCACTATCATTCTTAAAATTATCTGTTCAAGAGTAGATTGACTTTTAATGCCAGAATAAGTCACCAAAACAGAAACCTGAAGAAAAAATGTATTCTGCCGACGGGAAAAACAAAAACACTGAGTCAACCTTCTTCCAACAATGTAAGCTCGCAGAGGCTAATGCTAAAACTAGCCCTGAGCCCAGATTGGAGGACAAGGATAGAGCAAGTGCAGTAATACTAACCAAGCTTAAAATGTACCCAACAGAACAACAGAAAGCTGACAACAATGACATCAGCTATGACCTCTCTGGAACAATCCATCAAGAAAATGGGGGAGCGTCTGATTAACCAGGTAGAGGAATAATCTGCCCATATACTTGCCTGCTAGGCTACCTGCTGCAGCATGAGAGACAACTTGAGTTTAGATGTGAAAAGTTAGTAAGTTATACAAGGAGGACCAATTTGTAGATTTATCGTGTTATTGAAGGCTCAGAGCTGGGGAGACATGGTGCATGGTGAGCTATTGGATATACCGTTGGACTAACAGGTCTCTCTGCTTAGTCCGGCTCATGAGACCTCAAGGTTGCTTGTTGTTAGGTTTGTCAACCACCAATATAAGCAACAGGTGTTGGCTAAAGCTTGGAGCTAAACCTAGATCAGTCGTTACACTAGCATCTGTATTCCACATTTTGTTGATACTGCTCACTTCCCATAAAACATTTCCAAGTTTCAGTTAACTACAGTATGTCCTTCTGGTGAATGTCATGACTCTAGTTCTTCTATGCATACCTGTTAATGTAATCTCTCATCTAATGCCTTATTTACCTTGTTATTAATATCCAGTCAATAAATTACCCTTTACTAAAGTTATCCTTTATTTGGCTGTACTAAATTATCACATCTGGTTAACCTGTCCCAACATGAGTTATGGTATAAGTGTGAAATAAGTGAATTAAGTGGCATTATGTTATGAAAGCAAGGAGGCTTGAATAATGCCTGCCAAACCTTGACCAAACTGGTTTTATTAAGCAGAGACAAACACAGGATAACATTAGAAGATCATTAAATATAGTATGACATCACAGAGAATAAGATCGATGCCCAAAAGGCATTTGATGTAGTTAACTGGAAATTTCTATATAATGTTTTATACAAAGTTAGATTTTAAGAGGACTTTGTAAAAATGATTCAAACATTATATGACAAAATTAATTAGCCAATTAATTAACCAAAATTAAAGTCAATGGAGACCTTAATGCAGGTGGGGTGGATATGCCATCTCTCCTCTTCTGTTCACTATATTTATCATGTTATTGAAAAATATCAGCTAAAATGGGATGCTGATTCAATAAAATCTTTGAAGGTATATTTATCAAAATGTCTGGCAAGATTTTCCAACATAAATTTTGGACCTCTGAACTGTAAACCAAAGGCAGATATAAGAAGGTAGCATTTTATTCCATCCCTAAATTTAAATTCAAGAACTGACTCAGTCAAAATGATTCATTTGCCATGACTCTTTTTCAACTGGGTGTCGTAGCAGGGTGAAGGTTACCCTCCCAAAACCCCAATGACTCACAACATATAGCCAGAACAACAAAAAAATGGTTTTAGCACAGGTCTGTGAATGCCTTTGAGGGGCTCAGCCAGAGCCTGGATTTTAACTTGACTGAACACTTCAGCAGATACCTGAAAACAGCAGTACATCAATGCTTCCCAGACAAATGGGAGAATGCTCATTGTTTTGAGTGCATGTGGTAGCAAGAAATACTTGTCATTTGTTGTGAGGCTTTTCTTTTTGTTATATATTTGTCTTTTCTTTTTTTTTAACGTTTGACTTTTCTTTTCAGATTAGAATCATTAGAAGCAAACTGACAAATTTATTCACTGATTATTAACATAACTACCATGTGGTATACACATACTTGCTTCCTACGGCAGTGTTACAGTAGTCTCTAGCTGCATATTTTTTGGTTTAAAGAGTAGGATACTGTATTTCCCTTTCTGATGTATCTTTAAGATGGAAGGGAAAAGAAGCAGTTAATATTGTACATGTTAGAGCAGTCTGAAACACACTGTACAATGTTTATAAATAAATAGCCAAAAAAACCCAAAATATATTAGCTTAGAATGTATACCGCTAAGCATATATCAAAATCAAAGTGATTTTAGTACTGTATTTTAAAGTAACTGATATTCAAAATCATCATTCTGGCCAATCCAAATTGATGATAAGTCGATTTTAAACAGTATAACACTATATAATTGAATGGGGTAAAAAAGAATGTTTTGAGACATAGACAGTAAACAACAAGCACATTACCAACATATTACATCACAATAGACAGTCAGTTACACAGATACAGTTGGAGCAGGTGATGCTACTTGTGACATTATGACAATGACACATACACACATACAGCTGTACATACCTAAGTGTATCTAGTGTGCAGTGTGGATCCTCTAGTAGATCAGAGAGCAGCTTCACTCCAGACTCTCCTGGGTGATTATAGGTCAGATCCAGCTCTCTCAGGTGGGAGGGGTTTGACTTCAGAGCTAAAGAAAAACAGAAATTCTCTCAGAGACTTGTGTAATCCTGTTCAGATCATGCATTCAACATATGGTATACTATCCTATGAGAAGAGACTCAATAATTGTAGGGCAGTGTTCATGGGGTAGGAGGTATGAGAAAGAAGGGGTGACAAGGCACTGAACAAGCCGGGTGAGAATGCAGATTTTAACAGCAGGGGCTACATGACTCCAAGGAAAATAATGACTTGTCTCCAGATACAGGCAATCCCAGTGGGAGATGGAAGCATCCTGTTGAAGAAAGTGAGCCTTCAAGAGTTTAGAACTGCTTGTGACGGGTGTCATATGGCAGGGAAGGCAGGTTAAACAATGTGCCAGTAACTAATACAAAACAAAAACAAAACAAGAAGTTGGAAGAATCAGGTGAGCTGAGCAGGTCTGGTATTACACTATAATAACTTCAGTTATTCCATAACACCACAGTAGTTTCTACTGTTGAAAGAAACTAGATTAGGAGGTGTTTATGACCTAATTAATAACCATTAATAAAAAAAATTGAAACCATTCATAAACCCCTTATAATGGTAGTCTTATTGTAAAGTGGCCATGTAGAAGAATTTCCATGGTTTTCTTTTAGAAAATACCTATACATCTTAATTTATGATCAATGCTGTCCTTAGTCAAAGTTTCTGCTCTCCATATAAACAGTCCTCTCAAAATAAGAAAAATAAAATAGATTTAAAGGCAAAGGTGCAATTAAACTGGGTTGTATGGGTGAATTTATGATCAAAGAAATCACAGAACTGTATCTGAGTTCAAAATATGAACTCTTCAGTTCAGCAGAGAGAAGTGCAACTCCTGAATTCTGCAGGCCATTGTTACTGAAATCTAATTCTTTCTGGGAGCAGCTTGCTAGCTGTAAAACTTGTAAAGATTTTTGCCAGCTTTTTCCCCAAGACTACACACAGCTAGTCTACAAAGGGAAAGAAGCTGCAACAGATCTTACAATACACTCAAAAGAATTTCTGAATACAATAAAGTGTTATGTAGTTTTTAGATTTTTAGGATGGCTAAAGTAAGTGACTAAGTTTTATTTTTTTTCATGCAGGAATGTGTTAACAAAAGCTTACCTGAGTATCTCCAGTTTACAGTGTGAACTATTCAGTGCAGCAGAGAGCAGCTCTGCTCCTGAATCCAAGTCATTGTTACTGAGATCCAGATTTCTCAGGGGGGAGTGTACTGATTGCAAAGCAGAGCATAGAGTTTCACAGGAGCTCTTGGTGAGATAACATCCAGCTAGTCTGCATCAATGCAGTACATGGAACAGTTAAAACGGGGCAGTCACAGTTAAGTGTGACAAGAAAGACATTTTTAATTCATTAAATTCATGTTATGTGTAGGTATTCCATGAAAACCAGGTTCAGAACCACTGGCTTACAAACTGTGTATGACAACAGATGGGCTACAGTCTCTAGTTGAACACCAGAAAGCTACAAGGTTAGGGTCTCTAATAAAATAGACAGAGGTGCTGCTGCTTTTACTGTTCTTACCAGTGAGATACTCCATAGTTTAACACATAACAGCAGCACATTACACAGGACTACACAGAGTGCAGATACACAACAGAGTAAAATGAGTGTAGAATACACAATAAATACATCAGACAAAATATATACAGAACTTATTGCTGATGGTACATGAATAAAACCACAAGAGAAGGAAATGCTTTGCAACAAGCAACTTTAAAAGCCAAATTCCAAAGGCCACAGAAGAGAATAATATGCCCTTTCCAATGAGCCCTGGATCACACAGCTAGCCAATAGGAAACTGAAAGTATCAATGCCGGAATCTCATAAATTTGTTTCTGGCTCAGGCACACTCTAGGTGGCCTTGCGGAAACAACTGCCCACAGTGGAGGTCTGCAGGCAAAAAAGTTGACAACACCGTAACCCAGCAAAAATAAGAGTAACCGACTTCACCCTTTCCCACAACACATGACGTTTTACTGTAATCTTTGAGAAACCAGAGATAACAACATTTAGTATTTGATCTCTGAAGCACTGTGAATTGGCAGAGAAATGTCAGAATGAAGCCAAATCCCACAGGTCAGTAGAGCACTATGTGCTCTTTCCAACACGGTTATATGCAGCGCAACTCCTGAATCCTGCAGTCCCAGATTTTTACCAGCTTTTTCTCCAAGACTACAGATAGCTTGTCTACAAAGGAACAGAAACTGCAATGATACAATAATACAATACACTCAAAAAAGAATTTCTGAATGGAATATAAGAAAAACGCGTCATGTAGTTTACATAACAAACAACTCATTCATTTGTACATTTTTAGATTTTTGAGATGGCTGAAGTAAGAGACTAGGTTTTTCATTCTTTTCATTCAGGAATGTGTTAACAAAAAGCTTACCTGAGTACCTCCAGTTTACAGTGTGAACTCTTCAGTGCAGCAGAGAGCAGCTCTGCTCCTGAATCCTGCAGGTAATTGTTACTGAGATCCAGATCTCTCAGGGCAGAGTTTACTGATTGTAAAGCAGAACAGAGAGTTTCACAGGAGTTCTTGGTGAGACAACATCCAGCTAGTCTGCAAAAATTAAAAAAAAATCAATGCAGTACATGGAGCAGTTGAAACAGAGGCGGTCACAGTTACGTTTCACAGGAATTAAATTTTTAATTCACTAGCTTATGTACATTTTATGTGAACGATGTGCTGAATGATATATACATGTTTTTGAAACATATGCTGCCATCCAAGACTAAGACTACACACAGCTAGTCTACAAAGGGAAAGAAGCCGCAACAGATCTTACAATACACTTTAAAAAAGAATTTCTGAATGGAATACAAAAAAAGTGTTATGTAGTTTTTAGATTTTTGTGATGGCTAAAGTGACTAAATTTTTCATTTTTTTTCATTCAGGAATGTGTTAACAAAAAGCTTACCTGAGTATCTCCAGTTTACAGTGTGAACTTTTCAGTGCAGCAGAGAGCAGCTCTGCTCCTGAATCCTGCACGTCATTGTTACTGAGATCCAGATCTCTCAGGGCAGAGTTTACTGATTGTAAAGCAGAGCAGAGAGTTTCACAGGAGTTCTTGGTGAGACAATATCCAGCTAGTCTGCAAACATTAAAAAAAAAAATCAATGCAGTACATGGAACAGTTGAAACAGAGGCGGTCACAGTTACGTTTCACAGGAATTACATTTTTAATTCACTAGCTTATGTACATTTTTATGTGAATGATGTGCTGAATGATATATACATGTTTTGGAAACATATGCTGCCATCCAGATGATGAGAAGGCCTTGATTATTTCAGAAAGAGAATACAATACAAGACTACATTTATACACACACACACACATATATATATATATATGTATATACATATATATATATATGTGTGTGTGTGTGTGTTTCTGTGTGTGTGTGTGTGTGAGTGAATGGTGAAGGTGGGTGGAGGAACTAGTGAAAATTAAATGTAAATGGTAATGTAAATCTTTATAGTAACTTAATAACTACTCATAATCTATTAAATAGTATATGGTTTATGGTCATAGTCAGCAATTAACATAATTGTTTAATATTATTTTTATATTAAAGTAAATATAACACTCACATAGCCTTTTTGTAGACATTCACAGCTGGGAATATCCTCTTATAACCCTCCTCTGATGTGCTGTATTTCTTCAGGTCCAACTCCTCCATCACCTCTTCTGATGTCAGAAGCATACAGGCTAGTGCTGAACACTGTGCAGGTGTGAGCTTCTTTTCTGAGTATTTCTCTGAATTAAGATGCTTCTTAATCTCTCTGCAGAGGGACTTGTCATTCATTTCAGACAGACAGAGAAACAGATTGATGGATCTGTTAATAGGGAGATGCCCTCTTTGTATTTGTTGTTTGATGTACTGCGCTGTCTTACTAAAGTTTTCTGAGCTACTCTGTGTGTGTCTCAGTAGGCCTTGTAAAAGTCTCTGATTGGACTCCACTGAGATGCCCAGCAGAAAACGGAGAAATAGATCCAAGTGTCCATTCTCACTGTCTAACGTTCTATTCACTGCTCCCTCCAGCAAATCATCCAGTAAAACATTCTGAGACCATTCTCTGTGTTGTGGTCTAAAACACTGCAGTATCTCCATGTTGTTGCTCTCATAGCAGTGAAACACATAAACAGCAGCCAGGAACTCCTGAAAGCTCAGATGAACAAAGCAGTAGACCTTCCTCTGGTAAAGCACACATTCCTCCTTAAAGATCTCAGTGAAAATCCCAGAATACACTGAGGCCTCAGTGACATCAATGCTGCTCTCTCTCAGGTCCTCTTCATAGAACATTACATTGCCCTTCATCAGCTGTTTGAAAGCCAGTTCAGCCAGTTTCAGAAGAATGGTTCTGTTGGACTCCAGCAGGTTCTTTGGGTCTCTCTCAGCTTTCTCTTCATACTTCTCATTCTTCATGTTTGTCTGAGTGAGCAGGAAGTGTGAGTACATTTCAGTCAGAGTTTTAGGGATTTTAGTATTATGTTGTTTGATGATTTGCTGAAGAACAGTGGCTGAGATCCAGCAGAAGACTGGAATGTGGCACATGATGTGGAGGCTCCTCGCTGTCTTAATGTGGGAGATGATTCTCTTGGCTTGGTCTTCATCACTGATCCTCTTCCTAAAGTACTCCTCCTTCTGTGGGTCACTGAATCCCTGAATTTCTGTCATACGGTTGATGTGTTCAGGAGGTATCTGATTGGCTGCTGCTGGTCGGGAAGTTATCCAGATTAGAGCAGAGGGAAGCAGCTCTCCTTCGATGAGGTTTGTCATCAACACACCCACTGATGATGTCATGGTGATTTCAGATACTTGCTCACACTCTTCAAAGTCCAGCGGAATTCTGCTTTCATCCAGACCATCAAATATACACACAGCTTTGAGCTGATCATAAATCTTTGGGTCCAGATCTTTGAGCTCAGGATGGAAGGCACACAGAAGTCCATGAAGACTGTATTGATCATCTTTAATCAAGTTCAGCTCCCGGAATGGAAGCACAAACATGAAATCTACATCCTGATTGGCTTTTCCTTCAGCCCAGTCCAGAATGAACTTCTGCACAGAGACAGTTTTTCCAATTCCAGCGATGCCTTTAGTCAGCACAGCTCTGGGCTTTTGAACTTTTGTTCTTCTCTCTTTGTTTCTTTCTTTCTGTTTTTCTTTGTGTTTGACAACTTTAGCCATCATAGTTCTAATATCTTTTTCTTCAGTTTTTTCATTAGGGCCTTGTAGAGGTTTAAAGATATCTGAGCAGTTGATTGGAGTGTCTTGTAAGTATTTCCTGGATATTTTCACCATCTGTAAAACCTCATGTTCTTCATTCACTCCTTCACTCTCTCCCTCTATGATGTAGAGCTGTGTGTAAATCCTGTTCAGGAGAGTTTTATTTTCTTGTGTTTTGATCCCCTCACATAAGTTCTCATACTTGCTCTTCAGGCTTGTTTTGTGTCTCTCTAAGACTCTCTGCAGAACATCACCCACTGGTTGGTAAGAATCGTGCTGCAGGTCTCCAGTTCCTGTAGTCAGTGTATGTGTAAGTGTCTGCAGTGCAGCTTCTGTGGAGCGCTTGCTGGAGTAAACATAGTAAAAACAAACATGAACATAAGAGACCATAATAAAAGGCCCAATATGCCACTGACTGAAGAAACTGCTCATGTATATTGTTTTCTCAAACAATTTTTATTACTGAACTTCTATAGGTTTGTCTCAGACTTTCTCAGACTTGCATCATGTAAAAATGAATCTAGTCATGTACCTGTATATATTCATGTACTTTCAATTGCCTGGATTGCTTACTCACAGTCAGTAATTAATTTAATTAAGTGATTTTTCTTATTTTCCTGTGAGATGTTTACAACAATGAAAATTCCTAGACTATAATAATATTTTATAGAAATGTAGAAATGAGTGGTAAATGCATGATTAGCAAAGGCTAACTAACATACATTGGTCCAGTTTCCTGTACAGGTATTAAGCTTAGTTCTGGACTACGCAGGATTTTGAATAGAGACTTTCCATTAAAAGAAAAATACAGTCCTTGATTAGGCTTAATCCCTGTTCAGGAAACAATCCCATTATATTTTAGGCTGTATAAATGTTTTTTTCTTAGCCATGTCTGAAAATTTATATAGATCACTGATAAAGATGAACATATCATACTGTCAGTGACTTGACATGCTGGACTTTTTCCACTGCTGAGGTTTAAGGTTAGAGTCATGAAACATGAAGATTTATGGAAAGTTCTTCCAACTATTCACTACTCATCAGACTCTTTTAACCTAGGACCACTTTGTGACTGGCTATCAACATCCTAGCACGTTCTTTAAAAACTGATATATAATAACAACCTTTTCTTCCTCCTCATCTTCTTACTGTTATTATGCAAATTTATGTTTTTTGTAGGCTAAAATCAGCATTATTCTCTGTGGATTTTGAATGCATTTCAGTTTATTTCAGTGGCAAGCAGTGAGTCTCAGTGTTGTCTTTATGAGAAATCATGAATATTTCCTAGTTTCATTCTGCTACTGACTCTGAGGTCATTCTAAATCTTACTACAATTACACAGACATGACTGGTATGACATTATGCCCAAAATGATCAAGGATTGCAAGATATGATGGTCCTAGTGGGTTATGACTGTCCTAAGTGTTCTAAGACTCTGGCCCCAGTATTAACTGAAGAATAATAACTTACTCTGGTGAACTGCTGAACTTAAACGGGACCCCCATGGACTGATCACTCTTCATAGACACACAGCTTGGCTCTTCTCCCCCACTGCTGAACTTAAATGGGATCCCCATGGACTGGTCACTCTTCATAGACACAGAGCTGGGCTCTTCTCCCCCACTGCTGAACTTAAACGGGATCCCCATGGACTGGTCACTCTTCATAGACACAGAGCTGGGCTCTGCTCCCCCACTGCTGAACTTAAACGGGACCCCCATGGACTGGTCACTTTTCACAGACACAGAGCTGGACATTGGAGAACCTGCTCTCTTAGTCTGCAATCTGGAAACATCAGATACAAATACAAATCAACACCTTTCTTACTCAAACTTTCTTTTTTTGTTAAAGCTCTAAATGACCTAGCACCTGCTTACATCATAGAGTGTCTGTCTGTTTATGATCTTAGATCTGCAGATTCTGACCTTCTGAACACCTTCTGTAAAACACAGAAAACGTGGAGAGACTCTTTCAGTTATTCTGCTTCTAAACTGTGAAGCTCAGTTCACCTTTTATTAGACAGTCCAGCTCAGAGCTCACTTTTAAGAAGCATCAAAAAACGTAGCTCTTTAACTCAGCATTTAATTAAAACTCTATGTCTCATGGTGTTTATCTTCATATTTGATCTTTTTTATTTTCTTCTTATACTAAATAAATACCAATGATTTCTTGTATAACTATGTTTTATCTCCTGTCTGTCAAGCACTTTGAGCTGCCACCGGCATGAAAAGTGCTATATAAATGAAAATTACTAATGTTATCATTCTTCTTCTTATTATTAATATTATTATCAACGCTTCACATTTTTATTTCTTCAAAGACAATATTCAATGTTCCCATTCTTTTTTTATAATTAAAATTGAATTAAAAAAATAGGTGTAACAGGTAAAACGTCTTTGCTGTTAACATACGTTTGATGATCAGTTCATGTCCAGCTCCATAGAGCAGATAAAAAGAAAGACAATGAGAAAAAGAATTTGGGAGAATGGGTCTGAATCTCTTTGTCTTTTTCTTGAAACCACAGATTACTATTGACGTGTATATGGCAGTGGTTCTCAAACAGGTCCTCAGGCACCCCCAGATATTTATGGTCTATCCCTATGTGTTACATGTTGGGTTGAAGAAAAAATCTGCAATGTCTAGGGGTCCCTGAGGTTTGATAAACAATGTTGTATGCTATGATTTACCCTGAGTCACAGGCTCCTCCTTCACCGCTGAAGCTGATCGGCTCAGATGTAGACCGACGCCTCTTCGCAGGCAAACTGCTGGGTTTTGGAGATCCTGCACGCTTTACCCTGAGAGAAGTTCCTCATGATTAGCACTGATGGTACTAACCCCACACTGATCCTTAGCCTTTAATCATTTAACACTGAGTATCGGCTGATCAGATGTTTGTAATTTTGTAGATAATACAGCCACACAGTTCACGCTTCAAGCACATTACAATTATGTAGCAAGTGGGGATGTGGTTTAGGTGGTTTAGCATGGGACACAAGAGGGAGGAGGGGCTGTGGAAATGGCTTGACAACTGACAGATGTGCTACACCGGGTCTTTGTTTGGTTTTGGTTTATTTGTTCCCCTGTTTTCCCCACAGTAGTAACACGGATTGTGGGAGATGAGTTTGGAAGACACTGAGAAAGGAAATATGCTGTTTTCATTTAGTGTTTGGTTGTTACCATGAATGGGGCACACAGAAATAAAACCTCTTTTCTGCTGCATCTCCCTGGGACTGTTGTGCCAGAAGTTAGTAAAACCAATCCAATTTAGATTAGATATGCTAGGCTGCAAGTTAGTTTGAAATTCTGCAGTAAAATCACTTTATTTTAGTATATGGATGGGACCCTGGACTGTTTTTTAATGACCATTCACAGTATAATTATAATCAAATATGATTGACTGATCTATTGATTTTGGCTATCATTTTCAGTGAAAAAACACTTGTGCATAGCGGTACAGAGTCTGAACTGATATATTGTGTTTTCTGGATTACGTCTGTGAAACAACCATGTTAATGTGTGGTGAAAACGCACATTTTCATGTTCCTCTAACCTGCACACAGTAGTCCGCTTCTTTCTTTTGGTTTTGATTTTGCTGTTACAGCTAACTTTGGTTTTATAGCAGAAGTGATAGTACTAGTAAAAAAGAACATTTCCACACTGACTTTTTTACACCAGTCATGGGAGAATCTTTGTACATCCCTCTAGTGGCATGTGGCTCACATACATGAAGTACATGAAGTTTAAACTGACTTCTTATTCGCCAACTTTTTCATCAAATTTGCGTTCCACCTTAGATTAATACAACTGCACCATTTAAGGTGGAATAGGAAACTTGAATAAAAAGCTAGATAATAAGAAGCCAACTGGGCTTTATTTTTATTTCTTTGTCATATAAAACCAAGATAAAAATATTACCAAAGTAATGTAATCTCTAATTAGCCCAATATTAACCTAATATTGTTGACATTAGTACCTGGATACTGCCTGCCTCTCTCAAAAGCTTCATTCAGGGAGCTCTGCTTCACTCTGGCTCCAGCTGGGGTGTCTTTCTGTGTTACCTCACTCTTCTCTAACTGTCTCAGCTGTATCTTGTCTGCTGTGTGTCTAACGTTCGGGTGTCTAATCAGGTTTGTGGTATTGCCACCATATTTAACTGTCTTTCGACACTCATCACATTTTGCCTCATTGTTGTTTATTGGAGTGAAATAACTCCAAACCGTGTTTCTTTTTTGTCTACCATAGACCGCTGTAATTGTCGTCATTTTGTTGTCGGCTCCATGCTCTCATGCCCATATAAGGAACTCCAGGTCTAAAAAGAATTTCTCTGTGAGAAAAATAAATGGAGTTTTTAAAAAATGCCTCTGTCGCATCCTGTCATAATCGAAATGGTCCAAAGCTGATACTTTTGTCCTGTGAACATTCTTATTCTTCAACTATCACTGGATCCTCTGAATTATGAGATCGTTAAAGAATAGAAATATGAATATTGCTACATGTAAGCTAATGCTACTGTGCACTGAATTGATGTCATTAGACTGGCAGCCTCCTTAAAACTGTGCAAACCAGCACACTTTGCTAGTGTGACAGTGTATTTCTACATACAGACTGAGAGCAGATGAAAAGAAATCAGAACAAATATTGATAAACAAATATAACAAATATTTAAAGATAACAAATACTGATACTCACCGAAACACAATAGATCTTTCCGTTAATAATCTTGACTGGAAAAGCTCTATAAACTTACCTGTGCTCAGGCTAATTCAGTACAGACTCAGTTTAACTGCTGACCCTCTGATAAGCTGATATAAGATATCAAAATATCCTAGTTATTATTTTAATGCTGGTAACTTTTTCTGAGAACATTTTGTCAGTACATTCTCCAGATTCTTTTTTGAACTTTCCCGCTTCACCCTAAATGATGCAGTTAAATTCTGAATGGTAAAATTCGAACAAGCAGCTGGCTTGTTTGACTTCAGCTTCATGGAGAGTTTAAAGGCATGATATGAGCGGGTTGCTCTAGTTCTGTGTGACTGCTGAGTAACAACTTATTCTAATGCCATTTCACAGAACCAACAGATCAGTACTGTTTTGTCCCATTTGCTAATGTTTGTGATGGCTAATCTGCACCATTTAAGGTGAAACCAGACAACTCCAACAAGAAGATGGCGAAAAAGAAGCTAAATTCAGCCTTGTCGTTTTAACACTGGTAGTATTTCAAAATGTCCTACTTAGAGTTTTTTTTTTTACTGGCCTATGCGCTATGGTAAAACATTTAGATAATGTAGCACAACTCATCAGAACAGCGCCACAGTCTGCCTTGCTTTTGTGTAGCTTATGTCAAACTGATGCACAGCAGAATTAACTTGCATGTAGCAATATTACTATTAAGGCTCTTTAACGACCTCATAATTCAGAGGATCCAGTGGTATTCGAGAGAAAAACGTTCATTTTATTTAACATAGGGGGCGACAGAGGCGATTTGTCGAAAATCCCATTCATTCTGGCCATAGAGAAGTGGAGCTCAGACCCAGAGTTCCTAATACGGGCATAACGAGGACTACAGAATGACGCATGACTACAGTGGTCTATTGCAGATTTACTACATGGCACCCTCCGGTGAGTCACGGAGAGATTCTGTGACTGGCTGCCTGCACTACTTATTCAGTGTGCCTGGGTATGTGGGATCAGAGGATAAAGGCGGAAGGAAAAGTAGTGCCTATACCACAGCATTATTTATGTTAGTGCTTTGCTTTTTAATTTTAATTTGAGAGATAGGATACATATCCATCCTACTAAATATATGAACAAATAATATCAACATATTTTTTTCAGCCAGAATCGATTCTTAAAAGTAAGCGCGAGAGCGATCCCACCATCCTTATTCCACACTGCAGACACTTTGCCGTGTCATTTTAGCAACTCTTCAACAGTGCCATATAAAGAGCAGAACTAGATCCGGATTAATGGAGATTAATTGTGATATAAAGTTACTCACTTTGGGTCAGAGGTTCTTCCTCCTCTGCTGGAATTAGGAGGATCCATCATGGAGTTTTAATCTTCATACACACACAGGCAGACTGCTCTCTGTGAACAGTTCATCCAAAAATACATCCATATTACTGCCGTCCTCCTGTTTCCTCGCCTGGACAAACAGCGCTGCTGTCTTTTCCAGTCTGTACTTTTAGATCAAGCACTGTTCACAGTCTCGGCTAAGAAACTCAGCCAACTATTCTACTGATATTGCACGGAAATTATAAGTACAATGATACCTGTTTACAAATGCTTGTCTCGTGGTCCACCGTCGGCCGTCTGGAAGCGACTAGCGGTTTAATCCACCACTGAGTTTAGATAAAAAACAGCTTTGCTGGTGAACACATGCACATGTTCCTGCTTTAATGTCCGTTTTATTATTCCAAAATTATGTTATGATCTTCCCATGTTAAATCCTAAACGCTGGTGTGAGTCGTCATCTCTCCTTCTACAGCTCCGTCTGCATTACTTTCGGTTTTATTTCAGGAAGTACTGCTCTGATCATTTAGGTCCAGTCAAACTTCCCTCACAGATGATTCTTAAATCTTCTGACGTCGTTTGGAAAAGTTTCTCCACGTTGCTTTTTTAGGCAAGTAAGTAATCTACAAACTAATCCTTATTTACAGGCAAGTCGATAAATATTTGGACGTTGACAAAGTCATTGTTATTTAGTTGTCTACCACATATGGAAGCTCTGAAGGGTAAGATAAAAAAAATAAAAAATTAAAGTGCATTCCTGAGTCTACGTTTCATTTTATTTATTCATTTATTTTCTGGCTGTATATCATACAAAAAACAGACGAAAAAATATTTTGTTCTCATTCTGTGGCAAAATGATTTGGAAAATCAATCAATAATTCATTAACAACAAAAGTAATTATTAACTATCAATCTTTAATGTACACTTTAAACCCTGATAAGTTTACAAAAGCATACCATTTAAGGTAACTCATGTTTTGAAACTGAAGTTATACATGAGTTAAATACACTCAAAGTTTAACAAACAAACTGTACTGTTGCAGAAACATGAGCTTTTAAACTCATGTAACTACACCATTAACAAATATTAATTTTCATGACACTGACATAATTGTAATGATCACAAGCTAAAATGTAAAAGAAATATCTTTCAAAAGCAGCATGAGCTGGTGCAGTCTGCTGAATTCGTCCTCCAATCCGTATGTTACTGGTGACCTGTCCAGGGTGTATCCTGCCTTCCACCCAATGACAGCTGGGATAGGCTCCAGCAACCCACCGCGACCCAGAAGAATAAGCGGTTTAGATTATGGATGGATTAAAGGTGATCAGAAGTAAATAAATCACAATGCTGACGCTGATAGTACATCAGTAACATACAGACTGGAGGATGAATTTGGCAGACTGCACCAGCTGGTACTCACAGGAAAACTACAAATAAATCAAACAAAATCTTTCTTTTGGGTCAAATTTGAGAAAATAAAATAAAACATGCAATTAATCGTAATGCTTAATTATGTTAAGCAAATTATGTTAGCCCTAGTAAGCATTATGGTAAATAAAAAAAATGTCACAACAAGTGTTTTCTGGAACCTCAAGTTTTTCCCCAAGAAGAAATACATTCCCTCTTCCATTTCACACATGCACACACACTGAGGACCTATAATCAACACCAAACCCTGCATAGAGCGGTTCAGTGAATGTGGTTGTGTATGTATGTAAGTGGGTCAATGTTTGTGTTTGAGGTGAGACACTATAGAAAGACAGAGTGCCAGCCGGCCAGTCCAGATACACTCCCACTCTGTGGGAGCGGGAGCAGGGAGCACGTACAATGTGTTTTCTACAATTGTGCCAAACAGAATAACCAAAATCAGAGCAGTACAGACTCCAAGACTGTTTATTCTGTCCAAATGCACAGTCTTCACTCTTCCCTTTCCTCTTGATACATCTGTATGTCACTGTTATATCAGCTTCAACACTCCACTCCACCTCCCAGTAGCAGCGTCCAGTCAGACTTTCTCTACACAGAACCTGTGGATGGTGTTCAAATCTGTCTGGACAATCTGGGTACATCTGATCCTCTTTCTCATTCTCCACCTTTCTGTTCTCCTCAGACAGAGAGAGGCATCTGTGAGCTGTATCTGGATCCAGTGTGAGATCGCAGGCATCTGCACACAAACAAAAACACAGATTTGAGGGGTCTCATCTGTTCTTGCCACACTTGACCACACCACCAAGGTTTACTTAATATTGATCTCTCTTGTTCATAGTGATGCTCATACCAAATCATTCAAGCCATCTCAGCAAAAATAATCAATTGCTCTGATATGATTAAAATTTCAAAACTCGAGTTTCGTGTGTGACCTGATATCATACAGGCTAACAGTATCAGGAATGTTTATGGATTCACTTTAAACTGACAGTTGAAAACAAAATCACTTCTGTTTCAAAACAGTTGGGATAGTATGTAAAATGCTGGTAAAAAAAAATAAAGGAGTGATAAGTAAATTCGCTTTGACCTGTTTTAAGTTGAAAACAGTACAAAAACATTTGATTTTTTATATTATGAACTTTGTTTTTGTAAATACACTCTCTTTCCTGATTTGATGCCTGCAACATGTTCCAAAAACTGTTACATCACCTATCCTTTGTAACACCAAAGAAGAGAAGCAAAGCAGATCTAAGAGCAAGCAATCTTTATTTACAAACTGGGTAACTTCAAAGATTATCAGCCAAAGACAGTCCCGGTCAAAAAGGGAAAAACTATCAAGTTCCGTACAACCAAATCCATGATATCGTCCAAAACTCAAAAACCGAGAAACACAGGCATGGGTCAAAATCCAATGGGTCATAACAAGAAACAATAAAGCTCAGAATTGACAGAGAAACTCTAACAAGACTTCGCAAAGAACATGGAAACTCACAGGCTATAAATAGGGAAATAGATTACTAAACAGCAGTCAGTTGTGTAGTGATCTAACTAAAATTGAGGAGAGAGCGACCTCTGCAGGCGGGGAGGTGGATCCCTGGTCGAGGATGTGACATCCTTTTAACGTTAAATGTTTGGAGACTGAAGACATCAACTGATCCCATTTTGAAAGTGGATTTTCTGAGATTCTTCTGACATACAAATTTTATGTCAACCATACAGGACCCTTCATTGACATTATTTGCATGTCATAACATGCCATACATCCCTAAAAAAGCCATTGTCACATTTTGCTCCAAACTGTATATCTTTTAGCTCTAATGGTGCCTTCACAGATGTGCAAGTTACCCTTTAATACCTCCCCTTAAAATGCAGTTCTAGTTAACACAATGTCCATTATTTCAATAAACAATCTGAATAGTGGACTCATCAGACCACAATATACCTTTCCACTGAGCATCAGTCCTGAAATGGCGTGAGCTTGAGTCCAGAGAAGTCAGCAGCATTTCTGGAATTGGAATTGGACTTCCACTGTGTATAGTACAGTCTTAACATCCGAGCTTCCAAGTCCAATCGGTGATTTCAATTAAGCATGCCAGTTATTGCACTCTATTCAGTATTGACACTCATACATTTAAATCTCACACTACTGGCCAACAGAATTTTAAGAAAGACAGAAGTCTGGGGATGGAGGGGCTGGGGGGGTCCAAAGTTTCCAGAATTTGTCTGTTTGGTAACGCAGGTCATAGGTCAGTTTTTCCAAGGGAAGCAGTGTTGCAGCTTGGGAAAGCCACTGCTCAATGGTTGGTGGAGAGGAACTGGCCCATTGAATTAAAATAAATTTTTTCACCAGAAATGAAAACATTAGAAACAAAAATTTGCCATCATTATCAAAAATATGTTCTGCTCCTATTCCCAAAAGATACAGATCAATATTTTCAATATTTGAAAAATATCTTCTACCATAATGTGTACTCTGTTCTAGAAGACAACCAAAGGGCATAGAAGAACGTCCCTTTTTCAGTTTTACATTTAAAGTACAAATTAGATTTGTCTGGAAATATCTTTTGTAGGCAAACAGGTGTAAAGAATATCCTATTCATGAATTTCAGGTACATTTGAGAAACAGGTTTTTACAAATATTAAGCCAGTCCTCTTCTGAGATAGGTTGGTCTGGGTCCCTTTCCCAAATTTCTCTAAGAGTGTCTGACAAGGGCTTAGTACTGTTTAGCGAAATGTCATGAACTAGTGAGATTAACCTTCTGGCAAGCATGTCAGTTTTTAATTCAAAGTCATCTGAAAGGTCGAAGGTCATGGCATTCAGGTGGTGGTTTTCTGCCTTGCCCTTTACACACAGAGGTCTCTCTGGATTCCATGAGTCTGATAATGATATTATATTATGCACTGTGGAGGGTGAAATACCTTAACATCTTGCAACTAGACTGTTAGACTGTCCTTAAACATCTAGACCCTTCCTAGATGCTCCTTTAATACAAAAGCATGATCATATCAGTGGTTTAAGATTTTTATAACATATAACATTTCACATTTAGTCTTAAATTGCCTGTGCTCCATCCTCTTTGGAGTGTATATATTATGTGTATATTATTATGTTTGCGTGACTTGCATTTCTGAGTCTTGGCCTGTGTTTTTGCCTTTTCAGCTTTATGACTTTAGGCTTTTGTTAAACTCTGTATTTTTGTGTATGCATTTGTCTGCCTGGGTCTGATTGCTGGTTCTTGAACTATAAATAGCCTTTTGTGTTTATAAATGAAAATCTGTACATGGATCCCTCTCTCCACAAGTCTCAAAAGGGTGTCATTGTGTGAATGTTTGAGACAGAGAAAGGGAAATGGTGAGAAGAAATGGACAGAGCGATGGTTATAGAATGACAAATCTGTTTTCTCCTAGTGTTTTGTTTCAACTTGTAATGCCTTTGAATACATCTATAAATTTGTGTGTACATTACACTGAACACAGTGAACTTACATTTCTTTAGTCCTGAGTTCATCCTGATCTTCCCTCCATACTCCACCCTAAACACACACACATACATACACATACACACACACACACACACACACACACACATTTATTAAAATAAGCTGAAAGCAAAACATTCAGATAGAATAGTAATAGTGTAAATGACTACAACAATAAAGTAATTAGGACAACCCTAAAACAAGGCAAGACAGGTTTGTTATATAGCGCCTTTCATACTGCTGTCATTCAAAGTGCTTTACAAATGAGAAAATACAGTCAGAAAATACAGATTAGAACAAACTGAAGGGAAGAAGGGAGAGGTGCAAACCTCTCTGAAGATGGCTAACAGAACCGTGGCACTCATCTTATGAGCCAGCAATATAAACAAATATGGGTACACAAAGAAGAGTCAGAACAAATTATGTAGATGGGGACAGAGGAGACAAAGGTGTGAAACCCACATCCAGTCATAGACCTCCTCCAGACTGCTACAAGGAGCCAAGGAACAGACTTAAGTAACTGAGCTGCCAGACAAAGAACTAGCATTCAATTCTAGAGTTCTAGTACTCACTAGAACTCTGTCAGATAAGAAACAAACTCCTTGTTCAATTGTCTATATGCTGTGGTCTAACAGCATATATCATATAATGGTCAACAGAAAATACTTTTCTTCTTTTTTAACACTTCCTCTGTGATCTTGCCTTGCACATGGAAGTGTGAACCCAAGACAGAGCAGAGAGCTACGTGTGAGGTCTCCTTAACTAGGGTAGTGAACAGCTGTCAACAGTCAGCCCTAATCAGCCTGATTCAGTTTTCTTTCTCCCTCTGGTGGCCAGGGGTGGCCTAGCAGGAGGTTGGGATATTACAATGGATTTTTTGTGTGGGAAAGTCCACTTTCCCACTCTATGGTTTGGGACAGGTCAGCTCTAGATGACCTGAGGGCTGCTTTTCACCAAATCTTAATGTGGCATCATGGGTTTTAAGCAGCCTATAGATACACTAGGTCAGCCTTGGCATCTCTTTCACTCACTGGCTGGAGGGCTTAGATACAATAACACAATCTATACACTTGCTCATGTAGCCTGTTATAAATGTTGCATACTCATCTAAGTTGGTCATAACCATAACTGGCACCCTGTTAAATACACTTCAATATGTAATGGCAACTGTAGTACTGCCTATCACTGCATAAGCAAATTCTGTAGTGTTGAGGTTTCCTCATCTGGCCACAATCTGACTTGCATCAGGACAAGTTTGGCTTATTTTGTCAGTGGTCTATAAGTTTAGTCTACACTAACATCCAAAATGCATAAAAGGCTATAACCCACCAACTATAAAAAAATAGATTTTGTGAGTAAGTATGCAACACAGAGCCCAGAAGGACAGCAACCAAACAAAACCTTCATAGGCCCTACTGTTATCTGATGATAAACAATTTTGAACTAAGGGAAGACTTCGCTACACTTTAGAACAGGGGTGGAGAACTGAGGGAGAGGGTCTGGCATATTTTGATGATTTCCATCTACCATACCAAGCAAATCAAGTGTGCTTGAGCAAGGAAATCACCAAACTATGCAGAAATCTGGCCCTCCCCACCTTGCTTTAGAAAAACAAAATTTCCCTAGCCCACAGTAATGTCAATCTCATGTACAGTAATATCAGTACAAGCATATTACAGCACACAATTTCCTAAATGTGCCAACGAGTATCATCAGAAATATGCATGGAGCAGATGCTTATGGTAATATGACATTATGACACACACATACACACACAGAGTTATACTTACCTGAGTGTTTGCAATGAGCAGTGTGGATCCTCCAGCAGATCAGAGAGCAACTTCGCTCCGGACTCTCCTGAGTAATTATAGGTTAGATCTAGTTCTCTCAAGTGGGAGGGACTTGATTTCAGAGCTAAAGCTAGACAGAAACAGCCTTCATCTGTCACCATACAACCAGACAATCTGCAGAAAGAATGAAAAAGAGGGGGTGATGACAGTTACAAAAACATCTATTTAGAATATCTTATTCTCTGTAAATAACTTTATTTGTTTTCATGCAGCCATGAAACCACAGGCCCACAAAATCAAACTGTTCTTTAATCCGTTTTTCTCCTTAGTATAGTCATGACCAATTTCCACATACTATCTCGATTCTGGGTGGCATGGTGGCACAGTCTGTAGTGCTGTTGCCTTACAGCAAGAAGGGACTGGGTTCGATGTCCCCAGCCTTTGTATGTTCTCCCTGTGTCTGCGTGGGTTTCTTTCCTACAGGTGCTCCATTTCTTCCCACAGTCCAAAGACATGCAGTCAGGTCAACTGGAGATGCTAAACCACCCCTGGGTATGAGTGTGTGTGACTGTATATGTCTGTGTGTCTGCCCTGTGATGCACTAGTAACCTGTCCAGGGTGTTACCTGCCTTCCGCCCAGTGACCACTGTGATAGGCTCCAGCACTCTGCGCGGCCCAGAAGGATAAGCAGCTTAGATATTGTGTGTATATCTTGATTCTCACTCTACCAGTGCTCCCAAGCTGACATGTGAAGTGAAATGTCAAAATATCACTGTTTCTGAACTACCACTTCAATCTGCATGAAGAATAATAAATGCCAATTTTGTTACATTGGCTAGCATCATGCTGAATGAGCAGGAGAGAAGTAAGGCCATCTTTTCTTGGACTACTGGCCATGGATAGCTTGATCAACTGAATGGGTATTTTGGCATTACTGGGAATAATGCAGAAGTCTACAGATATACAGTATGGCTATGACTGTGTGTGGTATATCTACAGGGGTCACATCTGGCTGTGATTGTTGTTCCTGTGATATTAGTAATCATTGATTAGATCATTGATGTAGGTAGTTAATGAGTTTAGGTTAGATGAAGTAAACTCATTTAGATTTTTGGCTGTTTAAGGGTTAATTGATGAGTTACTTGTTTCCAAAGAATGTTTAATGGATGTGCAATTAGCATGTATGTAGTAGTCTGGAGAGTTCTGTGTGCACTGTAAACAAATCTATAAAGCCCAATTGTAAACATTTTGCCCAGTGTAGTGTACCAGACTTTCAAAATGTGACCTAGACCTTTTTAAGAGAACTAAAAAACATGAATTCCTAAAACTGTCAGAAAGGACAAGGACCAATACTATAACAACATTGCTAAAGATACTGAAAATTAAAACTAACATGAAAAAACAAGATTGCTTGAGGGAAGATACCCTGAGTGAAAAGACAGGACTTTGACTGAATATGAAAAAGACAAACATTATGACAACTGGAAGAAACACCAACTTTACTACTGATGATGAAGATGTAGTAGTTGACAGCTTTTGCCTACTGGGATCAGTTTCTGACAATAAAGAATCTGGTACTCAAGACGTACAATACAGCAACCAGATAAACAAGAATAAAGTAGTTTCAAAAGACCTTCAAATGTAATAAAGTGTATTTGAAAGTCTTTTTAGTGATTTCTTATGGTGGTCAAAGCTGAACAATAAAAATACTGGACAGGAAAAACATATGCCTCTGAATGTTGGTGTTGGCGAGGACTTCTAAGAGTACCTTAGATGGTAAACGGGACACTAGCTATTCCCTATCCAGATTGCCACCAGGGACCAGAACCAACTTGACCATAATTATAACAGAAAAAATATTTGTTCTCTGTCAGCACTGTGAGTTATTCACAGGTCATTTCCTTGATGATCTTGTGAAATTTTCATCAAATTGTGAGTGGAGTTTATCAGTTTTAAAAACAGTGGTATGTGAATATTGGTTAATACCAAGTCTGAAATTCTCATTTCATTGCATAATGTTTCTCTACTTCTACCAATGTATGTATTTATTCAGCGAATAAATACATACTGTGCATCATTTGCAGAAAAAACGCCATAAATAAGTTTGTACCCTGCACAGGATTTCAATCAACAAACCCTGTATTTTTGACCAAGGGTATTTTCATCTGACTGTATGTAGGTTACAGAAGTTGTTTTCAAACTATTTGCACATTGCAAGTTGTACGTAGCAAAGTATGCATCCATGTCAAAATAACCAACAAAAACTTTGATATTTTGCATTTTCCAGTGCAGGTAAGCAAGACTAATCAAAACATGGTCAAATTGGTCAAACAAAAAATTGAATGGGCTATTAAATAGTTATGGTAGCTGCATATTTAAAGCCAAGAAAATGGAGCTGCTTTATAGTAGCATTTTATGCTTATATTATATACATGCATTAGTAGTATATTCAAGATTAATTTATCATCTCTATCATTTCCTTGATCTCAGAATTGTATTTTACATCACGTCATTTTCAGAAAGCTCACCTGAGTATCTCCAGTTTACAGTGTGAACTCTTCAGTCCAACAGAGAGCAACTCCACTCCTGAATCCTGTAGGTCATTGTTACTGAGGTCCAGTTCTTTCAGGGAGGAATTTGCTTGTTGTAAAGCTGATTCCAGATTCATACAAGCTTGTTTCTCAAGATTACAGATAGTGAGCCTGAAAAGGGAGATACCTTTTACAGTAGATCCTACCAAAAAAACTTTTTTGGTTTAATACATAATTGTAATGATGAGATCAACACTGAGGGCCTGAAGTACTAAGCCGTACCAGTTTCAGACACAGTTCAGATGCGTTCTGCCTGCATGGTATGTACAAAACTGGTGCATGAGCCTAAAAAGTGCAGTTTCAAGGCTATACACATGCCTCTGCACAATTGTGGGAGATAGGTGGAAAAAATACATGGAGATGTTGGAAGTGTGTCTGATTACATATTTCACATGATTTATTAAAGTTCGAGCAACTCATGACAGCTGGTTTTGCACAGACTTTTCATTACCTTTTAAAATTAGGCATAAAATTGCATTTTGAGTCTCAAAAGATGTGTTGCTAACAGCAGATACAGCCTAGAGCGGAGGGATGAGAATGATTACCAAAAACAACAAAATCTCACCAAGATTAGTAATGTTTATAAGTAACCTACACATCTCTGTTACAAAATAAAAATAGAATAATACTTAACTTTAACTTCAAAGAAATTATTTATGCAGTATTCTATTACATTTAAAATTATTATGACGGACAGTGTATTGTTTTGACTGGTACTAGTGTTATATGCATTTGCACCATGGCATTGTATTTTCAGTGTTAATTGTTTGTGTGTTTTTTGTTTAAAAATAGTCATAGTAAAATGTGTAAAGTTTTAGTTGTTTTATAGCTTACTCTGATCATATTTGCATACTCATGAAATGCAGTGAATGAAAAATAATGACGTTGGTGGAGTCAAGTAAAGGTCAGGATCCAGAAAACATCCAAATAAAATAAAAAATAACGGGGAAAACAAAAATGAAACACTTAACAAACTTTGTATGACCTTAAATCAATCGTATACCTTAAAATAACACTGTTTCTAAGCAAAACAACAGCTTTTTGGCCAAAAGAGCAAGGTGGTTTGTGCAGCATGCCCCTTACTGAGGTTGGTCCTAATTACTGTGTCATTCATTCTGAGACCTCCTTCTGACTCTGTTTGTGTTTGCATGAACACAAACTATATACTTTTGTATAGGTATATAGTTTTTTTCCACTGTATTTGCTTTTAGATTATTTTAAGGTTGTATACCACTTTTGAGTAGTTTCTGTTTTAGTAAAGTGATATCTAAATTATTGTTATTTTTATTTAGGTGTTATTAAATTAAGGTGTTATTAATGAGAGAATGAGAGATACAATAGAGTCCCAAAACGTAAAGTAAATAAACAAGAAAAGTATAAATAATACACTTAGTACATTCAATTTACAGCTTATTATTTAGTTCATTAATGAATAAACAGAAAATTCACCTGAGTGTCTCCAGTTTACAGTGTGAACTCTTCAGCCCAGCAGAGAGCAGCTTGACTCCTGAATCCTGTAGATCATTGTTACTGAGATCCAGCTCTTTCAGGGAAGTGTTTCCTGACTGTAGAGCCAATGCTAGTTTTTCACAGGAGTTTGTGGTGAGATTACAGCCAGCAAGTCTACAAAAGCAGAATAAATATATAACATGATGCAGTTTAGGCATTCCTTTCATGTCCCATTTTGTCTTTGCATCTAGAGATAAATGCACCAAGAGGGTATTTCACAAAGCGTGCTTTTAAAAGCAAGTTTTCCTATTTGAATTATCCTCACTTAAGGTATCCAAAACAGTTCAGTTCAGGCTCAGTAGGTTCCACTAACAAAATCCAGGTGTGATCTATTCCCACTAACTCAAGCCACAATTTAGTAATCAAGACTCACTTGCGTGCATGTGATATTTAAGGAACCTAGACAGGTAAATACTCAGAGTTTAAAAATGCAATAGTTATCATAAAACTGTATGATTGTGATTATGTTCCTCTGAGGCCCTGTAATGTCCAGCAGCACTAAGTAACCTGCTGTAATGTTTAATAAACATAATGACACAAATATTTGCTTCAAGAAAATTAATGAAAATTAAGAAGTTGGAGATGACAATGAAGAAAAATTAAAATGACATAAGTGTAGATTAATTGTATAATGCTCCTTTTATAGTACATTTAATTGAGGCTTTACCCCCTCACAAGTTGAACAAGATCATTAAAAAAGTTTTAGTTCAATATATAAGTAAAGAGTAACCAATGTGCAAAGTACCAGGTATACACTGAAGAATCTAAAAGGACAAAAACAAACAGCACAGCAGAGGAACAAAATGAGTCCAGCTGCAGAAGCAAATGCGCCAGTGATGCATTTTAGCACAGCAACAAGACAGAAAAAAACGAGACATGTGGAAACTCAGAAGAACACAGATGAAGTGGACCGGAATAATGGACAGCACTGGATCAGCTGTTATTGCTGATCCAGTTGAGTATGATCTGGTGGTGCATTCAAAATCACTCCCTATTACTAAAAAAGTGCACTATATAGTGTGTAAGCCATGTTGTAGTGCTGTTTAAATTCTCAACTTTGAATCTCTCAGCCAGTCAATTTGCTTCCTCCAGTTGGTTTACTATGGATCAAATACTATATAATGAACAGAGAATTAGTTAATGAGTGAGCTTTTGCAAATGCAGCTTGATATGGTTCAATCCAGTACTCAGGTCTTTTTTTCTTTAGCAAAACTGTGCATAACAATACAGCTTATGCATAGTACACACCTATATAATGAAATGCACATAAATTGTCTGGTGAGAACAGAAAAAAAAAGATTGCTAGGGGTTCAAATATTTCACAATCAAATAAAAACCTTTAAACAAGTGAACAATTTGAGAGTCATTAGTGCTTTAGTATTGGTTGAAGCAGAAATACTATGTAACCAGTACTCCAGTCAACATCTTATGGGTTTTCGCATTTCTCATCACTGGGACATCATCACTGTGGGACAGATGGGATCTGTAGTTCTGTGCACATTCACTTCTTAGATTTTGTTCTGAACTCTGTGTTTGAATCTTTACTGAACTCTGTTCTCTGCTGTCTGAATTTAGTAGCTTAATTGTTTGTTAAATTTGTGTATATTATGTAGACATTCTCTGTACTGAAAGTCTTGCTCCACAGGTTAGCTTGTATTAGTACAACCCATTTAGATTTTGCTTTAATCCTGTGTTGCATTGTTTCACTCATCCATGTTTTACACCACAATTTACCCTCCAGATACCTTTTACCATTGTTTGTTAACCTAGATCTGATCTATTACAGTAAGTATGGCTATGAACACTGTGTATGGTTATGCTTTGCATATCACAAATACAAGAAAACAAATGGTTACTGTGTAAATACTATGTAAAAAAAACTACACTTTATTTTACAGAACAGTTTCCATAACATTACAGAGAACTTACCAGTAAATTTACCATTTAATACAGAATTAATTACTGTGCAGAAAAAGAGGTACTTACTGTGTACTTAGTGGTAAGTACCCTGAAATGTTTACACTATTGTCAGCCGTACCTGCAACCTACACTTATCTATCACATAGGCATCACATAGGCATGAACTTCTTGAAGCAATTTGGTAGTACTTGCCATTATCATGTAACTTCTCAGCATTAAAAGCAAAAATGTAACTTGTGTTTCTTACATTAGTTGTGGTAGTGACATATTAAACTTGCAAACTATAAACCAAATATTTATTACCTGTAAATACTACATATTTACCATTAAAATCTAACTAAGTACTGATGTACATACTGGCACATATTATGTACTTGCCAGGTATTTACTAGAAAACTACTTGTAAGTACTACATATTTTCCTATTATATACTAGTTACTTACTGTAACATAAAATACCCAGAAAAATAGATTGTGTTCTACAGACAAAAGTCAATTTTTATATAACTGAGATTCAAGTGACAAATACTCTAGAATACTAAAATCATATACATGAATGGCAAAAAATTATGTCTTTAGTTTCCTAAGTTGACAGTTATTTTTGTTATTTTTAACTTAATTCTTACCATTTAACAATGAGTTAACAGATAGTTCACCTGAGTATCTCCAGTTTACAGTATGAACTCCTTAGTCCATCAGAGAGAAGCTCCACTCCTGAATCCTGCAGGTCACTGTTAGTGAGATCCAGTTCCTTCAAGGGAGAGTTTGCTGGTTGTAGAGCAGAGTAGAGAATTTTATAGGAGTCCTTGATGAAATAACAATTAACTAGTCTGCAAAGGAATGATCAACATACAATAAGTAAACACAAAAACAGTACATAATTCAATTTAAACAGTGAATGTGAAATTTGGATTTTTTAATAACACTGCTGAAGAGCAACATTCACAAGGCTACATGACAACCTACATAAGCCTTTCATGACACCTGACTTAAACCTACATAAACATTTATAAAAGCTTATTCCAACAAGCATCAGTTGTCATAAGAGGTACTTCAGTGTCAAGCTGACATAACACCTATATCAGATTTTTGCTGAAATTGTGCTATGGCATAACGTCACTGTATTTTTGGGGTGTCAACGGCATAATTTAAACAGCTTGGTGAAATGGCTAGTTGCAGAACTGACCATAGGCAGTTCTAAAAAGATGTTTTGACACTGTGTGGTAACACTAAAATGGAACTACTGTATAATAGGTACATTGTGAAGGTTTCAATACTGATACACTGTGATAACAAGTGATGTATATTTGTTCTGTCTAATAATAAAAGGAGACCAATATGCTTTAGATCTTTATAAATCGCTAAGGCAATGGTATGACACTAGTTATATATATTTTCTCTGGACTTCTTAAGTAAAGTGAGCTTAATTTTGACTTTGATTTTTGTGAATCATTACAGTAGTACCATGACTCTGATGTAATCATGTATATTTTATGTTCTAAAGTCAGCAGTATTTTCAACCATTGTTCACTAAACATTCAAAAGTATTCAAAAGTCTGTTTTGTTTAGTGAAGGGCTGACTTGTAGATTTGTGTAGTGACTAATAGGAACAGGAAATCTGTGAAATGGGTACAATATTGCAAAAACATCAGTTATCACAACATACCAGCATTTCACCCAAGAAAATGTTAATTAATGGTAACAAAAATCTGTCACTTGACATCAAAGTTGATAAAGCAGCCTTTATGACAACTCATCATTGCATAGGTTTTTATAAATGTTTAAGTGTTTTTTAGCAGTTCTCATAAAAGGTGTGTGTAGGTTGTAGTGTAGCCTTATTAACACTGCCCGTCCATGATGTATTAATTATTTTATATTGTCTTTTATCCTCTTTTTCCAACAATCATACCAAAAACTGTTCATGCCAACAAATTTCTAGTTTCTAGGCATGCACGGCTGGGGTTTCTAACAAAGTGGGTGATGAGTGTACCTGCTGCTCTTACTGAAAGACCCCAAAAATCTGAATAATAAATTACAGAATACTGATATATGTTCTGTGGCCCTACCAAGATTACAGTATTAACATTTGTAATATTAATATAAATATAACACTGACGTACACTCACTCACTTTTTGCAGATGCTCATAGCTGGGATTAGTCTCCTATAACCCTCCTCTGATGTGTTGTATTTGTTCAGGTTCAGCTCATCGAGCACCTCCTCTGAGTTCAGAAGCATATAGGCTAGTGCTGAACACTGTCCAGGAGAGAGCTTCTTTTCTGAGTGTTTCTCTGATTTTAGATACTCCTCAATCTCTTGGGAGAGAGACTGGTCATTCATTTCAGACAGACAGAGAAAAAGATTGATGGCACTCTCAGTTGAGATGTCATCATATTCATCTTTGATTAACATCTTCATGTACTCTGCTGTTTTCTCAGAGCTGCTGTGTGTGTTGGTCAGGAGGCCCTGCAGGACTCTCTGATTGGACTCCAGTGAGATGCCCAGCAGGAAACGGAGAAGAAAATCCAGCTGTCCATTTTCACTCTCTAAAGCTTTATCCACTGCTCCCATTAGCAGCTCATCCACTGAAACATTCTCAGAGCACTCTCTGTGTTGAGGTTTAAAACACTGCAGTATCTCCATGTTCTTGGTCTCATAGCAGTAAAACACATAAACAGCAGCCAGGAACTCCTGAAAGCTCAGATGAACAAAGCAGTAGACCTTCCTCTGGTAAAGCACACATTCCTCCCTAAAGATCACAGTACAAATCCCAGAATACACTGAGGCCTCAGTGACATCAATGCCACACTCTCTTAGGTCCTCTTCATAGAACATCACATTGCCCTTCATCAGCTGTTTGAAAGCCAGTTCAGCCAGTTTCAGAAGAACGGTTCTGTTGGACTCCAGCAGGTTCTTTGGATTTCTCTTATCTTTCTCCTCATACTTCTCGTTCTTCTTGTTTGTCTGAGTGAGCAGGAAGTGTGAGTACATTTCAGTCAGAGTTTTAGGAATTCTTGTATTATGTTGTTTCATGATTTTTAGAAGCACAGTGGCTGAGATCCAGCAGAAGACTGGAATGTGGCACATGATGTGGAGGCTCCTCGCTGTCTTAATGTGGGAGATGATTCTCTTGGCTTGGTCTTCATCACTGATCCTCTTCCTAAAGTACTCCTCCTTCTGTGGGTCACTGAATCCCTGAATTTCTGTCACACGGTTGATGTATTTAGGAGGGATCTGATTGGCTGCTGCTGGTCGAGAGGTTACCCAAATGAGGCCAGAGGGAAGCAGCTCTCCTTTGATGAGGTTTGTCATCAACACCCCCACTGATGATGTCATGGTGATGTCAGATACTCTCTCGCACTGTTCAAAGTTCAGTGACATTCTGTTTTCATCCAGACCATCAAATATAAACACAGCTTTGCACACATCATATATATTTGGGTCCAGATTTTTAAGCTCAGGATGGAAGTCACACAGAAGTCCATGAAGACTGTATTGGTCATCTTTAATCAGGTTCAGCTCCCGGAACGGAAGCACAAACATGAGATCTACATCCTGATTGGCTTTTCCTTCAGCCCAGTCCAGAATGAACTTCTGCACAGAGACAGTTTTTCCAATTCCAGCGATGCCTTTAGTCAGAACAGTTCTGAGCTCTGGCTCTTTGGGTCCATTGCTTTCTTTTCTTACTTTCTTTGTTTTTTTGTGCTTGAGATCTTCAGCCATGACATCTCTAATGTTATCCTCTTCTGCTTCTCCTTCAGCACCTTGTAGAGGTTTAAAGATATCTACACAGTTGATTGGAGTGTCTTGTAAGTGTTTTCTGAATGTTTTGCCCATCTGTAAAACCTCACGTTCTTCAGTCACTCCTTCACTCTCTCCCTCTATGATGTAGAGCTGTGTATAGATACTGTTCAAGAGGGTTTTATTGTCCTGTGTTTTGATCCCCTCAAATATACTCTCATATTTGTTCTTCATGTTGGTTTTGTGTCTCTCTCTGACTCTCTGTAGGACATCATCCATTGTTTTATAAAAATCCAGTTGCAGGCCTCCAGCCCCTTCTACTAATGTATGTGTGAGTGTCTGCAGTGCTGCTTTGGTCGAGCACTGCCTGATGGAGATAAAATACACACACACACATACACACATCATAAATAGGAATAACCATAATGAACTGCCACTGAATTACAAAACTGAAAGTATATTGTAAACATTTTTCATAATGTTTTTTTATTGTTTTATAATTGTCCAATTCAGTAGTTCTTTTTAAAGCTTGTCTTAGTCTCCCAAGGTCAATTTTTGTAAGAAAAAAAATTGTCTTCCTTTTTTAAAATAGAACACACTCTTCCATAAAAGTGAAAAAGAAACGAATGAAAAATTTAAAATATGTTACCTTTTCATTTGAGAGAGACTTGCACAATGAGTGGATTATAGTTACTTTTTACATTAGCAACAGCCACAGTGGTTAGACAGAGGTACAAGCTCAATAACATGCTGAAAGAAAATTTACCAAAAGAATAACACTAACATTTCAACTCTCAGTGCTTCTCCAAATGCCTACTTCTATGATGTTATTCTATTGGATTTTAACTTTCATTTTTCATAGGTCTCCTATGTTCCTTCCTGTGTCTGTGTATTTCTCTGTCCTCATTGTCTCTAGGTGGAGCTCAATCCAGGTTGAAGGCTGGTGTGTGCAGTGGGAGAAGCACTTCCTGGAGAATGCCATAAAAGAGGTGGGAAAATGAAGAGGAGAGGGGGAAGCCCACCTTGCTTTTGTAATTTTGTGCCCTGTGTGTGTTTTGAGTCTGTGGACTCTTCTTTGAAAAAACATGTACTGTAAATAGTGTAAAGTGTTTATAGAAAGACAACTTCACAACACTTGAAGGTGCTAATTGGCTAGTTTCTTTTGTGTCACCACTGCTGGAACGGGGTAAGTGCCATTTTGTTTGTAGACTCCTTTTTCTAATGGTTTTAGGCTAGTCAGGGAGTCAGGGTGGTTGCCTGTGTGTTTCTTTGTTTTTGTTGGGTTTAGGTAAAGTTAGATTTGGGTTGGGATTTAGTGTTGGGTTTTGTTTGTTATTTTGGCCTTTGCTCACCCCTGGAGAGATGGCAGATCGGCTGACTTTTTGCTAACAATTATTTGCTGTATCAATTTCATCGGTGTTCTAAACATATGTAAATAGTCTGAAAGTAGACCATTCACTTGTCCTCCAGGTTTATTACACCCTAGACCAACATGTAACAATTGGGGGCTTAACTTTTTGCTCTTCTTGCCTTCTTCTTTTGTTTGTGGGGGCGGGTGTGGTGTGATCATGGAGTTTAATTTGGAGAAGTTTGTCTTGTCTCCATCTGCGGAGGCGTTGAGTAAATGCAGGAAGGCTGAGTTGTTCATGGTAGCAGAGTTTTACAATGTGTCAGTGTCTCGCTCTGCTAGGAAGGCTGAAATTTGAGATATATTAATCAACAGATTACGTGAAGACCGGCAGTTGCCACTGTCCCCTGATACAGGGAGTGCTGCTGTAGCAGAGGCTCCTGTGTTGCATGGGGTGAGGGATGCTGGTGTTGCCACAGGTGGCAGTGGTGCTTCTGCCACAAGGTCTTCAGAGTTTGATATAAGCAACCGTATCTCTCTTGTGCCTCCATTTCGGGAATCAGAGGTTGCTTCCTATTTCAATGCCTTTGAGCAAGTAGCAGCTACCTTACATTGGCCTAAAGACATGTGGTGTTTGCTTCTCCAGTGCAAACTGGTGGATAAGGCAGAGGAGGTATGCTCCTCTCTTACTGTAGAGCAGAGCCTTCATTATGACATAGTAAAAGCCACTGTACGCTGAACACAAGTTAGTGCCTGAGGCCTACTGGCAGCGGTATCGGTCTCACCACAGGTCAAAGGACCAAACATTTGAGTTTGCTTGGGAAAAAACAGGCTTGTTTGAAAAATGGTACACCGCTTCTAAATTAACTACTTTTGCCCAGTTAGAAGAACTTATATTATTAGAAGATTTCAAAAACTATGTTCCTGAAGTTTTAGTCATTCATTTGAATGAGAAGAAAGTGTCCCCACACTTTCATCAAATGTTTGTTCATTTTTATTTTTCTAAATGATATGAATATTTGATCTGCTCATGTCTTCATATAGCATGAAACGTTACATGACTGAACATGGAAGTACTGGATGTGCTGGACTGTCCTTTTTAATTTGCTGAGGTTTAAAGTCAGAGTTTTGGAACAATAGGAAGTGCTCTGTGTGTTAGATATCTATCGTTAATACACTGAACAATAGCAACTCACTCAGAGTCAGGGGTCACAGGTAACCTGCTTAATGTAGGAGGGTTCCCCATGGACCAGTCACTCTTCATAGACACACAGCTGAACACTGGAGAAACTGTTCTCTCACTCTGCAATCTGGAAAAATCACATACAAACAACACCTTCCTTACTCAACTAATTACATTTTATCAGTTCATTTATAATGCAGTTTTCTGTATTTATTAATGTTGTCTTAATGTCATTTAAGGTGGAGTCTTTGTTTTTAAAGACTACAGAGTTCCTTCATTCATACTATATAGTACTAGTTTGTATCATGGTTCAGTGTCCATAAGTAAGTTTAAATAGCCACACCTGAACACCTGGCTGTTACATTCCCTTCAGAAGGAGTGTAACAATGATGTGATTGTCGTGAGCTAAGTGCTAAGCAAAACATTAGGGAGTAGAGGTTTAACAAGCAGGATTTTAGGACTTTAATTCTGTCTGAAACATTACTGGTGATGAGCATAATGCTTTTACTGCAATGTTTGAAGCGACTCATTTCCTTCTCTCTGCATCTAAAAAATGTCATAGTCTGCCCACATACACTGGATCATGGAGATTTTTCTATTCTTTTCTTGTTGTGAAAAATAGATTATCTATAAATGGTTCATCCAATAAATTTTCTAGAAGATGGAGATCCTTTTATTGATATGATAAAAATGCTTTTTCCAATTTGAGAAATGTTGGGATATGTTTTCCAGGGCATTGGTGTGATTAAACTGTATTCTTTTTTGATACTGCTTTAACCAACCTACTTGTTGCTATTTGTGTGCGTATGCATGCGTGCGTGTGTGAGAGTGTGTGTACACAATTATATGGAAAAGCTTGAGCGCCTCTGTTCAAACTATAGTCAATTGATGTCAATGTTTTTTTTTATTATTATTATTATTATTTTTAAAAGTCAAAATAAATTAACACATCCTGTACAGAGAACACACCCATTTGCACATTATAATGCACAATTACTGCTTATTTGTGGAAGATAACATATTGAAAAAAATAAACATAAAATGGCCTGTACAAGTTTTATAAAGTTTAGTTTTATGTTTTATGTTTACTTTTTCAATATGTTAAACTGTTTAACAAAAGCAGAAACTGTTCTTACAGGAAATTGCCATATTTAAATGTGTTCTGTGTATAGGATGAGTTTATTCTCAATAATTTTCTTTATCATTAATTTATAATTTTTTTCCATTTATTTTCATATTTTTTAAGATCTTTTGTTTGCTATTTTGGACCTTGGGCCTCCCTCATTTATTCCCCTACTGTCCTATGTCAAGCTTCAAACCATGACTGCCTTGAAGTGTTTTACCATACATTGAATAAATGATTGAACTCACCATTTACATCATCAATGTGTTTTTGATTATTCAAGTTTGTTCAAGCTTCATTTTATTTTGATTTGGTGGCTGAATGGGTAGCCTTTCTTCCTCTCTTACTGCATGTTCCTTTTTGTATGGAAAAGTTTGGGAATCCTTCACCAAGTTACATATTTTGCTCATTTTTGATATTGAAATAAACTTAAAAATAACATTTTTTTTGCAAATGTTAAAGCACAATTACTTGGAAATTGAACTGATGCCTACAAAGCAGTGGGAAGTCTGTAAAAAGATATGAAGCTCTTCCAGCTCACAATTCCCACTGTCTGAAATGTCATTAAGAAACAACAGTTATGGAGAAATGTGAAGGTCAAGACAAGATACGGAACACCAAGGAAACTTTCAGATAGCATAGGTCTCCACAGGCCTCATACTGATTTAAATATTAAAAAAAATTGCATGATTGTCATAAATAAGGAAGTACCACACAGCCAGTAACTGAACTCTTTCTCCACTGCTTAAGAGGTAAAAGTCATGGAACTGGAAGTGTGCTTTTCTACACTTCCTAAACCAGTGTAAACATAAGTTCTTGACCATTGTTTCACTACTAGTCAGTGATGCACTGAAGACTGAATTACTCACTCTGAGTCAGAGGTCACAGCTCCACTGCTAAACGCAGAATGCTCAACCAGGTAATGGTCACTCTTCACAGTCACACAGCTGGACATTGGAGAAACTGTTCTGTGGGTTTCAGTCCTGTTAATACTAAACAAACTGAAAACTTCTAGCCTTTACAGTGTGACCTACAATAAGTATCACAGATTTCTGGAAGATATTTTAGACTTTTCATTCTTAGAAGTGTTGTGTCATCAGTGATTTACCCAGAGTAAGAAGCTCCTCCTCTACTACTAAAGCTGCTTGGCTCTATTATAGACCAGCCACTCTTCATGGACACACAGATGGACAGTGGAGATCCTGCACGCTTTGTCCTGAGAGCAGTTCATCCATGATTAAAGTGTTAAGTATTTAACCTCTTTATTACAACTCATTTCATTAGAGCAGGGTATCCAAGCTTATCAGTAAAGGGCTGGTGTGGCTGCAGCCAACAAAGGTGATGCACACATGATCAATTGTTTGAATACTGAGGCTAACTGTACACTGGCTCATTTGGAATGGAAACCTGCAGCCATATTGTCCTGTTGTGAATAAGATTTAACACCCCTGAGTAAGAGCATAAGTGATAAACAAAATCTTACTTACTTTATGTCAGAGGTTCCTGCTCCACTTGTGGAATTATGTTGTTCCATTATGTTATACTTCAAACAATTAAAGATGAACACCATAGAAGCTGCTCACTGCTCTCTGTAAACAATCCATAAAAACTTACTGACACACTTATTGTAGAACAGTGTTTCCCAACCCAGCCCTGGTTGGAAATAGAACTGATGTGTGGCCCAGTTGGCTAGACCCTAAGGACTTGATTTGCAAACACAATGCAACATAAAATGTTACCCAATAAACAAATAAAAAATCATTTGCAATAAAATGATACTGTTGCATGATTTAGTCTCTTAGCCCCTTAAAATTCTAGGCTCATTATATACTAAGGCGTATTATTCAGTAACTAAAGGGACTTCACTGCAAACTGGTTGAGCTGCTCTTACATTATAGAAGTTCATTCATTCATCTTCATTCATCTTCTTAAACCACTTGATCCAGCTAGGGTCGCAGTAGCAATAGGGAAAGCAGAGAATCCCAAACTACCCTGTCCCCATCAACTCCCTCCAGCTCATTCTGCGGGATCCCGAACCACTCCCAGACCAACTTGTAGATCAGGGATGTCCAATCTTATCTGCAAAGGGCTGATGTGGGTACAGGTTTTCATTCCAAACAAGAAGAGCACACCTGACTCCACATATTATGTGTGCTCCTGCTTTGTTGCAGTGAAAACCTGCAGCCAAACTGGCCCTTGCAGATAAGACTGGACACCCCGTTGTAGATATATTCCCTCCAGTGGGTCCTAGGACAACCTTGAGGTGTCATCCCAGTCAGCCGTGCCTGGTAAACCTCCAACAGGAGGCAGCCAGGGGGCATCCTAATCAGACGCCTGAACCACCTCACCCAGGTCCTCTCAATGTGGAGGAGTAGCAGCTCTACTATGACCTCTTTCTGATTGAACTCCTCACCTTATCAAGTAGGGTAGACCAAGTACAGGGATCGAATGGCCTGGAGTAGTGGCTTTGGCACCTCATACTCCTGGAGGACCTCACACAGAATATCTTGGAGAAAAAAGTTCATAAGCCTTCTACAAGTCCAATTGAGGTCGTAGTCTCAATTATAAGACTTTGGCATGAACTTTCCCAGAGAGGCTGAACAGTGTGATAACGTGGTATTTGGTACACACTCTCCAGTCCACTTTCTTAAAACTAGGGTCCACCACCCTGGTCTTCCAGTCCAAGGGTGCTGTTCCCGAGGTCCATGCATCATTGCAGATGCACGTCAGCCATGACAGCCACACAACATCCAGAGCCTTAAGCATTTGCAGGTGAACCTCATCCACCCCCAGTACTTTACCACGAGGAACTTGGCAACTACCCCAGTGATCTCCACCAGGGAAATGGAGTCTGACACCCTAGAAGCCTCTGGCCCTTACTCTCATGAGGGAGGCATGTCTGTCAGGTTTAGGAGTTACTCAAAGTGCTCCTTCCACCAACGGACAAAATCCAGAGGTGGGAGTTAAGATTATTCTCTGCCAGTTGTTCCTATAACATCCTTGCTTGGGCCTACCAGGTCTGACTGCCAGTCTTCCATGCCATCTGATACAACTCACCACCGGATGGTGATCGGTTGACCTCTCTTTACACAAGTGTCTGGAATACATGGTCCCAAGCCAGATGACACAACAACAAAGTCGATCATTGACCTTTGACCCAAGAAGCTCTGGTACCAATTACACTTATGAACATCCTTGTGTTCCTGACGGACAATCCATGACTAGCACAGAATAACAATAACAATTCACCATTCGGGTTTAGATCAGCCACTCACTCTAAGAATGCCAAATACTCCAAACTGGAGTTTTGTTCTAGAGTCGACACTGAATGGAGATGAGCCCAGCTATAAATTGCTGCTGCCTATCTTGCTCTGGACATTCCTACAAAAGATATTTTTAACTGCAGTAAGATTTTACTATCAGCATACAGTCCTTGCAAAAGTTTGCACACAGACCTGTCAAATTACATTGTTGTTTTTCTGAGTGAAAATAAGTACACATCCTCCACAGAGAACATACTTTTGCAAAATTTAATACACAGTGTCTGTTGCTGAAATTAACATTAGAAAAAAATACATGAAATGAAGCTTGTGCAAAAATGGCACATTTAATGTAACATTTATTTTTTCTCTAATATGTGTAACTTAAAAGAGACTGTGCTCTAAATTGTGCAGAAAATGCCATATTTAAGATCCCAGTAAAGGATGTGTTTTTAACTTAGAAACAATTGTTGTTTTATTAGTTCATGGTGAGTTTGATGTGAATTACACAGTCAACTCCATAATTATTGGCATCCCTCAAGAAACTGGGAAATAACAAATGTATAAAATTAACAATACATATAATGATTCAAATTTTTCCTAAAGCGTTTTGATAAACTGCTTACCATTTATTATTACAGTCCAAGATCAAAAGCCAGATCGAGAAAACAGTAACCATAGGGGCAATCCAAAAAACAGACTCCATAAACCAGAAGAGAGGTCCAAACCAGAAATACAAACAATCCCCAAAGGGCTAGGCTAAGGCAAATTCAAAAATAAACAAAGTAAAGCTCATACACGGACAGGCAAACTAGCGTACCAGAAGGCTCTGTAATGCTCAGTGAGACAAAGACAATATGTCGCAATGAACTGACAAACTGAGGGTGTGTTAAACAGGTGACCTGAATAAATGAGGTGAAGTGGAGCGGTGGGGAGTCACATGAGGTCTGGGGTCATGTGATCTGGCAGGGCATTCTGGGAAATGTAGTCCAAAGGATGAGAAGTGGTGACAACAGGGCCAGAGGGAAGTGTGACAAAATCCTTCCCACAAAAGTGTTATTTTTATTTAGTTGTTTAGTTGAATGTTAGGGTTTACAAATTTCAAAATCCACCATCTGCACATTCACATCCACATTCTGTGCCAGAACTTTGTAAAATGTTATTATGGAATCATGTGATGTGGTCAGATCAAATGTTTTCCTCTTGGTAGTGCACACAATCATCACTTAAAACAGGGATTGCATACAATGAAAAGCCCTTGATACCTGAAACATTGTGGTGAATCGATGTTCTGGGTGTTTTTAGCTGGTAGAGGTCCAGGAGCTCTTGTGAAAATCAATGGTATAGTGACTTCCACTATATACAAGAAGATTTTAGCCCAGCATCTGTCTGCCTCTGCCAGAAGCCTGAAACTTGGCCATGAAGATAATGGCCCCAAACACACAAAATCCACAAAAATTCATGAAGTTTTGCAATGGAATTCAAAACCAATGGCCCTCTCAGTCTCCAGATTTGAACCAAATTGAAATTTCTAATAGGGTATTTGGCACTTCCATTTTACCCTAAATTATTACACAGCAGATTGGAGTTAATACTCCATACTAACTCACTAAATAAAATAATGTAGTTTGACTGTTTTAGAACCTACTATTATATCCAATCATGATAGCATCACCTGTTCACTTGTTAACATGTGTAAAGTTCCAAAACAGGTGTTTTTGATAAATCTACAAACTTCCTCGTCTTACAAGGCCCCTATTACAACTTTTTTTGGTATGTGTTGCATACCAAAATATTTACAGTTCTATATTTACAGTTGATAACATAAAATATTAAAATATATTTTCTTGTGCTGTACCAGCACAGTTTAAAAATAACTGCTAATTAGGGTAATCTGAAACATTTTACTGAACCTGACATAAGTAGCCCGACTTAACCAGACCTCAAAACCTAGCTCACTGGTCTTTCACACCCAGAGACCTGGGTTGAAGTTACAGCAACATTGAGACTCAAAAGAGCTGCTTCAGGAGGCCTCAGTCAGCCGATTGTGATTGGAAGGTTGATATCTGCCTCCCTCTGGTGGTGGCAGTGGGCCAGTCTGGGTGCCAGTGTTCTGTCTCCCCCATAGAAGATCAAGGCTGGCATCTGACAAAATTTAGTGTGAGCTAATGTGTGCTAGCTTCTCCAAATAAATATCCAATTATGAGATATTTTTAACAGAGTCTGACTGCAGACATGCACTCTCAGCCACAGTGACATCACACGCAAATGCAATCTCTGCCACAATGACAGAAGCAGCCCAATGGTGCATTATGTTTTGGCTGCTGCTGCTTAGTGATATCATTACTTAATCCATTTTTCATCCATAACACGATTAGAAAATTCCATTTAATGTACCTCCCTGTTGAAAAAATAGAACGCATTAAAATTGTCTGTTGGTTCCTGGTGGTTTTCAGTAGTCACTAATGGTCCTCTGTGTTTTCCCGATGGGTTGATATCACAGTGTAAAGGATTCAAATCATTTAATCAGGTGTTCTGGGACTGATTCCAGATACAGTTGTTCATTTCCTAATGGTTTGTAGTGGCAACCATCAAGCCAATTCCTGTCAGAAAGCAAAACCATCAGGTTTTATTCCTAACAGCTCTAATCGTCTTCAGGCTTTCATGAGTTTCAGCGGTTTCTGCTAATAAACCCGACATTCATATCTTATCGTTGTGGTAGGTTTCATCCTGAAAGTTTCCATATTTATTTATTACCTTATTATCAGTACGAGAATGTTAATATATGTTCAGTGTAGCTCTTGTTGCCCAGCAGTTCATGTTTCAAAGTTTTTCCTCATAAAACCGATAAAACTCTGTCGTGGCAGACCAGCACTGACATCATTGATAGGCTGGCGGTGCTCGTCAGGCTGAGAGTGCAGGTCTGCAGCCACACCCTTCTCGATATTTTAGCATGTTCTTTATTAGCTTAATAGCTAGAACCTGTTAGTCATTTTAGTGTAATGTAGTTGTTTTAAACAAAATAATGACCCAGCACTTTGAGCCACACACTTACTCGGTTAATAACTAGACACCATTGAGTATTTCAGTAAATTGGTTAGACTCTCTTAGAACGTAACTATTTAACCAGTTAGCTATTTAGCTAATTTAGTTAGTCAATACCTAGAATCTAGGGAGCTGTTTAAAAAAAGTGTGAAGCAGCTGCACAACATACAAGATGGCAGAGGACTACCCAATAAAACTACCAGCTACGTTGCAGTCCTGACAAACTACATCAAAGTCAATGGGTTTTCAGTTCAGGAAAACAAGCTTTTCTGGACTGACATCTGTTTTCCATTGAGAACAAATATTTTAGAACAGAGGTTCTCAATCCAGTCCTAAGGACCCTTGAGATGGCGTACATTTTGGCACTAACCCAGCTCCCAACATATCTGTACCATCTATTCATTGTTCTTTTTACACATCAGTGTCACTGCTTGATTAAGAATTGTCCATCACCTGAAATTATCCAGCAAAGAGTGTCTCAGTGGTCAGAAACTGACCATTGATGAAAGGCTAGAGGATGTATAACACTGTGCACGAACAGACGGGCTACAATATCTAACTGTACACCAGTGAAGCTAGAAGTTAGGGGTTTCTGAAGAAGTGGCTGGGGAGTTTATGCCAGAGACGAATGGTGTGTTCCATGGATTAGAACTGGGGTTCATTTTGTAGAGGTATAGTGTATATAATGAGTGTTAGTATATAGTGTATATAATATAGTGTTATAATAAATATTAATAAATGAATTCATTCTTTCATATTATTTGCTTATGTCAGTGTAGCAATATAGCCATCCTGATTGGCAGATCAGATAAATCTCTTTTTACATAAACCAAGCTGGTTTCATAATTATCCTACAGTTTCCTTAGAAAAACCTCAGATCAAAATCACTCTGTGACTGATGAATATACTGTGTACGCTGGACATTATATATGCATTTAAAATAGTTTCTACTTCCTACCTCAATATTTATGAAGAAACCATCCTTTCGTCTTCATGAATGGAAATATCTTTTCAGCTGCTAAGAGCAGTTTTGCATGAATGGTCACCTGTGGGTGTTTATGTCATTAAAACAGGAGAGTCTGTTTCAACCTGAACCTCATTCTCAAATAGTCCAATTCACCTGCAGTCTCATTCACTAATGCACTTCAGTCCATTTCTGGTGACATGGATTTCAAATGTGGCTTGGATCAGATTTGCAAAAATCAGATTTCATTCTTTTTTTTTTGTTTTGTTTTGTTTTGTTTTGTTTTTTGCTGTACATACTACCATAGATCAGTCTGGATACAATCTGGATATGCCAAAAATCTGATTTGGGCAGGCAGTCTGAACATAGCCATACTACTGCACTACAGTCCATTTCACCTACAGTCTCATTCACTAATACACTACAGTGCATTTCACTTACAGTCTAATGTACTAATTCACTACAGTCCATTTCACCTACTGTCTATTCGGCTGTGTTCAGACAGTTTGGATTTGTTTCTTAAATCAGATCTTTTAAGACAACTGTCTGCACTGTTATTTGCAAGTGATCAGATCAGATTTATGTGTCCTGACATCACGAGTCTATCTGCATGGGTTGCTATGGTAACAAAGTAAGCGTCAGTAACTATGTGGCTATGCTGGTGACACAGAATTGTTGTTGTTTGTCAGGTTGCAAGTGACGCAATATTTTTTGAGCTTGACTGTCTAATAAAAGGTGCACTGAGTTCCACAGTTCAGAAGCAGCAGCACAAACAGTCTCTCCACGTTTTCTGTGTTTTATGGAAAGTGTTTGCAGAACGTCAGTATCTGCAGACCTACGATTGTAACACTGGGTGAATGAACTAGATGCTCGTGGATGTAAGATAAGCCATAAGCTTTATGTAAAAGGGAATGATCCAAAAGAGGAGTGTCAAAGCCAGGCCAGGTCAAAAACAGGAGGAGCAAAACATAATACATAGGATGAGGCAAAAAAGAGTGGTGAGTAAACAAGTGAGGGTCAAGGCCAGAGAACAACAAAACGAGAAACACTGAGCATGCACTGGAAAACACAGAGGCAATACTATGCAAAGTGTATGACAAACAGACAGGTGTATATATATATATATATACTAGTAGACATAGATGAAATGAGTTAGAGTTCAGGTGACAATCATCAGGTAACTGAATGCCGATTGTCTGGCTGAATCATGTGACTGGCAGACATAGGAAGTCTCTGCAGTTTGCAAATGGGAGTGGTATGATCCCTCTGGTCTGTTGTTGTTAGGATCCGAGTTGTAAAAGATTAAGTGTTTTCTCCAGTAAGAAGAGAATTACAGTGATCAACTCTGCTGAACAAATGCTACAAGTTCCTCTGCATCGCTCTATTTCTCGATTGATAAAAAGCTACTTTAGTGACTGTGTTTACATGCGAGATAAAACAGAGCTCAGAGTCTAAGATCACACCCAGATTTCCTAATTCAGGTTTGCTCTGTGAAGCTAGAGTTTCACACAAAGTGGAGTTTTAGTCCCAGGGATTAGTCTTTCAGTTTTGTCTTGAAGCTGTAGGAAATTTTGTGACATGCACTGAGAAATGTCTGACACACAGCTGGTCAGCCTGTCAACAAAGTCTTGATTATCAGAAGGACAAAGTACAAAGAAGAGCAAAGGCCCTAAAATGGAACCTTATGACAAGATTTTTTTTGGTGATCGAATTTCTCAGTGAAACCAATAACTGTCTATTCATTAAATATGGTTTAAACCATTCTTAAACTGAACCAAGGGTGTCTCAGTATTATGACTAGAAGGAAGGCCTGATTGAAACTTCTCATATAACTTTTTGTTATTAGATATGCATTTAAGTGTTTAAGACTATTTAAAAAATTAAGGTTAGTAATTGATCTAAAATTATTTAGTACAGAAGGATCAATGCGACTTTTTTTTTTTAGCAGAGCCTTCACCAAAGCCTCAGGAAAAAAAACCTGTTGACATAGAACAGTTCACAGTAGTTAAAACATCATTGTGAACACAATCAAAAACGATCTTAGGGAAGCAAGTAGGAACAGGGCCAAGATCACTTAGCTTGTTCACAATAGTTGTGAGCTCCTGATAATTGATAGCAGAGAAAAATGTCATTACTGGTGTAGGAGGCCTATTAGGAAGATTTTAGTAGCTTGTTTCAGCTGAGATGAATTCTAAAGTCTTTGCAAATTTTAGAAAATTAATTACCATGTCCCACACTAGCAGAAACGTTAGGGTTAATTAATCTGTCCATGGTGGAAAAAGGATTTTGGTATTATCTTTGTGTTTATTAATTACACTAGAGAGGTATGACTGTCTGGATATTTCCATAGCATTATTGTACATGGAGATCTGAGAATATCATAAAGTACTTGCAATTTAGTTTTCCTCCATAAGCGTTCTGATTTACAACAGTTTCTCTTAAGGTGGAGTATTTATGTATTCATCCACAAATTTTTATGAGTGAGTTTTTTCTTCCATTTGACTGGTGTGAGAATATCATCTAGCATTTAGATCAGAGACCAGATTATTACAGAGCTGTATTTGAGGCACTATTATAAACTGTTTTAAACTTCTCAACTATTTCTAAATGTAGCACTTTTTCTTCTTGTACTTGAGCTCGTTTTTCCCTGTAATGGTAGTTTTACTCTTACTTGAGTTCATCTATAATGAAATACTTCTATTTTGCCACTTTCATTTTATTAACAATTTTAACATTTAACATTTTAATAACATTACAGAGTAAAAATAAATTATGAGATTCTCAGCTCAGAAACAAATTAAAAGAAAAGATTCAGCTCCCAGTCACAAAAACACTACATAGATGTCCAGTTTAGAGCAGAAAGAAAGAGAAAAATGTTAGCAGTACAAACAAAGAGCATACTTTATCCAACTGGTCATCTTCATTCATTTTTAAATTAACTAAAAAAAGTGTTATCAGCTGTTAAACACTGCTAAAGATCTCCGCTTTTCACAACTCACCTTCAGCTAAACAGGGACTGTATTTACAACAATATGTTGTATAATCAAAATGTAAATAACAACAAAACGCAATGATGTGCAGATCATTTAAATCCTATACTTAATTGAAAATAGTACAAAGACAACAAATCAAATGTTGAAACTGAGAAATTATTGTTTTTGGAAAAATACATGGCAATTTTGAATTGTTGATGCCAACAACACATTCCAAAAAAGTTGGAACACTTCTTTTAACAACACTCTGTAAGCGTTTGGGAACTGACGAGACCCTGCTGTAGTTGTGAAAGTGAAATGTTTTCACAGTTTTACGTGATAAGGGATTTCAGCTGATCAACAGTTCTGGGTCTCCTTTGTCATATTTTTCATTTCATAATACACCAAATGTATTATAAAGGCAGGTCAGTTTACTGCCTGGGCTCTTTTAATATTGAGCAATGCTGCTGTAAAAAATGCAGAATGTGGTTTTACATTGTCTTGCTGAAATAAAGAAGGCCTTCCCTGAAAAAGACGTCGTCTGGATGGCAGCATATGTTGCCACAACATGTATATATCATTCAGCCTTAATGGTGCCTTCACAGACACTAATGGCCCCTATACCATCATGAATACTGGCTCTTGAACTGTGCACTGATAACAAGCTGAGTGGTCTTTAGCTCGGAGGACACAGTGACCACGATTTCCAAAAAGAATTTCAAATGTTGATTCGTCAGACCACAGGACACTTTTCCATTTCCCCTCAATCCATTTTAAATGAGCTCAGGCCCAGAGAAGGTGGCAGCATTTCTGGATCCTGTTTATATTTGGTTTCTTCTTTGCATTTTAGAGTTACAACTTGCATTTGTGGATGCAGCAATGAACTGTTTTCACAGACAGTGGTTTTCAGAAGTGTTTCTGAGCTCATGCAGTGATTTCCACTACAGAATCATGTCTGTTTTTAATGCAGTGCCACCTGAGGGCCCAAAGATCACGGCCAGCAAATACTGGTTTTCAGACTTGTCCTTTACATACAGAGATTTCTCCAGATTCTCTGAATATTTTAATGTTGTTATTATGTACCGTAGATGATGAAGAAAAGCAAAAGTTCTTTGCTATTATTTGAAACATTATTCTTGAATTGTTGCACTATTTGATCATGTAGTCTTTCACAGAGTGGTGAACCCCTCCTCATCTTCTGAAAAACTCAGCCTCCCTGAGATGCTCTTTTATACACAATCATATTAACCATCAGGTGTCTTTTTTTAGCATTACACAGCTTTACCAGTCTTTTGTTGCCCCCGTCCCAACTTTTTTGGAACATGTTGTTGGCATCAAATTCAATATGGGCCTATATTTTTCAAAAAAATAATAAAATTTCTCAGTTTCAACATTTGATATGTTGTCTTTGTATCATTTTCAATAAAATATAGGGTTTAAATGATTTGCACATCATCGCATTTTGTTTTTATTTACATTTTACACAGTGTCCCAACTTTTTTGGGAATGGGGTTGTACTATTTTCCTCTTACTCTGCTGTTTTAGAATATAATGGTGGCTATTTATTAAACTTAAAATATGTTGCATATGTTATATTGTGAGTGTCTGTTAGCTAGCTTCTTCAGGTAACGCTGGTGTCAACCCATAGCCTACGGGTTACTCTGCTGTGATTAGTCTCAAAACATGTTTTTATTTGCATAACAGATCAACACTCATTTTTTAAAAGATGTTTGTTTGTTAGAACATTTGACTATGTAGTCATCAGCCCAGTGTACAATCTTTGTTAAGGCGTGCAGCATCAGGCAGTTTATCTCCTCTTTGATTTCCGTCTCCTCGTGATAGTTCCACACAGGGAAGATACAGTTCATTGGGACACCCAGCGACATGCTACACTCACGTATCTGGACACACACACACACACAAACACACACACGCACACACACACAGAGAGAGAGAGAGAGAGAGAGAGAGAGAGTCATTAATTTGTCAGTTTGTCATCACAGTAATTGAGAATCTCTGCATGGATGTCCACACCAGCTCTCACCAGCAAGATTACTCACTTTTTCCTTGATCTTCTTGCTTTTGTAGATGCTACGCAGATCTTTCTTTGTCCGTGGGCATACACGGTCCACTCTCGTCATAAAAATCACTTGAGGGAGTCCTGTAGCAGAGACAGTTAAGGCACACATATAAAACACATTTATTTAAGAAGTTATTTTATTGTAATCAGCTCTGAATGAGAACTTTTACCACTTTTTTTAACTTTACACTAAAACAGAATACTAAAAAAACACAAAGGTTTATTTGATTGATGTATATTTTTGAATGAACTGTCTTACCCATGTTGCTGGCTTCTTCTCTGACTTTCTTCATATTTTGGATGAAATCATCTTTGATCATTGAAATCGTGTCTGCTGGTATAACATTCACCAGGCAGTGGATCTTATCATTCAGGCTGGGATTTTTGATGTAATACTGGTTGTCATCAGTCAGTTTAGTAGGTTTGAACTGAAGGAAATGCAAATATTTGGATCATATAGAGGAAAAACACTCTTTCAATCTTTCAATCTGAAGTGCGTATGTTGTGATCTTACCATATAGCCTTCTTTTACGTGACCTTTTAAAGCGCTGATGATGTCCTGAGTATGCACTCCATCTTTGTCTTCCTTTTCTAGACCCCTGATATCATGGAAGGTGAAAGGAAGCAATCCATCCTTTTCAATTTCAGTTTTTTCATACTGAATAAAAGTAAAAATGTCATAGATAATATAGCTTTGGTTGTTTATTACAGTGTACATTGTACAGTGTACATTGTACATTTGGTTTACTGAAAAACATAAATATCAAACAGTAATTGTGACATGTATGTTCAAAAGACACCCTTCCAGTCTCAGCACTTTATTAACTCATTAGGCCTTAATCAACTCAATTGGTCAGGCAGGTCGAGAATTGCCTTTAGGAATTGTCCACTAGTGATTTTCTAACCATTCAAACCTTCTTCTAACATTCAACAGCCATAGGATCCTCTAAGCAAGGCACCTCAAACTGATGCCTACAAAACAGATGTCAAAAATGACATTGACTTCTTATAAAATGTAGGCAATTATTTCAAAATAACCAGTCAAGATCTCCAAGAAGTAAGATATTATTTTGACATAATCAGTCAAAATCTCAAGAAAATAAACCAGTGTTTTGACATAATTGTTCAAAATCCTGAGAAAGTATTAGATTATGTCATTCATGTAAAACATGTTTTTTAGAGTTTTACAAAAGTTCATTAAAAATCCTAAACTTAAAAATCTTATTCACAGAAGTATACAGACCTTTTGCTCTGCCACTCCAAATTATCGTCAGGTACATCATGTTTGCTTTCTTAACCTTTAGATCTATCTAGAACTCATTTGGAGTCCACCTTTTGGAATTTGAATTGATTGGATCTACTTTAGAAAGGCAGACACCTCAGTCTATAAGGGTCCACAGTTTACAGTGACAAAAACCAAGAAAGGAGCTGTCTGAGGATCTCAGTGATCAAACTGTGGCAAGGTGTAGATCAGGGCCTGGTTATAAAAGTGTTGCAAGGACCAAAGTGACCTTAATTAATTTTAAATGGAAGAGGCTTGGCACAACCTTTAACTTTCCTAGAGGATCTGAAATTGGACAAGCAATTAAACAGTTAGCATTTCTCTTAAGAAAAGTAACAGGAATTTCAATTGCAATTAAACACACATGGTTTTTGCACAGTTCACGTGTTATTACATTTGACCATATGTTTTATTGTCTCTGACTTTACATCTACAAGGTGGACCACAGTGCTGAGAATCATCCACCACCCAAATAATACCTGCTCTGTGGGGGTCCTGTGGGGGTCCTGACCATTGAAGAACAGGGTAACAAAGTATGCAGAGAAACAAATGGACTACAGTTTGTAACTATTGAACTACAAATTCCCTGCTTAATACGTATATGCCATTTAAAGGCTGGGGTGATGAACAGGGAAACGAGTCCCAAGTCTTAGGACACAGGAGAGGCAGAGCATTACGCTGCCAATGGTGCAGAACAGAACAGCTGACTGGCTTTGTAGGACACATTAGAAAACTGTTCTCTGGGACTATTTTGCCTTACAATGCCCTGTTGATTACATTTTAACCATTTAATTAAGCAGAACATTGAAAAATAAAGTTAATATTGCTAATAGTTTACATACGTGTGCTAAAATATGTGCTAATCTACACAACCTATAAGCCTTCAGGATGAGATGGCATGAAGAGAATATTATTGCTGACACCTTGTGCGGTCACTTTCAAAGGCTACCATCAATAAACTGTGTTGAATGTAGTGTGCTGTCACTAAAGATTCTAATTTTTAACTAAATGAGTAATATTCCTTCATAGAAAATCAGGTTTTAACTTTGTACTCACGCATTTGGTAAAACTCGTATCAGATTTTTCTGAGGCAGCAAGACAGCTGATGAACAGACGTCCTTTGAAAATAGTCTTGATGGTGTTTATGATGCTGGATTTTCCTGCTCCAGTGGGTCCGTACAGAAGGAAGTGGAGTGCACCAACTTTCTCATTACTAATTTTAAAGGCTTTTAGGGCATCGATCATTCCATCTTGACTTGGATAGAAGAAATAGAAAAAGAAAAAAATGTATTTATGGTTTCAAAATAAATATATGTCACTCTGGCATATGTGCACATATATTAATAAGTTCTGGGGACAGATCTGCTCGGAAATTAAGCATTTTTCACATAAATCTGTGCTGCTTGACCCCTTAGTCCTAGTCCTAGGAGAGTCATTTAATGGACCCTCTGCTGATCAAGATTTACTGATAAGGGGTCCCCTCGCTGTTGCAAGCAAATGCATCTTGGTCAGTTGACTTCATCTACACAACTGAGCATACCTCAGTGGTATCAACAATGTTTAAGATTAGCTTATTTAGATAATGAAAAGATTAAGAACTATGGGGGGAGTTCTTGGATTACACTAAACCAGCTATTAGGGATGTGCTACAATGTTGAAATGGAATAGTGAATGGGATCTTTTTCTACCCTTGTGTCAATTTTGGTATTAATGTTAATAATACTGATTGCAGCCAATACTGCTGATATTTCTTACTTACTGTACTTTTTGTTCTCAGTATGCAGCAACTGTCATTGTACTGCATTGTACATTAAATTATCACACTATGTGTCTTATTTGTTTGCTATAATAAACAAGTCTGGAGGGGAAAAACAGTATTTGCATCATTTATTTCTTATTTATACTTTCTGATTGTCTTTTTAAATGATTTTTATCTGGTGTGATTGTGTGCTCAATTCAGTTGTTGTAATGAATCTCACAAATAAGTAATCATATCAATGATAAGTGATTTAGCATATGAAATGGATAACATAATTTAAATAACATTTTCCACTCGTGATGTTTTCTGTTACACACCGAGTTTATGTGTTCAGTTTATTTAACCAGATACTATGGTTGTGCTATACTTGATTTGATCATCTTGATTTTATAATACTTCTCGCTGTTTGTAGAGTAGAGCCGACAGCTGCTGATATTCTGATATTCCACCCGAACACCAGTCACAATTCTAACACAGACAGTTTTATTTTTCTTTTACTATGATGTCACCCACAGATGTCCACACTTCAACAGCACATTAATGATTAACTACTTGGGAGACATTCCTGAATGTGTATTGTGTTCAGGTCATTCGAAATTTTCTTGTTGGTCCTCTATTGCACATTCAGTATATAATTTCTTCAAACCAGATGGTCCCACTTTATATTGTGTCTCAAATAACTGTGTAGTTACATGTGAACAACATATGCAAAACAATGTAACTACTAATGATTTATTCACTGTTACGGCAGTACACCGTTACAGAAGTACACCGTAATTACACGTGTATCAACTTCAATTTTGCCTCATGTAATTTCACAAGTGTACCTTAAAATTTGTAACAGCCTATTCTCTCTCATGTAATTACACAATGGTAATAACATAAATGTAATTATATTTGTCATCAGACTGCAACAGCAGTTTTTTTTTTCAGAAGTTTTTTTTTTTTCCAGCAGTAAAAGGAATTATGTAATAACTGACATTGAGACTTACACTGGATCTGCCAGCTTTCCTAACATTTAGCTAGCATTTCAGCTTTAAACCATTCTGTAATGCAGCAGTACAGCAGATGTTCTCTTACCTTAAAATGTAACTTTTATGATATTAATTAAATGTGTTTCACTACCCCTAAAGCAATGTCTATATTACCACTCCTTTATAACACAGTACCTGTATAAAACTACTCAGGATGTTATAATGTCTGTGCCAAGGAAGTCAGTCCCAGCTTAGAGAGCGTAAAGTAAAGACAAATACCAAGCTAACGGTGGTGTACATTACCTTTCCCACATTGGGTAAAACACTGATGGCAGCACTAGTTTAAACTCTGACATTTGAAGCCTGTAATGTGCTTTACTGTGAATGTTTTAGTGTTTCAGTAAATCCTTCAGTAAATACTTCAACTTGAAGCCTCACTCTTAACACTGGAGGAGGCTTTAGTACAGTACGCTTCACTTTACTTAGAGCGGACAAATACAACTTATGAGCTCTTATAATTTGTTATGAACAGTACTTATAATGCATTATGTTAACAATTCATAATGAATAATAAACATGGCTATAACGTGTAATGCATTTTTATAAATATTTATAGCCATGTTTATAATGCCTTATGAATGCATTATAACATGTTATGAATGTGTTTATAGATGCTTACAAAGGTGACATTCATAGAAAGTGTTACTGAAAGTTCCTGTGTAGAAGATACACTTCAGGCAGTACTTCTGTAATCCATGTGTAACATTGACTAAATCATCAGTAGTTATAGTGTTGTTACATATATTATTCATGTGTAACTATACAGTTATTAGAGACACATAATATAATGTGGGATCAACCAGACTTTCTAGTACTAAAAGCGATGCTGACTACTTAACCTGATTTTTAACATGGTGACAAAGTTCAGTCAGATTGCAACATTGTATCTAAATTCCAAAGGCACATATAGTTTTCTTAATGGCTTTACAGCAAGATATACTTGTTGATTAGCAAATATTACTTACAAAACATATTTTTGCTATTGAATTGTAGCAATGCAAATACAAACCTCAATTCTAAAAAGTTGGGAGAGTATGTGCAATGCTAATAATTGTAAGCCATGATTAGTAAAATCTGTGTGACCTGTATTATACTGAAAAGAGCTTTTTGTGTTTATTGTGTTGTAAATATACACTCATTCCAAGTGTTATGTCTGAAGCAAGCTCTAAAAAAGTTGGGACAACCATGTTTACCAAAACCTTTTTTTTTGCAAAAACCTGTTCTAAAATGCCAGTTTCTGGTGCATTTTTACATAAAATTACATTGTAGAAATATCCATTCCATTCAATTTAAAATCAACCAGTAAATGCTTAAATGTAGTGCATGTACTGCATTAAAAATTATATGACATTTCATGACCTGAAAGCTTGACTGCTTGTTTCTTAGAAGCTTAAGTGAAGGACAAAAAATAGAAGGGTACTGTGGAAGAGGGGGTGTGGTCAAGTGTCACATGCGGGATGGAGAACAAGTGGCGATGAACCAGTGGGCTAACTAGCTGATAACGTTCAACTGTGTGTTGTCTCTGCCAGCCTATTTATAGCCATGTCATTTCTCAGTAGGTGGCAGAGCCCAGAGAGAGAGAGAGAAGGAGACCAGTGGAGACACAGAGAGAAGAGAAATCAAGACTTGACAGGAGCTAAAAAAGCTGAGTTATTTGTGTTGTTCTCAAAAATAAAAGAATACTCTGTGTCTCCACACCCTGCTCCCGGTGTCCTCACTCCTCCCAGCCTTCCAAGAACATCACAGGTAACAATGATTTCAGCCCCCTCTATATGGCTTTAACTGTATATAATACAGTCTTAATTTAATCTGTGGATGCAGGAACAAATAAGCAAGTCATGGGGATTCAGTTGTGGTTTTCAGCCCTTTATGCACAGAGATTTCTCCTCATTCCCTGAATCTTTTGGTGATATTATGCATTTTGGGAAAAGTGGAGAGCCTTGACCCATCCTTGCTCATAAAGGACTAGGCATTCTCTTGTGGAACATGTTGGTAAGCATCTATTTCAGAATGAGCTTATATATCTAAAAACAATGAAGCTGATAAGATAAAACATTATATTTCTTGTTTCTGTACTGTTTTTCATTTAAATACAGGTTATAGATTTTGCACTAATCACCGCTTTCCCAACAGGTTTGGAATTGAGGTTTGCACAACTGCAAGCTGTTGTCACAGGTTACCCTGACATATTATATACAAACTATTATATACAAACAGACTTTAAAGATGTGTGTAGCCCTTGCCTTTTTAGCCCATTACATGATATTAAAGGATGACTTATAGACTTACTTCCATTCCACTGTCCTCCATTCATTGAGTTCTGCAAGAAATACGTACATTATTGTACAGTGTTTAAGAAATCCTGAGAAGTTGCCAGTAGAAACCCATAAAATTATATCCATACATGTGATTACACTGAAAAACTCTAATATTCTTGATTTGTAGCCAGTTTTTCTTCCAATTTAGTCACTTCCCATCCACTAGTTAGGACTTTCTAGGTTGCAAGACACTGCTAACACTTGATCTCATGGACTCCTAGCCACAGACGTACGTTGGGGCAATGATGGGGTGAAGATATCTTAATCAGAGCTTCCCTCAGATGCTGCTGTTGGGGTTTGTTGTTTAAATGATATTGACCTGTTATTTCAAGAGATATTTCTAGAAATTGACATTAGAATAAGCATTTATTGCTGTGAATTATCAGTGATTATCTGTTTTATCATTATCTGTTTTATAAGTAAAAAGCCATGTTTATTTATGGTAATTACTGTACATAAACTGATGAACATAATTACAAAACAAAGTGAATTATTAATAATGCAAATAACTGTAACGGTAACTGTGCTTCTGTTTGAGTTAGCTAAATGAAAGCATGTAATGTTTGTTTGAAATGTTTTTAATGTAATGTTTGAAAAAGTAGCCTGCAAAATGTGCAGCAGCAATATTAGAATGATAGTACCACTTTTCCAAAAACAACAAATGGTTTTTCCAATAACAAATGTTTTCCAAATCAAATCCAACTCCATTTAAGAAAAATAAGGCCTGTCTTGTTGGCTGTTAGAGTTTTAGCATTCAGCATGAATTGAAAAGTATAATCAATGACAAAAACATAGCTTTCCTTATGCTAATACTTAATTTTTACTAATAATAAGCAATTGAGTAACCCACCATCAAAATTATTGCATTTTCAGTCTCGCATTTCATTCTTGTCTAGCAATTGTTTTCACTTTCTGTATAAGCAAATATTTACAAAATTAGGAGATGGCAAGTACATTTTTGATTAAATGGCTTAATTCATAAAAATATCAAATTTCTTTCAGCATTCGCATGTCAAATAATGGCATATTTGAATAGCCTTGGGTCTTCTAAAAATAACAACATATGGCATGTATGGCATGTATGACTGTCTCATATAAATACTTTGTAATTGTAATTGACCAAAATATCAAACAATTACATCATATTATCTATGGGTTGTATGTGTCAAAAACCCTTAAGTACAAAATGCTTACGTACCAACAGTGACCATGGCGGAGCATGAGACATTACTCCGTTTATTCTTCAGGATTACAGTGTATTTCCCTTCATCTCCCTCCTCAGCGTTCTTGATTTCCAAGTCAAAAGATTTACCCGTTTTCATGGTGATTTTGCCCTCCACACAATCCACTTTCTGGCCATTCTTTTCCCAAGTTGCCATTAATTCCTCTGCGTTTGCCTTGCAGCTAAGTTTGATGTCTTCTCCAATTTTCACATGTTTATCTGCCAAAACTGTGACAAATTCTATAAAAAGGTAGAGATTATTAGAAAAACTGTTATACATGTACACATTCAGAGTGTCTTATCAAATCAGCTTACACTGAGAGCGCTCTCATTCAGTTTAATTTGATTTGTGTAGTACTTTTTGAAAGACACTATCACAGTTTTATGGAAATGTGGGAGATAAAACATTGAAAAATACTCAGGATGCCAGTAGGACAAGATTTAACTGTAGTACAATATTTTATGGCACAATAAGTAACTAGTAATTAGTACAATAAAGTTTCAGTTTTGCCATAAATATCTGTGTTGTTTTTGTTTTTCTCTGCTCATTCAACCAGATCTCACACTGCAATACCATTTACCATTAACCTAGATCAGATCCATGGCATTATGTAGGGTTATGTGAACATCATGCATGTTCTTGCTACCACAAAGACAAAAAAAAGTTACTGTGTAATTACTACGTGAAAGGAGCACTGTTTTACAGTCCTATTGAGTGCGTTTACATGCACTTAATAATCTGATAACTGCAGAAAATCAGATTTTGTCTGTAATCCGATCAATGCATTTACATACACTTGAGTAATCAGAAAATGGGGAAACTCCAGGTCTACATGAGTCAGACAGTAATCAGATTTCTGCTTCGCAACCGGCCAATAAACTCACAGAAGATGCGACGTAAACGTAACGTACAACTCAAACTTAATGCCACAACTTTTGGGGTTTTTTTTTAAACATCACACCACTTTACCTGAAAACATGAACATACATCATCTAGAAGATGAAGATTATTTAAATTTAAATATTTAAATCCTTCATTTCATATTTGGTTTCAGCGCTGCTCCAACAGTGTTTTGCTGCGTCTTGCGGCAACGCTGCCTGCTTATTTCTGGTACTGCAGTCTATTTTTGCACAGGCGTAAACTGAGAAATCCGAAAGAAATCAGAGTAAGAGTTTATATGCACTGAGAAATCTGATTACAGAGCTAAAATCCAGGCTCTTTATTGGATTACTTTATCAGATTTCTAGATCAGAGTATAGTGTTTACATGACCGTTTGAGTAATCAGATTATGATCGGATTATTGAGTGCATTTAAAAAGCCCTCATCACAGTATTGCAGAGGTCTTACCAGTAAACACATCATCTAATCTGGAATGAATGAATATCTTGGAAGAAAAGATATTTACTGAGCACCTTTGTGCACTTATTTTTCTCTACCAGGAATGCATGGGTTTACTGAAAGTATTTTCTGACATCTTTGCATTAAAAGCTGAAATTGTACCTGGAATTTCTCACGATAATTAACCTGTACTTACAATGATCTTGCAAAAAATGTAAGTATTAGTACTACAATTTGTTCTTGTAAGTATTAGTACTACATATTTTCAAGTTAACACATTCTCTTTAGAGAACACACTTAAATATGGTGTTTTACTTTTAAATTTTAGTGCACAATTTAAAAATGAAAACATTAAATATAAATGTGCCGTAACTTTTGCATATGCCACATTTTATATATTTTTCTGCTCAATATGTTCAATTTAACAAATAATCAGTAATTGTGCATTAAAATGTGCAGAGGTGTGTTATCTGTAGAGGATGTGAAACTTATTTACACTTAAAAAATCAACAGCACATTTGACCAGGAGTGCACAAACATTTCTTATGACTATATTTCCTCCGTAAGTAATTGTTTTTTATGAATCTTTGAAATAAAGTGCTACCAAAAAACTGCACAGAGCATATTTCCTACTTTCTTAATTCTTAAGTAATACCTATTATCATTTTAAAGTATTTTTGTTGAAAGATTGTTATGCTTCAACTTTGTGGCTTTCCTTTTTCTGACAATCTGAAATTGTCAAAAACACTATGAAATGGCTGTTTACAGAGCACAAAGGTGAGCTTTAGTGGTCTTCTCTAGTCTATGTCACATGTAAACCTGAGACTAAATTAAAGGCTAGTGCCTTATCTTAATAAGTGTAATAATAATGTAATAAGTTTTTATTAAATAATTTAAACTCACCTGGTTTGGACATAAAAAATCCCATGTTTCAATCTATGGAAATAAAGACAAAAAATTAACTACATATTGAATGTGTAACTTTTGCCAGGAAATAAAGATGGTCACAGAAATGTTTCGGCAGATTTGGGAAACAGTTTCAAGAATATAACCCTTTTGTTTCTTTCATTAATTATGAACAAAGCACACAAATCCAGTATTTGAGTGAAAGTAGAGATATTGCTGGTAAAAGAATTACTCAAAATTAGAAAATAATCTTTTATTTGTACACTTGTACATATATTTTGCAAAGGTCCACATATAATGTGTACATTCATGTATCTATCAACAACTGGCTGTTTTTGTTACTGATGTATGATCTCTGTCCTGATTGGCTCCCTTTACTCATTCAAAAATAGTCCAAACTGAAACACCTATAACCTCAACATGAATGGGTGGGGCTAAACTGTGTAGGCTGAATAGGTGGATCTGTGTAGGTGCATTAGCTTTTATGACATCACAAAAACAGTCAATTCAAAACAGACTGTTTTCGCAGTGTAGTTTCCACACATGGACTGTAAACTTTGATTTTTTATTTCAGAAAAGTGAAGAAAGCCATTTCAAATGGGAATGCACCGATATGGGAATTGCAGTAAAATGAATACAGTGCTGTTGTTTCAGCACAGTGGTTCAGTGACACCTAAACGTCCTGCTGTTCTGGAACACAATAAATACATCATCAGTTATCGGTTTGAAGTAACAGTTAAATCTAAATATCTGTCCAAGGACTGTAATTCTTAAGTTTTAGTCACCACCAGAGCAGTTCTTTGCCAGGTTTTGCACAAGTGTAATTTTAATGGACTGTACTAGACTCCAATTGTCCAAGTGACTGAAGTAAGCATGGCTAGGTTTCAACAGTTGGCCGCTTGTTGATCACATCTGGTCTGTGACAGCTTAATTTCTCATATAGCATCTCCATGTTACTCATTTACCATTAACACTTTGACCCTGAGGAGACGATGAGTTTGTTCACTTTGTTTTGTAGCACTGAACAGCTTGACCTCACAGTGGTTACGTGTGGTTGCTCTGACTTTGATGTTGGCTTTTTCAAATGGTCCTTCCATCGTGTTTTTGTGATGTCAATGTTGTTTTAGCTTTAGCATTTTGGAGAAAGAATCACGCACTGAAAAATAAAGATTATAAGAAGAACTGCTGACAGTGAATTATTTTTTATCTTTTTTTTTTTTTTCCTCATGAAGTGCTGAGTGCTGTACAATGTCTAAGGCGACTGGTTGGGTGTTTTTCAGACCACGTAATAAGTTTTCACCAGTTAACATCACACACAGGCTCAAAACTCAAATACAAAATCAATATTATACTGATGAAGATGTGATGACAATGAATAGATAATTCACTCACATCCTTTGCCAAGTTTAGACAGAGTTCTCTTTGAATGTTCTTTCATTGCACCCACAATCATTGGATTCATCTGCTCGGGGAAGGGGTCCGAAGCACAACTGTCATTACAAAAGTGTTCCTCCCCATGCTGCATTCTGTTACGTAATTCATGAACTCAGAAGTGTACAAAGGCGTTCTGGGTGAAAACTGCAGAACTACACAAAGAATTAACGTTCTAAAAAGAATATTTTGCCAAAAATATATGACCATTTTGCAATAGTCTGTTTTAAAGTAAATAAATATTTACTGTCAGTGATTCACAGGTACTAACAATATAATGCTAATGCTAATTTTGCTTTTACACTGGCTAATCAGCTTCTGCTACATTTCTACTACAAATGACTACATGTTTACCTTTGGCTGAATCCAAAATTTTGGTAATAAATCCAGAGGCACTGTAAAATCTATAAATCTTTATATATCAAATGATATTTTGATTCTAAGTATGTTTTGCTTTTAAATGTACTTAAATACCAAAAGTATTTTGAGACATTTTAAAGAGAGTAATTCTCCAGTTGTGTTCATTATGTATGTAAAATTTTGCTCAGCATCCAAACTGCACCGTACAACACTGTGCCATTTTCTTTCATTCTGAAACCTTATCAGAGGTGCCTGGACCTGCTTTCAGTTGATAGGTATGATTGGACTAGCCGGTCCAATGCAGTCAGATGCAATTCCGATTCATTCTGTCCTTGTGTTATGTATGAAACTGGCGCACAAGCCTAAACTTTTTCTTTGCCATTTTTATGAATGAACACAGAATACACTTCTCTCCTTCATTCATATTTAAGGGAAGGCTGTGTAAAAAGTAGGAGGATCATACATAAATGGGTGATGATAATGGAAATGTGGCTGATTATATATTCTGCATTATTCATTAAAGTTTGTGCAACTTGTAGTGTCTAGTTTCATGTTGATTTTTCTCTGCCTTTTAAAACTGTAAATTTGTCTCAAAAGATGTGTTGCTAAGAGCAGACCGAGTGTAGATGGAGGCAAGAGACCCTGAAAGAACGTATCAATGTAACGATTCGTCAGAAACCAGACACTCGCGGATTAAAAGGGCAAAAGGTGTTTTAATAGGGCTAGGCAGATGCGTGGTCAAAAAGCAGGCGTGGGTCAAATCCAAAAGACAAACCAAAAACAAAGCAGTGATCATATCACCGAGCGGACAAAGTCAAAAAGGGGCAAGGCAAAAACGAAGTCAAAAAACAGAGAAAGGTCCAAAAACACTGATCAGCAAACACAGGCAACAGTACAAAAGGGCAAAGGCAAAAGGCAAAGAACAAAACAATGGTCAAAAACGTACAGCAAACAACACTTGGAGAAGCAATACCTCGCAAAGAACTAAACTAAAGCCCGGGCTTAAAAGCTAATCTGACTAAGTCATATGACTCTAAACACAGGTGCAAACATTTAGTATTCAGGTGAGCGAGACCTGACAGGAGCGCGTGATCTCACCAGAGGTCATGTGATTCCCTGCAGTATTGTGAGTAATGCAGTCCGTTGAGTTTTCCGAGTCGGAGGGAAGTTGCGTCGTCACGTGATCCTCCTGAGGGTTCTGGGAAATGAAGTCCAAGTTGTCTTGTGACACGGGTCGATGCATAACAATCAAAGCAGTTACATTTACACTTTTTCCTTCGCAGGTCGAAAATAAAATGACTCACAAATTTTTGTTTTTTGCAAATAAATAACAAAAAATCTAAGCAAGATCAGTAATGTTTATACAAGCTACTTACACATTTAAACTCCTTCAACTTTACAGCACAAACTTTTCTGAGCAATTTAGCTAAAAATGTCAAGAGCTACTACAACTACAACTTACCCCTACAGCAAGCTGATGAAAAATGAATAAAGTACATAATAATATTGTAGCGTGAGCATGGAGCACCATGGTTACATCCACAAGAGTGATGAGAGAAACTTAAATGTATAAATGTTTAGTTGATGTTCAGTTTTAGAGATGTGGCAATGTTATGTGTTCTGTAATGTGCTGGGCTGTGGAGAAGTTATGTGGGTCTTCATATCTACCATGGACTAAAGTGTGGTTGTTGGTGACTTGCTTGCTTCCCCACCATATCAGTTAGTAAAAGAGCACTTGGTTGAAGTGCTGTTTCCCATATCTTCTTCTTCTTCTACACCAGGGGTGTCAAACCTAACCACTGAAAGGGCCATATTAAAAAAAATCTCAACAAATCTGAGGGCCAGCTGTGTTTTTATTTTATTTATACTTAACATTGTGCCATGACCCCTAACTGGCCATTGTTTGTTTGAAATATGCCAAAACTACAATTGCAAAAAATAGGTACCAAATACTCTAACAATTCAAAGATAATTCTAAATAAAAGCAAATTGTTTTATATAAAACAACAGACTAAATTAACTGCAGATCACTGTTAAACCTCTTTAAATGTTGCCTCTGTACAGCAGCTTTGTTAACTGCCCATTCGCTTAAACTAGACTCCATTTTTTGTTTGTTTGTGTTTGTTGTTGTTTATTTGTTTGTTTGTGCTGTCCCATACGTAATTGTTAGGGAGGGGTTGGGAGCACATATAACATTGCAGTGCATGTTGGGAACTGTAGTGCAGCTCATGGTGAAATGGGCTAATATTAATACACACCCACACATTTTCCAAACTGCTTATCCTTCTGGGTGGTGGGGGGAGCTGGAGCCTATCCCAGCGGTCATTGGGCAGAAGGCAGGAAACACCCTGGACAGGTCGCCAGTCTATTGCAGGGCAGACTAATATTAATAGAAAATCAAAATAACTTTGCGGGTCGAATTGGATTGTGCCATGGGCCTGTCTTGGCCTGCAGGCCTTGTGTTTGACACATGGTTTCTACACTATGGCCACAATATATTCATCAAACAAGAATAGTGAAAATAAACAGTGGTAGACACTGGCGACTTGATCACAAAATAGAACAGCGAAAGATGTCATGATAAAATTGATATATCTTTTATTTATCTGACATCTATAGTACATTTTTGATAAATCTGTGAATTTCCAATGAAATGTTTTGAATTCATGTGAATTTATGTGTGGGTATATGGATTGTTTTCATTGTTTATTAGGGATAACATCTAGGATGGAAATGTGACATATAGTCTTTGTCAACTCACTGATGTCCTGGCAACTGAAAACTTTATATCTCATACTTCTTGCAAAATTTCACAACTGTACCTGAAATAATTTTGTAATTATTGATCCTGATTTATTTTCCCATGTTCAGGATCTGAAATGCCTCTTAAATACTTATTTACCTGCTTATTGAATACTAATCAAACTGGGTCAAAACAAGTGATAAAATGTTAAAAAACTGACACAGTGTGTTCATTTATTGATCATCTACTTTGTATCTCTGCATGAAATCTTTGCTCTGTGAAACTGAATATGTTTGTTTCCTTTCGTTAATTAATTGATTAATGTAAATGTTTGAAAAAAAACAGTGCTGTATTGATTCATGTTTCATGTTTTGATACATTTTTACCTTAAAGCATTTGATTAACATGCACAATTAAAAATTTATGAAAGTTAATAGAAAAACACTGAATTCATGACTAGTGAGTACAGTTCCTACCCCAAATCAAACTTTCCTTTAAGTATATAATATAATAATAGGCCAATTGTTTGGCCTCAAAATGTCTGTTTGGCTACAGTAGCTTCAAAAATGTAGCTGAACTCAAACAAGTGGAGTGAAAAACAGCAAAAGTAAATCATGTTATCTCCCAGATCTCTGCTTGCACACAACAGAAATTCATGAAACAGTTCCCAGGTGTACATGTGTGAGAAGACGAGGCCGAAACATGCCGTGATGCAAACCGCATTTTCTTCATGACTGAACTTTTGGTTTCACTTTTGACTCCAGCTTGTTGATGGCTCAGTTTTTTTTAATGACATCTTTGAAACCCTGCACATTATGAGCAAGCAGTTAGTGGGCAGAGCTACAGACAGTTTGTGGAATGCTGCAGTCCTACTACAATGAACATTGATTTCAAACAAAGTGTGGGCACAAATTGCAGACACTTTAAGGCACACTCTGCACTGTTCCTGCATTTGGAAGTACATCTGACCCTTTGTACTTAGGGGAAGGATTTAATGAAAGGTCTGCTATAACTGACTTGGTTTATTTATGACAGTGCATCATTTTTTTATATTATAAATAATTAGTTTTTTCTTTCACAGTATCTTGCAGAAAATATTGAGGTAAAAACTATTGCATTTCACTGTGAAATAAAAGTCTCAAAAAATGGAAATACTTTATAAAAACACAGATACTGTCCCCTGTTTGTTGTTCCTGTAACATATTTAGAAGAGTTTTGAAACCCTGACTTCTTGAACTACCTTAATAACTCACTATTTGATGTGCTGTTGGTTTTTGAGTCTGATCAGACCTATAAATCACCTCTTCTTGGCAGAGTCTAATCTAAGCTTAGGGATCCACTAGTGCCCCCTGTGCCCCATAGAGCCCATTCTGTGTGGCTCTTGGTGTCCCTAGTCCCTATGCTCAAGTTAATCTTTGAATTATGTCCCAATGTGTTTGGTACCGTAGCAGTTATCTTGGCTTTTAGCATATTTTTGTTATTAGATTAAGCTACTGTCAGTAATTCACAGGTACTAACAGTAAAATGCTAAAGCTAATTTTGCTCTTACACCGGCTAAAAAGCTTCTGCTACATTTCTACTACAAATGACTACATGTTTACCTTTGGCTGAATCCAAGATTTTGGTACTGAATCCAGAGGCACTGTAAAATTTATAAATCTGCTGACCCATGCAATTATACTCTGTAAAAACATTTTTTAGCGTAGGTCTGGAAAGGTTTTTAGACCCCTCCAGGTATATATTACTTGTAATAGATGGATTGAAATCAGTGTCAGTGTGTCACTTGACTCAATGTCAGTAGTGGGTTGAATTAACATTAAACTATTGACATTTGGTAGAATATGCAAGAAAAATTCATGATTGAAAGACAACTAAGATATTGTGGATATTAGCTATGCTTACAAGCAACAAATGGACTAGCTGGTTAAAAACATAGCTTGAGTCTTTGCTTTGATTTGCAGAAAAAAAATCCCATAAAACTGTTGTTTGGTGTTTAAGAATTTATATCACTGACAGCTTGAGTGCGCATTTGTGCCCTGAAAGGATGTGGTCTGTTTCAGACTGCACAGTGTTTTGCTCACGTGACAGTATCTGGTGCACAGCAGATTTTTCTACACCACATCCTTTCAGACGTCCTGTATCCAATAAATTTGAATAATGAAACATTTTGACTGATTTTGTTGTTTGTTTTAGGTCAAAGAGATACAATTTGTTTTAGTTGGCTTGCTATTCTTGCTAAAGATAAAGCAGGATATATTAGATAATGTTTTAATGTAGTCATAGGATTTAAAAAGTGTTGATAAACGATCGAGGTAGTGTTAGTATTTGTTTAATTTTTGTTAAACAGATGCTTTAAATGTTGATGTAATGTCAGTTTCAGTGCTTGATTGCTGTTTGTGCAGCGTCATTTTGATTTTTTGATCATCTCTATCAGTTTTAAATCAGTGCTACTCATGTAATGTAATGGTGTCTGGATAAAGTTGGACACAGGGACATGTGAATACATTCTTGTCTGTGGTCTGTAAGTTTCTGTTTACTTTATCCCTTTTGTTTTGACAGCAGTGATACAGCTGCAGTATACTTATAATTTGTCTTCATATTTTGTCAGGGCAGTAGTCAGCATTTTTTAAATATACATTTAATTTCACACAGTGATGGTAGATTTGTGCAAAATAGGTTTAAAACTATAGCAGGTTAATACAACGTTGACATCATTTATGCTGTTCATCTATATATTAAGTCTAAGAACTGCACACTCAGTTACAGTTGCTGGACTTACCTTTGTTAAAGGTGCGTTGCTGAGCTTCCTCTGAGTGGCTGCTCTGCTGTGTTTGCACTGCTCTGTCTCACTTTATGTATGAGCTCATTCTACTTTCAGTTTCAGCTCTATGCTATGTGTTTTGGAGCGGGGGGGGGGTAGGCATTCAACCAGTTTGCCTCAGAACAACAGACGGACTGTTAGATGTACACTGCTAAACATTTGCTAAACACTTTGGTAAATTGTCAAGGCTAGATTAAGCAATTTTGTGGCCCCAGGCTAAAACATGAGCTCCCCTCAGGGTTCAATGATGTTCACAGTTGCCAGATTTCCCAGGCCAAGCGAAATTCTTATGCAGGACAACAGCGTTGAAAATCACTTGCCTGGTCAGGTAAGGTGACATTCAGCTATAGGGACCTTTTGGCAGTGAACAAAGTGCCCTGTCAAGCCTCCTGTCAAGAAGGGCAAGGTTGACGATAGCTCATAGGTGATTTGCAAACTCTCTTTAATGATCAACAACCGATATGATGCTCTGGAGAAGATTGTGTGTGTCAACAACGAAAAGGTTTTGGGGAAAACCAGAATTACTCTGTGTGTAGAACAAAATAATATCAAAGGTAAAGTAGACTAAAGATCGAGCAACATGGAGTCTTGTGAAAAGAGAATATCTGATTTGGAAAGATACTCCCAATGATGGAACTTAGATGACACCAAAACAAAATCCATCCATATCTGTGCAGCCACATTTCCAGAGGGGAAAAGTGTGCCTGATGTGATAGCTCTGATATGCTAATAATTAAGCTGTCCACCATTTCCACATCTTCTCCAACAGTGGTAAAGTTAGCAGTCTTTCTCACTGCCATAACCTTTGATTTCTTCATATTGAGCTGAAGCTCCATCTTTTCACTCTGTTCTTTAACTTTGCTTATAAGAATGTTCAGGTCTTCCAGATTTTTCGCTATGAGCATTGTATCATCCACATATCTAAGGTTATTGATGTTTCTTCCACCAATCAGGAATTGTTGATCATCTTCTTCCAGTCCCGCTTTTCTCAACTCAATTCCAAAATAAATACACTTTGACCTACATTTGATGTCTTTTTGAGGTATATCCAAGCTTATTTCATCATGACAACACCAAGCCACATTCTGCACAAGTTACAACAGCAAGACTGCATGCAGTCCAGACCTGCTTCCCTTTGAAAACGTGTGGCCATTAAACTCAAAATATAATAACAAAGGCCCCACACAGTTGCACAGCTGAAAACTTGTATAACAGAACAATGTCAAAACTTCCATGTCAAAAACTGGATCAATTTGTGTCTTTAGTCCCCAAACGATTATTAAATGCTGTTATAGGAAAGGTGATTGCCCCAATGACAGCCGCTGGAGCCAGCAGGAAGGCGGGGCCCAAAGTCCGAGCGAGGACGAAGCTGAACGCAAGTGATGGCTGAAGGAGGAAGATGACGATGCCGGCAAAGACAGGCAGGAAAGTGGAGCTCTGGCTTTGTGCTCTGATCCAGCTTACAGTAGCAATGATATCTCTTGTTCCTCTGCCTTTCCTGAATCCTGCTTGCATATCTGGCAGTTCTCTTTTGATGTAAGGCTCTAGTCTGTGTTGAACTGTCTTGAGCATAATTTTACTGGCATGTGATTTTAGGGAAACTGGGGGTTTCTTAGTTTTCCAGATTTGTTGGCAAAATTTGGTGAACTGAATCTTTTTCAGAATCATAAAAATGTCCTAATTAGTTTTTAATTGGACTTCTTGTAACATTGCTAGCTAAATCAGCATGCTTTGGCCTACTTCCAGTATCTGCTCAGTTTAGGCTACAAGCTCTGTAGTAGGCTACATTAGTGATCAAATGAGAAATTAATGGTAGTTTAAAGCTGTTATATTGGGTTACCTGCTCATAACTTACTACAGTGAGCATAAGAAGCTTCATAGTTAAGTATCATATTGATGGCACAGTACTGTATCATGTAACAGTTAATAAATCAACATGTTCATTTGGCTGTATTTTCTCATTAATTTTATGAGTAGCCTACCTTCCCATGAACTGGGGTTTTGTAGAGACAGAAGTGTTGATAGAAGTGTTGTAGAAAGGCAGGGCAATGCGTTTGAACTGTCTTCTTAGGAGGAAATCCAGTAAATGCGTTCACAAAGCGATGTGTTGTGTTCATAGTCAATCAAAAAACACTTTAATAAGTGATCAAATCAAAGTGTCATAGCATAAACACAGTACAATGCTGCCAAAGCTGTTATCACAAACACCAATACTATTTTGCCTGTTCTAGTGCTACCCAGTGTACTACAGTAAGCCACTCTTTACAGTATCTACAAGATATCTGAATAATAGCTTATCATGAAATTATGATGCAAGGCCTTTATTTTCTCAGTAGTTAATTTTATCCCATAACAGATCAAAACCTAACCTTCAACAGATGTTTGTGTGTTGGAATATCTGGCTATGTAGTCATCAGCCCACTGTACAATCTTTGTTAAGGCATGTAGCATCAAGCAGTTTTTCTCCTCTTTGATTTCTGTCTCCTCATGATAGTTGCACACAGCGAAGACATGGTTCACTGGGACACCCAGTAAAACACTACACTCACGCATCTGGAGAGACACACACACACACACACACACACACACACAAACAAACAAAGAAAGTGTCATTCATTTGTCAGTTACATCGCAGTAATTGGAAATCTCCACACTGATGTCCACAAACGCTTACATCAACAAACTCACTTTTTCCTTGATCTTCTTGCTTTTGTAGACATTGCGCAGATCTTTCTTTGTCAGTGGACATGCACAGTCCACTCTCGTCATCAAGACCACCTGAAGGATTCCTGCAGATTAGGCATTCAAAACACTCATAAGTTTGTTTTCATCTAATCTAAATCTAATTGGGATGTGTACTTTTAATTGCAATGTTTAACACAGAACTTTTGTTCAGTGGGAAGTAGGGAGTAGTGTTGCGCAAGTTTGTCCTTAGCACAGGACAGCCTGAAGGGAAGTGACAATGTCCTTGTTGCTGAATGCAGAAGCCTGTCATGCTTGGCGAGGGCCAGTGAAAGGATCACTGAGAGGCTATTGCAGAACCAGCTGAACATGAGAGGACTGGGTGAGATGGCCCCTTTGAGAGAGGCCCACAAAAGTCCTGGACCGGCCCAACGTTCTGTTACTGCTGTTCCCTCTGCAGCATAGTGAATAAAGCTGAGGCAATCCATTAGGTCACACCAGGGTCACGCCAGTAAGTTGTCAGCCACAGTGATTTTTGGGAAGATAAAGTGGGGTTCAGTCAGAGTTATTTAGTCTATGGGAGGTTTAAGATGCCTTCTTATTTTGTTGTTTGATTGGGTGTATATCACTGAATGAAGCTCATAGAATTATTCCACAAAATATTTCTGTGAACTGTAATTCTCCTGTTGAAAAATTAACCAGCTTTCCCATTGGTTGAAAGACTAACCAGTTCAGCTGAACCGAGTCAGCTGAATTAAACACTCCATTGAGAGCTGGGCAAAGACTGCTTGCATGATAAAAGCACAGGCTTTCTATCAGGTGGGGATCCATGTCTGCTGCCAATGCAGTCCTCCTGTCCAGTTGAATTTTGTCCTGCACCGATCCTAAGGAGCATATTTCATGGTGATGTCTATTAAAACAGTTGAGAATGTGAACCATGGCTTGAGTAGAAGGAAATGAGGAGGGGAACTCTGAACTCCACCACCTCATCACTGCCCTTTTAGTCAGTTCTGATCAAGCAGTTCAATCATTCAAAAATGTGAGTACATGCAGTTCTTGTGATGCCACTGAATACATATGAATTTCTTCCATGTTCTTATATGTTTTTATATAAATATTGCCAAGTAAACACTGATTTGATTAAATCAATCTAATTAGATTTTTTAAGGACTGGACTTACCCATTCTGATTGCTTTTTCTCCAACTGTCTTCATTTTTTTTATGAAGTCATCTTTAATCATTGAGAGTTTGTCTGCTGGTATAACGTTCACCAAGCAGTGGATCTTATCATTCATGCTGGGGTTTTTGAGGTAACATGGGCTATCTTTAGTCATTGGCTTCACAGGGTTGAACTGAAGGAAATACAAATAGCAGATTACAGCATCTTAATGGTTGCAGTATGTTGGCTTGGGTTGTAAAACAGATATACTGTATATTTTTCTATACAATTTTCCTTTTAGTTTTTAATTATTTCATTTATTTCAGAAATTATGAAGCTGGCTAACACCGTGCTCTGATCTTACCACATAACCCTGTTTGATGTGACCTTTTAAAATGTGGATGATGTCGTCACTGTGCACCCCATTATGTTCTCTACTTTCTACACCCATAACATCAATGAAGGCAAAAGGAAGCAATCCATCCTGCGCATTTCGAAATTGATATTTTTCAAACTGAAAAAAAGAACAGTATAGAACATAAAATATATTTATGGTTGTGTAACAGTAGCAAACATGATCAATGTTTAAATACATGTTGCAATCTGTATACCTGAAGACATAAAAACATCACTTAACACTGTGCACTCACCTGTAATGTGTGACTCGTAGAAAACTCTGTTATTTCTGAAGAAGCAGGACAATCGACATGAATGCGTCCTCCAAAGATGGTTCTAATGGAGCTTATGACACTGGATTTTCCTGCTCCAATTGGTCCATGCAGAAGGAAGCGGAGCTCTTTGACCTTGTCATCCCTAATTTTAAAAGCATTGAGGGTATTGACCATTTGAACTTGACTGTGGAAGAGAAAAGGAGAAAGAAAAATCAGTTTATAGTACTAGTGTCACACAGAGGGCCCCATGTACTAAGCTTTTTGTGCCAGTTTTAGATGAAAATAGGACGCATTCTGCCCAAGCCTAATTATGCAGATTATGTACTATGTTCATGGTAAAATACAAAAGGCATATGCATATTTGAGGTAGGATTGCACAATGTGGGAGAATTATGCAGACAATAAGTAGAGATTTGAGCAAATAGCAGTGGATTTGCTTGGATTTTTCTCTGTCATTCAAAACTGCAGTAGGTGTAAATTTGCAGTAGTGTTAGTAGTCTGTTATTGGGAGACAATGGCAGCAGACAGTGAATAGAGCTTTAAATGTGCTTAAAGATTATTTATAAAAAGAATGACATTATTTCCAGTGTCAGGATCAGAATCATATACATGCTTTAATGTGGCTCTTGCCGTCTGTGTTATTGTTTCAGAAATTCTGCTTTTTTTTCAGGAGTAGTTTTACACCCCTGCAGAATGTTTAGGTTGGAACTATGTTTAGAAATTTATTTATTAACATATGTTCATTTACAACCCCATTTCCAAAAAAAGTTGGGACGCCGTGAAAAATGTAAATAAAACAGAATGCAATGATGTGCAAATCATTTAAACCCTGTATTTCATTGAAAATGCTTCAAAGGCAACATATCAAATGTTGAAAATGAGAAATTTTATTGTTTATTGAAAAATATATGCCCATTTTAAATTTCATGCCAGCAACACGTTCCAAACAAGCTGGGAAGGGGCGCAAACAAAAGGCTGGTAAAGTTGTGTAATGCTAAAAAACACCTGGTGGTTAATTGGCAACAGGTCAATAACATGATTGGGTCTAAAAGAGCATCTCAGAGAGGTTGAGATTATCAGAAGTTTAGATGAAGAGGGGTTCACCACTCTGTGAAAGACTGCACAATCAAATACAACACAAAGAAGAAACCAAATATAAACAGGATCCAGAAACGCTGCCACCTTTTCTGGGACCAGAGCTCATTTAAAATGGACTGAGGGGAAGTGGAAAAGTGTCCTGTGGTCCGACGAATCAGTATTTGAAATTCTTTTTGGAAATCATGGACACTGTGTCCTCTGGACTAAAGACCACTCAGCTCATTATCAGTGCACAGTTCAAAAGCCAGTATTCATGATATAGGGGGGCATTAGTGCACATGGCATGGGTGATGTGCACATCTGTGAAGGCACCATTAATGCTGAATGATATATACATGTTTTGACAACATATGCTGCCATCCAGACAACGTCTTTTTCAGGGAAGGCCTTGATTATTTCAGCAAGACAATGTAAAACCACATTCTGCATGTATTACAACAGCACGGCTCTGTGTTAAAAGAGTCTGGGTGCTAAACTGACCTGCCTGCAGTCCAGACCTGTCACCACTGATAACATTTGGCACATTATGAAATGAAAAATACGACAAAGGAGACCCTGAACTGTTGAGCAGCTGAAATCCTGTATGAAACAAGAATGGAAAACATTTAATTTTCAAAACTACAGCAGTGGCTCCCGAGTGGCGCAACAGTTTAAGCGTTGGTCCTATCATCAGGAGATTGCGATCCCTGGTGATGCTACAGCTGTCTGTAGCCGGGAGTCCAAGAGAGCATAATTGGCCTCGCTCTCTGTGGGTGGTAGGATGGCCCCTCCTTCTCCCCCATCACTTAACGCGACGCTAGTCTGTTAGCTGATGTAACAGATCTGGCAGTTGACGCTTTCCTCCGAGCGCATTCAGCTGTCCAGTGACGTTGCGTGAGCAGCAGTTTGTAAAGATGCTGCGGCGCTTCACAGGTCTCGGAGGAAGCCTTTGTTAGCCTTCACCCTCCTAGCGTTGATGGTATTGTGTGATTGGGGGAGTACTAACTAGCGGGTGGAATTGGAGACGACTAAATTTGGGGAGAAAACTGGGTAAAAATCCAAACTACAGCAGTGTCTCCTCAGTTTCCAAACACTTACAGAGTGTTGTAAAAAGAAGAGGTGATGAAAAACAGTGGTAAACAGGCCCCCGTCCCAACTTTTTTGGAACATGTTGTTAGCATCAAATTCAAAATGGGCATATATTTTCAAAAAACAACACAATTTCTCAGTTTCAAAATGTTATGCTATCTTTGTACTATTTTCAATGAAATATAGGTTTTAAATGATTTACACATCATTGTTGTATAAACATTTGCATTTTCTTTCTACAAATTCTCTTCACAAGTTAGTAGGCATTCCTTTGTGCAGTTTGCAGGTCCTATGCACATCCGTAGTAAATTAAATATTTATTTTAAACACTTTGTAAGTGCATTTGTACATACATATGGCCCAAAACTGTCATTTCTAATTCAAACCTTGAACGTTTATATCTATCTGAAATATGATTGAATAAGAACTCTTCAGCAATGGGGGATATGGTAGGTTATAATATTTTTAGAAAAGATAGAAGGCTAGAGGTGGTGGTATGTTTTAAATTAAGGATAATATTAAATGTTCCCAGTCAGAGTGGGCTTTTAAAACTGATTTAGAATGTATTGGTCTGGACCTCTCTCTTTCAGCACAAATGTCTTTACTAATTACTGGAGTTTATTACCATCTTTCAAGTGTCACCACGTAAAGTTACAAAGTCTTTTTAAAGTTACGGGACTCCGAGTATGGGAGGCAAATCCAGTCAAAAAAGAAATTAAAATAAAAACAATTAAATGTAAATGCAAACCTCTTTTTGCCATTTATTTTTCCAATCAACTGCGCAAATATCCCGCCAAAATGAAATAAAATACCTACATTTCATTTTTCACATAAGCATAAGTAATTTGTGACAAAAATAAAAATAAATTTAAAAGAGCTATTTGTCATTTCATTTTAGTCATTATTCTGGTATTTCATGGCCATATCTAAAACAAAAAACGCTAATAGAGAAAAGAAAATCCAAGCTTCACTTTGAATGTTTTTCTAAAAGTTTTTTTCTTGTATGATTGTGTGCACAGTTAAGTTGTTGTAATTAATCTCACAAATAAGTAATTATATCAGTGATGAGCAATTCAGTATACGAAATGGATGACATAATTGAAATAACATTCTCCGTTCTGCCACTGGTGATGTTTTCTGTTGCACACTGTGCTTATGTGCTCAGTGTATTTAACCCTTGTGTGGTGTTCAGGTCTGTGGGACCCATTTTCAGTGTTTACCAAAAGAAAATATGATGCGATATATTATTATTTCTTGGCCTTTTGTTCATTTTCTGTGAAGAACATATAAAATAACCCATTTTCAGTGTCTTCACTCTGTTCACCCCCCACACATTTATATTCCACATGTGGTGTTGGGTGAACCTGCGGGGATTAAAAGTGTGGAGGTGCTGTGTCCTTCACTCTGTTCTCCTCCTACATGGCCTGCTGTTAGTGTGTGTGTTTGTATATATATATATGTGTGTGTGTGTGTGTGTGTGTGTGTGTGTGTGTGTGTGGACAACATGGACAGGCTGCTGACTGGCTACAGCTGCTAAAGGAGAACCCTACGCTGGCCACTTCTGGTTCATCTGGTATTTTTACATAAACTGTTATGGCTGTATTGATATAAAAAACAATAATGTGGTGGGTCCACCAGACCACTGAGTAACAAACACACCAACACCACACAAGGGTTAACCAGAGACTGTAGTTTATATCAAATGATGCAATACTCATTTGGTAAAAATATACTATAAAAATAAAGATGGTTCTGCTACGCTTGATTTAATCACCTTGATTTTATAATGCTTCTGGCTGTTTGTAGAATAGAGCCGACAGCTGCTAATATTCTGATATTCCACTCAAACACCACTCAAGTTTGATTCTAACACACACACACACACATACATATATACACACACACACACACACATATATATATATATATTCCATTTACTATTATGTCACACAAATATTCTCATTTTAACAGCACATTAATTAAAGATACACTACTTAGGAGACATTCCTGAATGTGTATTGTCTTCAGGTCATTAGCATTATCTAATTTTCTTGTTGGTTCTCTGTTGCACATTCAGTATGATTTATTCAAACCAGACTTTCTAGTACTAAAAGCGGTGCTGTCTGCTTAGCCTGATTTTTAACATGGTGACAAAGTCCAGTCAGACGGCAACACTGTATTCAGATCATAAAGGCACAGAGTGTTTTCATAATGGCTTTACAGCAAGATATAATTATAAACTTGTTGATTAGCAAATATTATTTACAAAACATATATTTGCTATTGGACTGTACCAATGCAAATACGAACCTCAATTTTAAAAAAGTTGGGAGAGTATGTATGATGTTAATAATTGTGAGCCATGATTAGTAAAATCTGTGTGACCTGTATTATACTGAAAAGACCTTTATTGTTTCATTGTAAATATACATCCATTCTAAATGTTATGTCTTCAAGTTTTGGGTCTTTTCGCGAAAACTTGTCCTAAAATGCCAGTTTCTGGTGTACTTCTACATTGAATTACATCGTAAAAATGTCCATTCCATTCATTTTTACAATCAACCAGTATTGCAGTAAAAATTATAGGACATTTCAGGACCTGAAAGCTTGACTGTTTGTTTCTTAGAAGCTAGAACTTTACATCAGGGGCCTCTGACCTTAAATGAAAGACAAAAAATAGAAGGTTACTGTGGAGGAGGGGGCGTGGTCAAGTGTCACATGCAAGATTTAGAACTAGTCACGATGAACCAGTGGGCTAACTAGCTGATAAGGTTCAACTGTGTGTTGTCTCTGCCAGCCTATTTATAGCCATGTCATGTCTCAGTAGGTGGCAGAGCCCAGAGAGAGAGAGAGAGAGAGAAGGAGACCAGTGGAGACACAGAGAGAAGAGAAATCAAGACTTGACAGGAGCTAAAAAAGCTGAGTTATTTGTGTTGTTCTCAAAAATAAAAGAATACTCTGTGTCTCCACACCCTGCTCCCAGTGTCCTCACTCCTCCCAGCCTTCCAAGAACATCACAGGTAACAATGCTTTCAGCCACCTTTGTATGGCTTCAACTGTATATAATACAGTCTTAATTTCATCTGTGGATGCAGGAACAAATAAGCAAGTCATGGGGATTCAGTTGTAGTTTTCAGCCCTTTATGCACAGAGATTTCTCCACATTCCCGGAATCTTTTGGTGATATTACATATTTTTGGAAAAGCAGTGAGCCTTGACCCATCCTTGCTCATAAAGGACTAGGCATTCTCTTGTGGAACATGTTGGTAAGCATCCATTTCAGAATGAGCTTATATATCTAAAAACAATGAAGCTGATAAGATAAAACATTATATTTCTTGTTTCTGTACTGTTTTTCATTTAAATACAGGTCATAGTTGATTTTTTGCACTAATCACCGCTTTCCCAACATGTTTAGAATTGAGGTTTGCACAACTGCAAGCTGTTGTAGCAGGTCACCCTGGCATACACATAAATGAACCTGCACAGAGACTCTAAAGATATATGTTGCCATTGCTTTATCATTAATCATATTACATGATATTAAAGGATGACCTAATTGGACTTACTTCCATTCTACTGTCCTCCATTCATTGAGTTCTGCAAGAAATGCATATGTTATTGTACAGTGTTTGAAGTTGCCAGTAGAAAGCCCATAAAATAAGTTACATCTGTGATTACACTGAAAAACTGTAGCCAGTTATTCTTCCAATTTATACACTTCCCATCCACTAGTTAGGACTTTCTAGATTGCAAGACACTGCTAAAACGTGATTTCATGGACTCCCGGCCACAGATACAATCGAAAAGTTCACCCAATGATGGAGCAAACCATTAGACACTTGAATCAAAGGGGAACTCAGATGCTGCTGTTGGGATTCGTTATTTAAGTGATTTTGACTGTTATTTCAAGAGATATTTCTGATAATTTACATTAGAATAAACAGTTGAATTACAATATGAACGGAATTATTAATGCAGCAATTACCTGTAATGGTAACTGTTCTTCTGTTTGAGTTAAATGAAAGCACTAATGTAACATGTTTGAAAAAGTAGCCAGCAAAATGTGCAGCAGCAATATTAGCATGATAGTACCACTTTTCTAAAAATGTTTCCAACAACAAATGGTTTGTATTTAATGGATTAGACATAAAACCCTCTCTATATTTTTACCATGTGTTTTCCAGACAAATTCATGCAACATTTACAGCACTTTATCTGTGAAAATACATATTTTGAACCAAGAAGCAAGTAAGACATTACTTAAAAAACAACTGCAAATTTAGTGTTAATTTTTTGGGGGGACAGCTTGATTATCCTGGAATGCATGTTTTTATTTCCATGGTGAACAGTATTCAAGCCAACAGTGCAAATTTCTTTTCCCATAGGTAACAGAGGGTTGTGCTTCCCTTAGTAAAACTGGGTCCATTCCAATTCAACATCTTCAACTCAAAATAAAAGAGATCAGCAACCAATAAACATTTAAACAGATAAATAATAACAATAGATACACTAATAATAATAATAATAATAATAATAATAATAATAATAATCAGCTCTATCTTGCAATTTACATGGTTTCATCTGATAGTAAATATCCCACTCAATTTAAGGAAAATTAGGCCTGTCTTCTTGGCTGTCAGAATTTTAGCATTCAGCATGAATTGAAGAGGACAGACAATCAATAAAAAACATGGCTGCCTCATGCTAATAATTATTTTAGATTCAATAATAAGCAATTGAATAACCCACCATCAACATTATTGCATTTTCAGTCTAGTATTTCACTCTAGTCTAGCAATTTATGAAAAAAATTTAAAATATCATTAAATATCAAACAATAACAGCATATTATCCTTGGGTTGTATGTGTCATAAACCCTTAAGTACAAAATTCTTACGTACCAACAGTGACCATGGCAGAGCATGAGACATTGCCCCATTTGTTCCTCAGGATTAGAGTGTATTTCCCTTCATCTCCCTCCTCAGCATTCTTGATTTCCAAGGCAAATGATTTACCAGTTTGTTTCATGGACATATGGCCCTGTATACAATCCAATTTCTGGCCATTCTTTTCCCAAGTTACCATTAATTCCTCTGCGTTTGCCTCACAGCTAAGTTTGATGTCTTCTCCAGTTTTCACATGTTTGTCTGCTAAAACTGTGACAAATTCTATAAAAAGGTAGAGATTATTAGAAAAACTCTTATACATGTACACATTCAGAGTGTCTTTTATCAAATCATCTTACACTGAGAGTGCTCTCATTCAGTTTAATTTGATAATTGAATTTCAACTCACCTAGTTTAGGCATTGAAGATCCCATGTTTCAATCTTTGAAAATAAAGACAAAAAATTAACTACATATTGAATGTGTAACTTTAGCCAGGAAATAAAGATGGTCACAGAAATGTTCCTACAGATTTGGGAAACAGTTTCAAGAATTTAACCCTTTTGATTCTTTCATTAATTATGAACAAAGTACACAGATCCAGTATTTGAGTGAAAGTAGAGATATTGCTGTTAAAAGAATTTCTCAAATTAAGGAAAAATATTTTTATTTGTACATATATTTTGCTTAAAACATAAGAATGTTTTGCTTTTAAATGTACTTAAATACCAAAAGTATTTTGAGACATTTTAAAGAGAGTAATTCTGTTCTGTTGTGTTCATTATGTATGTAAAATTTTGCACAGCATTCAAACTGCACCGTACAACACTGTGCCATTTTCTTTCATTCTGAAACCTTATTGGAGGTGCCTGGGCCTGCTTACTGTTGATAAGTAAGATTGGACAAGCCGGTGCAGAGGCATCAGATGCAAATCGGATGCATTCTGTCCTTGTGTTATGTATGAAACTAGCGCACAAGCCTAAACTTTTTCTTGGCCATTTTTATGAATGAACACAGAATACACTTCTCTTCTTCATTAATATGCATTTAAGGGATGGCTGTGTAAAAAAGCAGGATCATGCAAAAATGGGTGATGATTAGGGATGGGAATCTTTAGGCACCTCACGATTTGATTCGATTACGATTCAGAGGGCTGCGATGCAATTATAAAACGATTATCGATGCATCTCGATGCATCTTTTTTTTTTTCTATACATCATTTCTATTTTCTCACTGTCTGAGGACTGGGTAGTTTTAAAGCAAAGTATTTGTAATGACCCATAATGAATTTACTTCCAATATCTTTTATTAATAAATCAAATGGAAGTGATGAGGCAAGTGAACTGGAAGGCTCTCATTCACTGCCTTTGGAGCACATGAGACGCTGCTGCCACTCATCTGCGATAAAATGCGCAGTTACGGTGAAATAAGATCCAGTGGCAATGAATGTCCATACAGCACGTTACAGCCGTCCTACCCATTTTTTTTAGTGATTGTATAACTTCAGTTTTGGTCTCGTTGTAGAGACGGGGGTGGGGGGTCACTGTGTCAGTAAAATATCTTCGAGATGGGACACGTGCAACATAGAGTGAAAGCAATGACTGAGAATTGGCGTGCAGACTGCAGGTCACATGGCAACGATGCATTATTCGCATTTATAAGCAGCGCAGTTGCTTTCCTTGCAAGTTAAATCTGCAATGAGAGACTGTCAAACACTAAAAAGTCAAAGATGAAGTCGCTTCTCTTCCGAATTTTCTCGTTCCACCTTAAATGGTGCCGCATTTACATTCAGCGCCTTATTCAGAATTTAAGGTGGAACTGGAAAATTCGAACAAGAAGCTGGAGAATAAAAAGTGACTTCAGCCTCGTAAAACAGTCGAACGTTGAGAGACATTTTACAATAAGCTGCTCTAGTTTTGAGGAAAAGTTTTCTGCCGGAGATGGGAGCAAAGCAGTTATTAAAGCTTAAAGCAGAGTAAAGTAGATCTGCGCTCTCGTTTATATTTTTTAGTCTATACTAGGACATTATCACATACTGAGACATGCTGGACATTAAATGTTGTGGCTCCCAAGCTGGTTTGATTTTTGTTGAAAGGTCAAAATGGCTCTTCTTATCATTTGTGTTGTGACTCCTGACCTAACCTGGCTTTTAATGCAGAGGGAGCTGGTCGGATTTCTCGCTTCTCCAGTAGTGTTTTTGTTATGTGCCACAGACTGTCCGGGCGCTGCACTTACCCACTTCCAAGTTCCACCTTTTGCGTTCCGTCAACATTATTATAAATTAAATATTTAGAAAATCGTTTTTTGACATTTGTGAATCGATTCAGAATCGTTCACGTCTGCAACGCGATACATCTAAGAATTGATTTTTTCCCGCACCCCTAGTGATGATAATGGAAATGTGGCTGATTTATATATTCTGCTTTATTCATTAAAGTTTGTGCAACTGGTGGTGTCTAGTTTCATGTTGATTTTTAAATGTATAAATTAAATGTATAAATTAAATGTATAAATTAAATGTATAAATAGTTGATGTTCAGTTTAGAGGTGCTGCAATGTTATGTGTTCTGTTTTGTGCTGGGCTGTGGAGAAGTTATGTGGGTCTTCATATCTACCATGGACTACAGTGTGGTTGTTGGTGACTTGCTTGCTTCCCCACCATATCAGTTAGTGCTGGCGGTGGGTCTCCTCTGCTGCATGTTAATAAAAGAGCACTTGTTTGTAACGCTGTGTTTCCCGTATCTTCTTCGTCTTCTATCTCATACCTTTTGCAAAATTATGGATATTATGCATAATTATTGATAATTTATTTTCTCCATTTCAGCTTTTGAAATGCCTCTTAAGTGCTTATTTAACTGCTTATTGAATGATAATATCAAACTGGGCCTTAGGATTAAAACTTAATTTCACCAAATCAAGTAATATAATTTTAATAAATTGACACGTCCGTTTATTGAACATCTACTTTGTACCTCTGCGTGAAATCTTTGATATGTGAAACTGAATGTCAGTTTCCTTTTGTTAATTAATTAATTAATTAATTAATTAATGTACATGTTTGAAAAAAAAACAGTGCTGTATTGATTCATGTTTCATGTTTTGATATATTTTTTACCTAACCTATGTTTGATTAATATGCACAATTAAAAAATGAATAAAACAGTTAATAGAAAAACACTGAATTTCTGACTAGTGAGTACAGTTCCTACCCCAAATCTAACCTTTCTTTAAGTATATTATATAATAATTGGCCAATTTTATGGCCTCAATGTCTATTTGGCTACAATAGGTTCAAAAATGTAGCTGAACTCAAACTAAGCAGAGTGAAAAGCAGCAAAAGTAAAACAGTTCCCAGATGTACACCTGTGAGAAGACAAGGCTAGAACATTTTCTTCATGACTGAACTTTCAGTTTCACTTTTGACTCCAGCTTGTTGATGGCTCAGTTTTATCATGACATCTTTGAAACCCTGCACATTATGAACAAGCAGTTAGTGGGCAGAGCTACATACAGTTTGTGGAAAGCTGTAGTCCTACTACATTGAACATTACTTACAGGCACAATGTGGGAGCATATTGCAGACACTTCAAGGCACATTCTGCACTATGCCTGCATTTGGAAGTACATCTGGCGCTTTGTACTCAGGGAAAGGATTTTGTGAAAGGTCCGCTATAACTGACTTGGTTTATTTATGACAGTGGACCTTTTTTTCTTATATTATGAATAATATTAAGGTAAAAAGTAATGTATTTTACTGTGAAATAAAAGTAAAAGTCTGAAAAAAATGGAAATACTTTATAAAAATATAGATCTTGTCCACTGTCTGTTGTTCCTGTAACATATTTAAATGAGTTTTGAAACTCTGACTTCTTGAACTACCTTAATAACTCACTATTAGATGTGGTGTCCTGAGACTTGTAAACTGGCTGATTTATTCTTAAATTCTGGCTGAACTTGTTTAATCAGTCAGTCTCAGTCTTCAACAACTGATCATGCATGTTCCTGCGTTGCTGGAATGAAAACCCACAGCCACACTGGCCATTTGTGGATAAGACTGGACACACTTGCCTTTACTATTTTACTCTCAATTATATTGGCCTCACAAAAATTATATATGAAACAGCAGTTTCACACGGTTCATGTTCATTATCCCAGCTATCAAAGAACTCCTGCCAGTGTTCTCAAAACAGTCCTTAATCTCTTTCATGCATCTCTCAGTCCATATTTAGATATAAAAAAGATATTTACAGTGATTCTGTTCTGTACGGAGCCCCGGAGGGAATGGAGGTAAAAAAAAAAAAAAATTTATTCGAGCGAACGTTTGCAGTTTGTACTCACGTTTTCTTTTATTCGTGGTCACGATTTCTTAAATCGTTCCCTCGTTTTCTTTTAAACGTGCACACATTTTCTTTACTTCGTGGGTACGTTTTTGTTTATTCGTGATCACGATTTTCTAATTCGTTCTCTCCTTTTAATCGTTGTCATGTTTCATTTTTAACTGAACGCACGTTGTTTATTTTTTATTTGTGCACAAAATCAATGTAGTGATACAAGTTGTGTTATTTGTCCTGTGAAGCAGCTAACAGCTCCCTGAGACTGTCTGACGGGTTTTGACGTGTTAGATTGATGAGATAATGAGATGCTCATCTGATTCTGATCTGGGGCAGCTGCAGCTCCTCTTCACAGCAAACGGCCCTCAGATTCATCAGTGCAGCTGCAGTTTGGTGGTGAAATGAAAGAAGACAATAAACTACAACCACAGTCTTCACCAAACTGCACTGTCTAATGATCATATTTAACAGAGACGCTTAGCGCTGTTTCTGCTCCCGCAACAAGCTGCGGTGTTAGAGATCATCACACAATTACAGGACAAAATGATCAGCGTCAACGTTTCAACAAACTCAAATTAAACACACACAGACACATTCATGGGCGATGAGGTCAAATGGCGAGAGAGTTTAATAGATCTATGGATTAGAAGGAGATATGTTAATGTGAGGATGTTGAAACTCTGATCATTTCTTCCTGTAATTGTATGATGGTCTCTAACACCGCAGCTTGTCCGGGAGCAGAAACACCGTGGGCCGTTCGCTGTGAAGAGGAGCTGCAGTTTCCTCATAACCCCCCAAATCAGAATCAGACCGAAAGAGCATCTCTGTCCATCATCTCATCAATCTAACTCATCAAAGCCCGTCAGACGGGTCTCAGGGAGCTGTTATCAAAACACAAACAACGAGCGTTCAGTTAAAAATAAAACATGACCACGGTTAAGAGAAAACGAGAGAACGAATTAGAAAACCGTGATCACGAATTACAAAAAAAAAAAACGAACCCACGAAGTAAAGAAAACGTGCGCACGATTAAAAGAAAACGAGGGAACGATTTAAGAAATCGTGACCACGACTAAGAGAGAACGTGCGTACAAACTGCAAAACGTTCACTCGAATTAATTATTTTTTTACCTCTGTCCCCTCTGGGGCTCCGTAGTTCTGATCTATCTAAACCCAAGACATTATTAGTGTCACGCTTCCTGGGGCTCAGTCGGACACTCGTACCATCAAGGACTCCACTTCCCAGAATCCTTCTGTCAGTCATGAGACTCTTCCAGCCTAACACAAACCACCCAGCAGATCACAGTCACCTGAATACTAATCATCACCGCCTGTTTTGCTCTGTATATCTACCTGTCTGTTTGAACCTTATCTTTGCGAAGTGTTGCCATTGTTCCGTCAGTGCGTACCAAGCCGTTTATTTTCCTGATTGCTGTTCTGTGTTTCGACCTCCCTTTGTTTTCTCCGGTTTCCGATTCTCGCTCCTGTTTTTGGCTTTGTTGTTTTGTGTATGATTCCTCTACGGTTACGACCCTCGTCTGTTTTTTCGACTCCGTTTTCGCCTACTCCTATGTGTTGTATCTGGCTCTTCTGGTTATTGACCTGGTCTGGTGTTAACCCTGTTCATCTCCTTTTAAATAAATCTTCCAGGTTCGTTTTTATCCGCACATGTCTGATTTGCAAACCCAGCGTTACAATTAGACATATTAATGAGCTAAATATATACAAAACATTACTTACAGTGTACTTTCTGTTGGGTGGTGTCTGTCCCAAAGCCTCTAACCTCTAAATTTACTCTGAAAAATAATACAGATTTTTTTTTTATCTTTTTGATTTGTTTTCAAGTGAAGTTGAAAGATTTAGATTAAATTTTTAAATTAAAAAATGCTGCCCCATGTTTTAATGTCGCTACTGAAACAGAGTTTTAGTCCATAGGCAGGGCCTTATTTTAGCCATGCCCCTGCATTTTAGAGCAGGAGGTGAGGCTGCATCCCTGCCCCTCATGGCCACATGGTGAGCAGTTAGATCCCATTGTTTTGAAGTAAATGTGTCCCAAAGTCTGAAAATCAGTGTGGAACATTAAGAATTGTCACCACTGAACCACACATCTCCTGCAGTTACGTAAACTGATATGATGATTTTCTGTGTGAACAGCTGTTCAAAGCTGTGTTTGTTGGTCATGTACTGGCTGAGTTTCTGAGCTCAAAGTGACCTAAAAATGTTACCGAAACCGTCACTACTGACACATCTGGTAAAATTTGGGTAGAGTTTTGATAAAATAAACAATATTAAGGTATAGGGTCACAAGCAAAAGGATTTTAGTCTAAATTCCAAGATCAGTTAAAGGTCTGAAATGTGTTTTAAACTACTGAACTAGTTCAGTACAATATCCATATATACTGTAACTAAAGGGGTTTGTAGGAAAACTGCATGTGCTGAGGAGCTTTATTAGGGGCCATCCAAACCTCATAGTCATCAGAGGCAGGGGTCAGAAAACAGGCAAGCAACAGCACAGGCAAATACATAGTAGTGGGTTGAAGCAACATTAAATTATTGATAAAGGCCACCAATGTCACAATGACATTGATTACAAGATCATTTGGTAGAATATGCAAGAAAAATTCATGATTGAAAGACAGCTAGGATATTGTGGATATTAGAAATGCTTTCAAGCAAAAATGGACTAGCTGGTTAAAATCACAACTTCAGTCTTTGCTTTAGTTTTCAGAAAAAAATCTCATAAAACTGTCGTTTGGTGTTTAAGAATTAATATCACTGACAGCTTGAGTGTGCAGTTGTGCCCTGAAAGGATGTGGTCTGTTTCAGACTGCACAGTATTTTGCTCACATGACAGTATCTGGTGCACAGAAGATTTTTCTAAAAAAAAAAATACACTACATCCTTTCAGACGTCCTGTATCCAATAAATCTGAATAATGAAACATTTTGACTGGTTTTGTTGTTTTAGTTGGCTTGCTGTTCTTGCTTTAGATAAAGCAGGGTTTATTAGATAATGTTTTAATGTAGTAATAGGATTAAAATTGTTGATAAATGATCGAGGTAGTTTCAGTATTTTGTTATTTTTTTGTTAAACAGATGCTTTAAATGTTGATTTAATGTTGGTTTCATTGCTTGATTGCTGTCTGGGCAGCATCATTTTCACACCATGGTTTTGATCATGTCTGTCAGTTTTAAATCAGTGCTACTCATGTAATGTAATGGTGTCTGGGTAAAGTTTCCCATTAGTTGTTGAGGCACACCAAGTATGGTATGAACAAAAACACTTTACTTATTGAATACTTAATATATGGAAATGTGAATTTTGATTGGTTTATGCCATTTGAGGGACAACTGGCTGCACACGTTTCTCCTGTTTTGAAATTAAAATCGAACAAGTAGATTCTGAGTATCAATTTATTTAGATACTCAACTGTTAAGTGTTTATTCGTTGAGTATCTCTCATTGCACTTCCAGCACTTGTTTCTCTCATCCTCCAAAATGAAAGATGTCATTTGTAATCAGAGTAACATTGTTGATGATGCCATAAGGCGTTTATAAGCTGAGGTATTCAGTTACTGTGTGTAGTCATCTGTTTGTATTTTAAGTACTTCACAATCGATTAAAACATTGCTCACTATTGCTATTGCTAACTATCCATTTGATTTTTTTTCTTCAGCTTTCTAGGCATTGTTGTGGTAGGTGAGCAGGCTTGGACATGTGAATCACACAAGTACATTCTTGTCTGCAGTCTATAAGTTTTATTTCACTTTTTCAGTTTGATATTTTGATTTTCTCCTTTTTATTCTAGAGTACTTGGAGTTAATATGTGTGTTAATGAATTCATATACCTGGTCACTTTCTCATTTATTACACAGTTTCATCATAAGTTTGAGTTGTGTTATATTAATATTTTGTCTTTATATTTTGTCAGAGCAAAAGTCAGCATTTTTTGAAAGTATACATTCAATTTCACACAGTGACAGCAGATTTGTGCAAAATTAAGTTTGAAAGTATAGCAGGTTAATAAAGGTTGACGGATCATTTACGCTGTTCATCTATATGTTAAGTCTTTAACCTAAAGAACTGCACACTCAGATACAGTAGCTGGACTTACCTTTGTTAGAGGTGTGTTGCTGACCTTCCTCTGAGTGTCTCTGTCTCTTGTTCTGCTCTGGGATGTGTTTGCACTGCTCTGTCTCTCTTTATTCATGAGCTCATTCTACTTTCACTTTCAGCTCTATGCTGTGTGTGTGTGTGTGTGTGTGTGTGTGTGTGTGTGTGTATGTGGGGAGGTTGTTTTTTCATGCATATAACCAGTTCTCAGACTCAGAACAGACTCTCAGATGTACACTGACAGAGTTTCGCCTTACCTACAGCACGAGTGTCTACACTTTCATTTGCTAAACACTTTGATAGATTGTCAAGGCTAGATTAAGCAATTCTGTGGCCCCAGGCTATAAAAATGTGAGCCCCCCTCAGGGCTCAATATTCACAATTGCTATATTTCCCCGGCCAAGTGAAATGTTTATGTAGGAGTGCTGAAAATCACTTATTAGGTCAGGTAAGCTGACATTTAGCCATAGGGAACTTTTGGCAGTGAACCAAGTGCCCTGCCAAGCTTCCAGTAAAGAAGGGCAAGGTTCTCGATAGCCCATAGGTGATTTGCATACTCTCTTTAATGATCAACAACTGAACTGATGCTCTGGAGAAGATTGTGTGTGTCAACATCTTAAAAATGTAAGTTTTCAAGAAAATTAAATAAAATATGTGGTTAATTGTCATATCCATATGCAGTGCAAACATTGTTTTAGTGAAGTCTTAGGAGGCTAATGACTGGCTGGAAAATACTGGATATTTCACAGTACATACTGAATGATTTATAGTAGATACTGAATAATTCACAGTACATACTGAATGATTCATAGTAGATACTGAATAATTCATGGTAGATACTGAAAAATTCATAGTAGATACTGAATATTTCATAGTAGATACTGAATAATTCATAGTAGTTACTGAATAACTCATAGTATTTGCTGAAATAATTAATAGTAGATACTGAATAACTCATAGTAGTTACTGAGTAATTCATAGTAGTTATTGAATAATTCATAGTAGATACTGAATATTTCATAGTAGATACTGCATAATTCATAGTAGTTGCTGAATAATTAATAGTAGATATTGAATAATTCCTATTACACACTAAAGAATTCATAGTAGATATTGAAACATTTATAGCAGTTACTGAATAATGCATAGTAGATACTGAATAATGCATAGTGGATACTGGGAAATAAATCTTAAGATTATTAACTGCATAGTAAGCATGTAGTTTAAGTGCTTAAAAATGAATAGGAGGCTTAATGGGTTATTATTTCACCCACTTTCTATGGCTATATTTGACAACATTATTTTATCAGAAAAAATATATTCCATGTAATACATATATTTTCATTCCTGTTATGGCCAAGGTTCATGCAAAAGGATCAAAAATAGTTTCCTCTTAACTTTTATAACAGATCTCTGACTATCTATTTCAGCAGATTTGAAATCCTTACTATACGCAGCAGAAAGATTAGTAACTACTGCTGATATCAAAAGTATGCATTAATCAATAACAATTATTTCTGGCTTGTAGCTCATTGAAACAACTGGATTTGCCCAGCTGTTTCTACATATTAAGTCCATAAGTCCGAGGTCCATAGTGCTGTGTAATTACAGGTTTATGGTGTATTTCCCTTCATTACTCTCCCCAACGTTCTTGATTTTCAAGACAAATGATTTACCAGTTTTTTCATGATGTGCTTACCCTCCACACAATCTAATATATAGCCATTCTTCTATGAAGTAGCTGGTAATTCTTCTGTGTCTGCCTCACAGTGAAGAATGACATCTTCTCCAACTTTTATTTGTTTGTTCTACTGGGAACTGGCAGAGAAGATTATTGCAAAAATACTCATGCAGAAACACTATACAAACATAGTGAACACATACATGACAGTATGGTAGACATAAAACACGATGGAACACATACAGAATGGTAGAGATTAGAGATGTCCCCGTCTAGTTTTTGGTCTCCGATCCTAGTCTGTGTACTTTGATATTGAGTATCAGTCAATACCAAATCGGATACTTTTATTTTCCTAGATAATACAGCTGTACAGTGCTCACGTCAAGTATATTTATGTCGGTATAACCAATCCAATTTAGGCAAATATATAAAGTGTTTTGGCATAAATAGAGTGCAGTGGGGTAAAATAACATTAACAAAGATTGGATGTGGACCAGGCTTAAAATAGCTTATACTCGATCCCTTAAAAAATGCCTACATCAGACCCGGATCAGAACTGGACATCTCTTGTAGATACAGAACATGGTGGGACACATACAGGATGACACATAACCTGATGAAAACATGTCATGATCAATTCAGAATTTGTCTGGCAGCCAAGCTAAAGTGATCAAAGTTTCTTGTTCTTGCAGCTAGATAAACTGAAACTTGTTAATAACAGTATGTTAACTGGAAAATCCAGATACCATGATATTACAGCAGTCCAACCTAGATGTAATAAACATATTAACTAGTTTCTCTGCATCTTATCCACTACATTTCTTAGCAATGCAGTAGTTCATAGATGTGAAAGCTCTTCTCTATATGTGCACAATGACAAATGGGAGTCAGTAATGTTGCCAAACCTTTTCATCTATAAATGATGCAAAAGCCACCTTAGCAGTCTTTAATTACACAATCTTCATTCTCACCAAATTGCTGTGTATTATATGCTTTTGAGTTGTGTGTGATCAGCAGTCCTTATTCTGGATCCCTTTAAACTGGAAACTAAATATACCTAATTAAAGGCATCAATATGGATTTTTTTTTGTTGAATAATTAAACTCACTTAAACTTTGGATGGAAGTGATACCTAATCTATGCAAAGGATGAAATACTGAATTAATACTCAATGTGATTTTAAAATAAAATAAATCCACAGAAATTGAATTAAATACATTAAAAGGTATTTCTCATGTTCACTCTTTAAAACATTACATTTTTCTAAAATCATTTCTGACAACATGACTTTAATTTTATTGCAAAATTGTGGATCATTTTCTTCTGTCAAGTAATCACACAAAGCAGGGGTGGGGAAGTCCTAGACAGCTAGATTCCTGCACAGTTTGGTAATTTTCCTTCTTAATCGCACCTGATTCAATTAATTGGTTAATTACCAGGTTTAGTTGGTGTGCTTGAGCAGGGAAATCACCAAACTATGCTGTGCAGTTCCCCACCCCTGTCCTAAAGCAACACCATATTATGTTTCATGTTTCATTCTACTAGTACTCCCATAATCTGTTTTCTGTTTTTTCCTGTCCAGATCAATGTGTTAATTTCTATGAAAAGCTTTTGATTAAGCAAAAAATCAATCTCTGTGATTTTGTGTATATAATAATAATAATAATAATAATAATAATGATAAGAAGAAGAACCAATTTTATTTAAAATGTGCCTTTCAAGACCTCAAGGACACAGTACATACACAATTAGGAGTATAGCATGGTCAACAAGTAAGGTTTATTTTTTCTCAAATGCTTGTCCTGAAGGTGAAGCTGTAGAAGAAAAGAGTTCTGAAGCCATGGTGTCCTAAAAGCACAAGCTCCCATAGATGAGAGACTAAAATGAGGAGCATAAAGTAGTCTAGCAGAAAAGTGAAGTTATCTTGCTGGAAAGTGATCATGAAGAAGGTTAGTGAGATGTGAAGGGATTAAACTATGAAGTGCCTCAAATGTAAGTATTACTATCTTAAAATCAATTACTTGTATTCTGGGAAGCCAGTGAAGATTACAGAGGACTAATATGTTAATGGTGACTGGTCTGCAGTATTTGGGCCTTTTACCAGTATAATAATAATAATAATAATAATAATAATAATAATATTTTTTGCACATATTAATAATTTGCACCTATCACTTAAAACTACTGCAGAAAGTAATAATATATACAAAAATAAAACTAGCTTTACTGCTCACGAGTTTCTGCCTTCTTTTCACATTTCAGAACTGTTAGTTAATGTTAGCTCACTTCAACATTAAAATCTGACAATTTAATTCACAAAAGCTACATTTATAACTAGTCAACTAGTTATAACAGATCAGTTTGCTGCTATAGAATGATGCTTCATGTAAAACCAGGTAAACGTCTGATTCAAATATCTCTTTGAATATTATATTTTATATTTAAAATTAAATGTATTGTTTCTTGTTTGTTTTAGGCAAAAATAGTTTACTGAATGACTATTTAGTTTTGAATATATATAAAACTGATATATACAACTAAATAAAAAATAAATAAAATGTTCCTCTGTTAGCAAAACATTTGAAATGTGTATAGGAAATCTTCTTTTGTTTTATTTTATGATTTTGTTTACGACCCAGTAAACACGGGTGAATCTCTGCACATTTTGTTGATGTGTAAAAAGAGTAGCAGCTGCACATTTTAAAGGTTAATTAAAAATATCTGGAGGACAATATCCCAAAACAATTCTACAATGAACTGGCCTGAGCCCAGGATCTTTACATGTCCAGCCAGTGCCCCTAGGTTAAACACAGGAAATCTCTACACAATGATACCAGCTCAGAAATGTAAAGAAACTGCAAGACTTAGTAAATTCAAAACCAAAATGAGGGGGTACGTATGATAAGTTGTGTGATAATGAAGCTGCAGCAAGCCAGACAAGGCTTGGCAAATCCAAATGGAGTCTCCCCAGAGGGTAAACACCATAACAAATAGTTACCCATTAAATTATTAAAAAAAAAAGACTACTAAACAAAAACACCTTGAATACTTGTTTATTAAGGATTTTAAAATCAGCACACAGTCTGTAGCAAACAAACTGTTTTGACAGACTGTAAAGAAGAACTCAACAAATGGCTTCTTTACAAACACTGCAGTTTATGTTAAAGCCTGAAGGACTGTTAAATCATGTGAAGAGTCAGTTGTTTATCTCTGTGTTATTATGCTCTTTCAAGGAATAAATACTGAACAGTCTCCTTAGTAGTGGACATGTTCTCTTGTTCTCCTCAGCAGTGCACATATTCACAAGTCATCATCAGTGTTGTACTGAACTTTTCATGGCATGATGTTACATACATTTCATTTGGTTTTGCATAACTGCACATTAATCATCAAATTTACAAGATTTTGTTATTTGGATATGGCGAGTTGTTTATAAAAAATATTAATTTATTTTAATTTTCCAGCATAAGTGGGATTTAGGAACTATATCAAGCTGTCGGTCACTCTGATCTAGGCCATAAAAGGTTTACTGCTGTAATGTTCCTGGGCCAGACTTCTTAAAAACATTCCAAAAGATGCTCTGTTTACCTCTTCAGGAATAATGACAGCAAATGATCATAAAACAGTGTTGTTGCACATAGAATACCCTAAAGTCTAAGAATACCCTAAAGTCTAATAAAACCAGCACAAGATCCTCCCCATAGGTTTTTATGACTGCATTAAGATAAACTACTTTCTATAAAATCTACTTAAACAGTTATTGAATAATAAGCCTTAATATGTAATAAGCCTGGGATTTTAAGGGGTTAGGATCTCTGGAGATTGCCTACACCTGTGATTTATCAAAGGTGTGTTTAATTAAAGGAGATTTACATGCCTGAAATCTCTAACAATATCTAAAGGCTGCCAACAATACTGTGAAGGCCATTTTCAAACTCAGTTTTTGTGGGTTCTCCCAATGCACATGTGATTTTACATGAGAAATACACATGTTAATAATAAAGCTTTTTCATTTCAACAATTTTTTGGAAAAAACTGCAAGGGCACCAATATTTCTGGCCATGACTGTACTTTATGTTCTTAAAAAAGCTAGCTAATTAGCTCAGATTCAGCTTAGATACAGTCTGGTCTGTCCCAGTTTTCCATGCATCCTTTGCGATGATGTCAGACTGGAGGAAAATGTACAACTTTATGGTTTTGTTTGAAATTATTTCTTTCTAGGCTACTTTAGTTTTGTCTTTGTGCAGATCAAAAAAACGTCAGTAAATGATGTCATTTTTCTAAATAATAAATAAATAAATAAAATATCCAGTTAATTATTCACCCAGCCAACACTGTCTCCAAATAGCAGGCTGCCCTATGAAGCCCACCTGCAACTTTTCAAATTCATTCTACTTTGTTAGTTTTATTAATTTTCTTCTGCGTGGTATGAAAATGATCCTTACATGTTTAAAATACAGCTTAAATCATTACATTAAAGAAGACTTTCTGTTTACATTAACTAAGACAGGTGGCAACGACATGAACTGACAGATTGTTTCGTGATTGGCCGATGCAGGCAATTGTGTAAAACATGATTGGCCGATGCCAAATGATTGACAGTGAATCCACCCCAAATTCAAGACTTGCTTGAAAGTGAAAGTAAAGTTTACCTGTGTGAGAACGAAGATCTCAGCGTTTGGGATTAACACTTCATAAGTACGGCATATGACTTAAAGCAAGAACACTGGCGCGTAAGTAGTAACAATAGATGAGCCCGCACTCTGCTGATTTTGTATGTAAATGTTACACATGGCATCAGTTGGGCAGTAGTTTGCATGTGTATACAGTATATATGTATATATATTTTATTTTATGCTGATAGACGTGCAGCGTGCCTCTGAATTTAAAGCACAGTGTTGTTTGATCTGGGCTTCATAAACGAGTATTGTGAGCAGCGCGTCGATTAAAAACACAGAGTAAATGCAGATCTATGTGCAGTAGCGCTGTTTGGCCAGAGGGACGGAAGTACACTGATGGTGTACTGAAAGAAAGCGCACAGAACGGCGCTTGATCAGAGAATTTCTGCGCAGTCTTCGGACTCTCCGTGGATTCGCCTTCGTCCAGGCTCCCAGCAGTGGCGTTCCAATGCGTGATAAGTGAGCTGCTCACGCACGCAAGGACCATTTAAGAGAAGCTCTCCATTCCGTTTCCGGGTGTCTTCTATCCAAACATAAAGCACCTCTGAGCCGTTTTAGATTACCATGTGACCGCTGTCCTCTTCTAGAGGAACTGGACTTTCTGTCATTTGATCCACAAGCCTGACAGTCACTTCACAGTCTTTTTCTACAGCTGTACCAAAATGGTGTAATAAAGCTGAGACTGGAAAGGCTGTGCTGTAATATCTGATATTAATATCTCCATAATAGCAAAGTACACGCTGATTTGCTTTGTAATAATAATAATAATATTAATCATGGAAATAACTATGGTGAACAATTAAAATACTTAAAATAATAATTTAAATAACTTAAATAATTAAAATACTAAAAAAATCTTTTCAATAGAGGCAAGCAACCACAGTTCCACAGTATCATCTTAAAATTTGTTTTTCAGTTCATATATATATATATATGTGTGTGTGTGTGTGTGTTTCTTGTTCTAAACAATTATTATTATTATTATTATTATTATTATTATTACTGTCTGTTTTTCAGCTGTGACTTGTTTTCACTGTGTAGTCTTTTCTGTTGAGGTAATGATAGATCGAGTCGTGGTGAAAGTGTACTGTGGTGCTGAATGGTTTGTGATTTTATTTTTCGGTTTTCTTCAGCAATTTCACAAGAAAAATTGCTGAGCAGCTCCAACAAACTGTGCAAACAGTTATGATTTGGGCTTCAAAAATAGCGTTTTAGATCACTGAAATCTGAGCTTCTGAAGCTTTTTGTTAACGGTAAAGCTGTATTATTTGAGGGAAAATAATGTTTGTTTATTGTTTCTGCATTGACACACGGATTAAAACAGCATTTTCAAGAGCAATGCCGAACATCTGTTTTTATGTCGATGATAAAAGTCCTTTTTCCGTAAATATGATTTTGAATGTGTTTATAATGTTCATTTTTAACAAGCTAATAAGTGCACCTTTTATTTTCCCAATTAATTGATTACTCAAATCATAATGGGTCAATAAATCTTTTTGGGAATATTCATTAGTTGCTGCCCTTATTGTAAAATGGCGCACATCTCTATTGTGTGATGGAAATAACCACATTGCTTGTTGGAGCTGCTCAAATTTTTTTGTGAAAGTGTTGAGGGGAACAAATCACTAGCCATTCAGCAAAACAAATTAATTTTAGTTAGGGCTCTATTATTACCTCAGCAGAAAAGACAACACAGTGAAGTCACAGCTAAAAACTGATGATAATAATAATAATTATTATAGACTAATATTATACAAGAGTAGTAGTAGTAATAATAATAATAATAATAACAATAATAACAATAATAATAATAATAATAATAATAATAATAATAATGGTTTAAATATTTATTAAGAGGAAACATAATAAATATACAAAAACATAAAACAAACAAATACATAAAAAATTATTGAACTTATTAAAACAGAGTGAGCTGAAAAGCAGATAATGTGCTTTGCTTACACTTTTAGTATCTGAGTCACTCGCCATGCTGAGCTTCCTCTGTAGATGCAGTGTGTTTTCTCTCATGCATTACAGGTGTGCAGCCATGCCAAGTGATTTACAATTTACAGGAAACTCTCAGTTTAGAAGGTGTGAAAGTGAAGTGGTTTTTACTTTTTGGGTTGTGCACCAAAGCTACACAGCTCTGTTATCTGTGTGTTCAACAACACTGTTGATTTCATCAATTTGTTGTGTTCCCACATAACATATTAAAATCAAATTAAATCCTACCTCAGAATCGAAAGTCATATCAAACCTGTAAATAAGTGTGCCATTACTGCACTTGTAAATGTGGTTCAAAATTCTGTAAATTTGTAATTTTGTGTTTATTATGTCCTGATATTGTGATGAGATCAAGAGAATAGTTCATTTATCAACATTCTGTAAAGACCAACCTAGCAAGAGTAGCTATGAAAGAATGCTATTGTGGGCAAAGCCTGGATTATAACAAGTGTATTCTACATAACTTTAAGATGAACTATTCACTTTTAGCAGACAGAAACATCTCCAGTGTTTAACAGTGTGTGTATGAAGAGTAGCAACTCCAAGATGGAGCTTCACCACTCTAACAGTGGAGGAGGAACCTCAGGCTTAAAGTGAGTAGAAGCTCTGTCATTGTTGTTCAGCATCAAGCCATATTTCTCAATTCTTTTTAGAAAAAGCAGAAATAGCAGAGTTTAATGATTTCTTGAATGTTGTCTTCAAAACTGTGTATGATGTCAAATGATTTCCACTTTTATGTTCTATAATTTTTGATGATGTCATTGAAAAACACTTTCAATGTTATTTGGTTTGAAGATTTTTTAAATTTTTTAATGAGTTTTAAAACAACAGATACTGACTGCGAGACACTCACATATTCTTCTGAACTTGAGTGGCATCTTGAACTGTGTTTGTATACGATGTTTCCAGACTGCAGACTGATGTGGCAGCATCTCCAGCACACTGCTGTGCTTCTGTGAAGAGTGATTTGTCCTCATTAGATCCTGAATCATTCAGCAGTAAAGTTGTCTCCCTCGAGGAAACGTGAGTCCAGCCTATAGCCACTAGTAATGTACCTCTAACAGGTTCATTCAGAGAGAAACAACTATTGATGGCATTTTAACAAGTTTTTTTTGCCATTTGAATATCCATATTTTAAATAAACATTATTAAAATATTCCAGTGAGATTTTCTTTATTTAGTTAAAAAAAACACAGGAGATTTCTGAGGAGTATTTGAGTGTATGAGGTGATCCATACCTGATGTGGAATTTATCTTTGTGTTTACATAGATTTAGTGATTTATCTTTGTGTTATAGGTTGATTTAGTGATTTATCTTTGTGTTTAGGTTGTTTTAGTGATTTATCATTGCATTTCACTGAAATTAGAATAAAATTTTCATTTCCAATTGAATGATCTAAACAAATCATTATGAGAGATTTACACACTTTGTATTGTCTGATGTTGGAGTGACATTTTCGTTCTAATGAGTGTTTATATGAACAAACTCTTTACAGTGATCAGCAGACCATGATAGAGCCTCATAACACTGACCTAAAGTGAGTAACATTCTGTCCATTTGTACTTCCAGTTTTAAAATATTCCCAAAGGTTTCAGTTCAACCATTTGAAATTTTAAAAATCTTGTTAAGTAAAATGCTAAATATATTTTATGCACTATTATTATGCTGAAGAAGCTACTAAAACTGGCAGATGAGCATCCCTAAAATGTGTTTTTATGCACCCTGGTAGGACAAAAACAGTGAAATGAAACGTTTTTTGACTGACAGGAAGAGTCTGGTTGGTTTTGTTATTGTTTAATCAGCATTCAACTAACACATTGTACAAAACCATAATCACTGACAAAAGACGTTATTAGTAGGGTGTTGTGAGGCAAAAGGTGTTATAACTGTGAATTAATGATTTTTAACATGTTTATGGGCTAATTAATAATGATTAATTAACTCATAAACTCTGAATGACGTTGCTTACATCTGAACCTTTTAAAAATTGGTGGAATTCTCCCTTAAGCTTGATCAAAGACTGCAAAGACTGCAGAAAACGTAAACGCAAAAAAACTTTACTGACACTGATTTTACACACATTAGGCTACATTGGAGTCTCATAACCTCCTCTTGTTAAACATTCCCTGTATTTATCTCTTAGCTAATATTATGCCAGCGTTTGCTTTCTCACTGTCTCTTTCACTCTCTGTCACTCCACACACCAGCAAACACCACAACAGAGCTGCAGTGTTTCTATGGATGTTTACCATACAAAGTCCCTGTCTGAGCAGGTAGTTTAAGGAAGTAGCTGGCTCAGTCTAGACTTTTTAGTTCCTAAATATCCACTGAAAATTTCATGTTACAAAAATCATCCACATTTTCCAAAGTGAATTATACCATATTTAAAAGCACAGCTAGATAACTTAGTTCAATACATGATGCTAAAAAACACATTCCAACAGTTTGGCATACTGTTTCCCTGTATGGGAAAGTAGTTGAAGGTAGTCACTGGCTAGATCCACACATTTGCAGATCTAGGCTGAGTTCTTGGATATTCACAGGAAGTCTCATTGGAGAAAAAATCATCTGCAGTATCCAAAGACTTAAATTATTTCAGATTTAAAAAGATGGTTATATAACCAAAGATAAAGTTGGAGACCAAATTTCATGTGGTTGGCCTTAGAAGCACCCCCTAGTGACTGCTGAACCATCCCAATCTTTGTTCACTTGAAATGGATGAGACTAACTTTAGTACTGTTTTAACCATGTTATCAAGGCAGTAACTTTATTAAGTAGACAAAGTAAACACAACATTAAGGCTTGCAGGGGAAGCTAATGGGGCTCCTTGATATCCTTAGACTGAGAAAGGCAGCAACTTTTCTTTTCTTTTTTTGTCATTTATCTAACTATTTATTTTTCTTTAAATGAAAAAAGTCATATTAATCCTAGAAAACATCTGTGGCTGTTAAAATGTTTAGGTCACAGGGCCACATGACCACAAGGCAGCAAGCGAGCTGTCTAGTAGTCTATTTCAAACAGAGCTTTTCTTCTTAAGCCCACACAAGGCCATCAACATGAGCTGATGTGTTGCCTCGTGACGTTATATGTGCAGTTTTCTTCTTTATTTGATGTGCATTGATTTGTTTATTTAATATCATCAGGGACGGGAGACAGAGAGCAGCATCTCCAGCACCCAGTTATGTGTCTATGAAGAGTAACAGCTCTGTGTTTGACCTCCCTGCATTCAGTAATGAAGCAACTCCTATTGACCTCAGGTAAGAGAGTACTGCAGCTAGACTGCACTGGAGCAGTCCATTATTTCACTTTCTGGTAAATAACTTTATTCATTCACTGTAGGATTCCTAATGATCATGAATTGTTTTGAATTATGATTGTCCATGTTCAAAAGCCAAATGTCACATAGATGGCTAATGCAACCTACTTGAAGTTATAACGATGCTGTGGAGAAAACTTCTGTAGATACAAGCCTTATTATAAATAAGTCTTCTTTCTTCAGGTTTCGTAGGATGATCATATGTTACCTAAATATTTTGATCAAATATTTAAAGGTTACTGCCTTTAAAAACACAATAATTGAAGGACTGTGTGTGTGTATGTGTACTTTCATTTGTAGACTACAGAAATCTAGAGCACATTCTCCAGAGCCCAGCTGTGTGTCTATGAAGAGTGACCACTCAATGTTTCACCCTCCAGCTTTCAGTAAAGAGAGAACTGCTACCAACCCGAGGTGAGTCAGAAATACGACCACCATGAAGCTAAATCACAACAGCCTTGACATAATACAAGCTAAAATGATAGAGTGCTATTTTTACCCTTTTGTAAATACTGACTGTTTCCAGAGGGAGATTTTCAGCATGCATACAGCTCTAGAATGTGATTGTTATGTAGCATCAGCTCAGCGTGATTAGCAGCATGCTATGGGGAATCAGCAGGCCAGATAGATACAGTGTTGTGCAAAAGTCAGAGGCCACCCTTCATTTATTTAATTTTCAGTCAGAAAGGCCATTAATTACAAGTTATTTATTTTCAGTGTCAGAAAAAACATACATTTAACAGAAAATCCCACATAATCCTCAACATCTAAATCTACTCTCAGCTGTGTGAGTCAATGAGTCACTCTTTCCCTTTATTCCAGCTTCCATTCTTTTCAGGAGACTCACTTTCAGTTCCTCTTAGAAGCTGGTTGCACTAAAGTAAAGAGTGAACACACATTATATTTAGTAGTGAAGGCGTCTGCGTAATTTTCTGTCAAATATGAGTTTTTTTCTGGAATTGCAAAATGAATAACTTGTACTTAATGGCCATTTTGACTGGAAATTAGATAAAGAAAAGGGTGGTCTATGAGTTTTGTACAGTACTATATAAACTTTATTAATCCTAAAGGAAACTACAGTTACAAAAGAGGATCACAAACAAATTAGGAAAATCACACACATCTTAGAAAGCACTGTAAAACTCACACTGTGAGTTAAATATGTGAATGGAATTTATTATGTGTTCCTTCTTATGTTTGTCTCTCTAAATACATTGATTTAATCTTTTGTGTGTGTGTGTGTGTGTTTGTGTGTCAGGTTGTGAGTCTGTGACACTTATCTTGCCTTGTGTTTTTCCTGTTTGACTTATGTAATTGCAGGTGAATTAGGGAAGCAGAACACGGTAATGATTTTCCACCAGAATTTGGTGCAGGTGTTTCACTGTGTAAAAGCCGGCTTTCCAGCATAGCTGGCTGGCTTTCTCTCTCCTCCTTTTTCTCCTGCAGATGTTCCAACACAGATCACTTTTGGGGGCTAGAGTCCACTTACCACCTTCCTAGTTACTTTGTTATGAACTTTGTTATGAATCTGAAAGGCATGTCGACAAACTGGGGGCTAAGTCCAGTGAGGTTTTAGCATCATCTATTTATTTTGCTTGTTTTCTTTGTGGTTTATGCTCTTTGTTGGACTTCCATAAGTGGTGCTTGAAATTACTGGTTGTTCATTTTTCCTTGTGCTTACAGGATGTTCAAAGGTTAAAGTCTGAGATAGATGAGTTTTCCACCAGACAGTGTGGTACGGTACAGTAACTTATCTGAATCCAGACTTTCTGTATCTCATTTGAGAACCTGTATTGGAGGCAAGTTTCTCTGGAGGTTATGTGGTGGTGGTAAAATTTCCCGCACAATAATAGTGTTAACAATAAACTCCCACACATAGTTTTAGGCAATACATCATTTCATCCAGTGTATCAGTTGTATACCAATTCTTCTGAAGGTATGAGTTTAGTGATAACCTTTACACTGATATACCAGAAATAATCTCAGATAACACAACATACACACAGTGCTAAACACACTAAAGTTAGCAGAGTCAGGAGTATTTCAGTAATATTTCAGTTAAAAAAAAAAATATTTTTTTTATGTTGTCGAGATATGATTGATTATGCATGAAGGTAAATGCATGTAGATACAAATTTAAGAGAATAGCAAGAGTAAGAACCTAAGGTTAGCATGACATAGGCAAACATTAAGACTTTGCAACAGGCAAGCAGAAAACATGTCAATACTGAGCTCATTAATTAGGGCAAAATAAGCAACAGATGATAGGGAAAGGACTTAGAACTTGGGTGAGAGAGACCTCTGCAGGCTAGGAGGGGAATGACCTGGCATGTGCCTGACACTTTGTTTCTGACAGCAGCCTCTCAACATTTTGACTGAAATGTGTAGGGCTGCCAGAACCACAGTGGCAAGTGGGCATTTGACCCACCACTTTTCAAAGTACCCCACTAACTTTTTAACTTTTCAGGATGTGCACAAAAAAACCTCTACATTCCCTAAACTGCAGGAAGCACTGACCAGTACGAACAGGCAGAGTAAAGTTCAACGGCAGAGCCAATCAGAATCTCCATGTCAGCTGGGAGGTGCTTTCAGACCTGCGGTGGATGGTGTGAACCGGTCAAACTTTTTTTTTAGCTCGGTTTTGACATGCAACTCTGCCGGCATTCAGGTCCGCACCAAACAACTGAACCAGGCTAATTCACGAGGGAATTCAACATGTTTTTTCCAGTGCACAGTTTGCTGTACTGTGTGCACAATCTTCTGCTTTAACATTTCACTCTTTACAAATGCTCGTTTCCTTCCAGTATTCTGAGTAAATAACGAGAGACAAGCAGTAAAATAATAATATGAGTTAGATTGTGGCACATGGACTGTGGAGCAAGCATCAGAGACCTGATTGGTTTAGTTTAAATTGGTATATACAAAGATGAGGGTTTTGTGGCCTGCTGGCATTTGCTTATGGGCACAAGGTGGGAAAACAGCAAAAAAGAGGTACACGTAAAATCTTTTTTAATGTGATGATGTGAATGCTGCTAAATTTCTGATCTCCTTCTCTAAAGTTGTTTTAGGGAATTTTGATAAAAGTACATGAAAATATGATTTTGTCAAGCTCACGCCCACACTTTTATTTAGTTTGAATAAAATATAAAGGAGCACAAGCATATGTTTGCTTTCCCTCTAGTTACTATGTAATGACGTGCACATGTTCATGATTTTCTCTGTATCTCAATGTAACCAAAATTAGTAAGGTGTCCATAATCCCTTAGCATTATTTCATTCTTTGCTTTTGTTTGTCTTGCAGTTTACATATTTGCCATATCAAAGGTATGGACAGTGTGGTAACGATATACTAATATCCTGTGTCTTTAATCACTTCCTGTCTTTGCACTACTTACTAGAGCCAAGAGCTAGTTGGGAACTGATGACTGGTAAATTAGTTTACTTTTTAGTGGTGTTTTGGTAATATAAAATGTATTTGTGAGGTTGTTTGTTTATTCTGTATGATATACAGAATATACATTTATATTTGTATATACATTTTTTGTGGGAAGTGGTGGGTGTGACAACTGTTGACAGTTGTTCCTGAGCAGGACATTCTGAAAAAATTGCACTGAAAATGGGATACACCAGTGTGCAGATGTCTTATAGTTTAAAAGCTGGCTTTCTGATGTAGATTGCTGAAGAGCTTTTCCTTTCTCTCCTTTTTATTGCTAGCATTCCAATGCAGACTTCTTTCAGGGGCTAAAGCTGATGAGGGTCAAGTGCATTTTGAGCTTTTTTGTGTGCTCCAGTAATGTGCTAATAATTAGGTCACAGCATGCCGCCTGTTTGGTTTGCAAGCTGTATCTAAATGGGTTGGGGTGAGGGAATAAACTATTTGCCATACACTATTTGCCTACTTATCGCATACATTGTTTGTTTGTGATAAATTTACTGAAAGATGGTTTGTAATTGTGTATATGTGTACTTTCATTTGTAGACTACAGAAATCCAGAGCAGATTATCCAGAGCCCAGCTGTGTGTCTATAAAGAGTGACCACTCAATGTTTCACCCTCCAGCTTTCAGTAAAGACAGAACTGCTACTGACCCAATGTGAGTCAGAAATACTACTACCATGGACCTAAATTATGACAGCCTGGACAAATAAACCCTGTGAAACACCACATGGCTCTCTTTTAGGTTCTGAAAACTCCCTATTTAGACTAAAGAATTGGTAGCAATCTGTCAAGTAAGACAGCCAGCACTGATTCTGAGCTATGATGCTTCTGAGTGATAAGTTAATTATTTTTAGTAAAGGCTCTCAAATCACTATCAAGTCAAGAACACAAGTAGTTGATCTAGAGGACAAACTCAAGTTATAAAGCTCTTTAACACCAATGGAACCAAATTCTTTAAAACACTCTTGGCACATGCAGTACTGTGCAAAAGTTTTAGTCACCTGAAAATATGCTGTAAGTGTTTATTTGATCAGAAAACCACTAATATTAGAATATATAAAAATAGTTTTATCATAATAAATGATGATGTCATATATTCAGTTTTGTTCATTTACATTCCATTATTAATTTTAGTTATCACCAGTATCTGGTATGGCTAATCAATATTTCATTCAAATAAATCAGATGTGCTGGTGGTGGAATTTAACAAATCAATGAAATGGCTTGAGCATCGTTGAACCATTTTAAAGCCATTTGCTTCAGTGCCTAAGACGTTTGCGCAGTAATTTGTGACCTCTAGATTGTCTGTCATCAATCTTTATTGGCACATGGATGACTGATTATAGTCTGCTGCTTAATTTTGGTTCTCATACTTTCTATTTTGTTACTGAAGACATCTGAGAACTTACTGATACTAAGGGCTGCTGGAATCTAGATACAGTTTAAAATATGAATTTACTGTTGTTGCATTTTCCTTCATTAAAAATAGTCTCTGCAGCTGATTTATGCTTGTGTCTCCAAGTACAATAATTTAAATAGCGTGTGTGTACTTTCATTTGTAGACAACAGAAATCTAGAGCAGATTCTCCAGAGCCCAGCTGTGTCTCTAAGAAGAGTGACCACTCAATGTTTCACCCTCCTGCTTTCAGTAAAGAGGGAACTTTTGCTTACCCGAGGTGAGACACAAATATGACCACATTTAGGCGAATGGTGAACAGCCTGGACATGATATAGAGCTAAAGTGGTGGAGTGCTATTTTTACTGTTTAATGTAACCAGATTAACTATTCATGTTTTCCTCATTTTGATGGATTGTAGGTTATATGGATTATAGGTTTTTAAACAATCTAATTTCTAAAAACTAATGCATATGACTGCATATCACTAGTGTAAAAAGTCAACATTGTGTTTGTGAATTACATGTTTTTGGTGCTGTAAATCAACAGAGAACACTAAGGGACTTAAAACTAAACCTTGTGGAACACCTTATAGCTTTCTTTTAGGTTCTGAAAACTCTAGCAAATTGGTAGCAATCTTTTTTCTCATTTAAATAGAGATTTGGCCTTCAATTTTCTAATTCTACTTAAGTTGACTCTTAGTGTCACTCATTGGTGAAATGCTTAATATAGTGAAATAAAAGCTCTGATTTTACATATAGATTGTGGAGATTTTCTCCTGGGCTGAGTAACAGCTTACAAAATGCTGTGTTGTACTACACTGAGTTAAGCAAAAGGTTTGGGTATTCCATTCCATTCCTTATTAATCCACAATTCTAACTGATTAACCAATGATTATGTATTATTCCGACCATGTTGGCTCCAAATATCTATTCTGTTTTAGCAATTGGGTGATTCCACACCAACTCACCTAGGGCCCTATGCCTTCACAAAAAAATTCACTTTTGAGCCCCTGTAAAATAATACTGTTTCTTTCAAACTTTTTTTCCTGAATAAGAACAGTTATGTCTGATTAACATAGAAAAAATACAGATGTGCTATGATCGATGGTTTATGATTTGTTAAACATTAAAGTATTTGATGATATAAACATAATAAGTAACGTAAATAAAACAACACAGGATTTCTAAATCAACCTTTTATTATGCTCCTGAAAGACTGTAGGGGTAGAAAATGTGCCTAAAATGGAAGTACACATAAGTATGGAAATATATCTGAGTGAAAGTAAAAAATATCTGCATTAAAACATACTTACGTATATATAAGTAAAAAGTAAAAGTCATGACAGATAACATTCAGAATCAGCACATCCTCTTCATGGTTTTAACATTAAATTAAACACAATACTTGGCATGAGTTTAATACACTCAAAAAAAATGTTACAAAAAATGTTTTTTTCTGTTGGAAATGTAACTGAGTAAAAGTAGAAGCATTTAACTTTAATAATACTTTAGTAAAATAAAAATCTAATAAAACAATACTTGAGGAACAATGTACAATCACTTAAGTAATTTCCTTCTCTTTCCATCGACTTTATACTACACTAGCCCATGTGCCCTCATGTGCAGCGGCTCCAGAGCATCTCATTCTGCTAAATTTATGCTTTTCTATAGCAGTTGTAAAGGGTGTGGGTGCGCAAGTGAATGCCTTTGTTTGCAATGGGTGCACAAAAAAAGTAGCTGAATTTATTAATTAGAAGGGGTGTCTGGATACTTTTGGACATATATGTTCATACAGAATATTATTACGTCACGTTACATACATTACATACAGAATATTTTTCAGAGGCAGCCAACACTTCTGTCTTGATAGCCATCAAAAAAAGTTCTGGAGCATGAGGAAGCATAAAATGTATAAAGACATCGCCATTATGCCCCCACTTGGTTTGCACAAGAAGCATTCATTTGCAACCCCCTTCTCCCTATACATTATACTATTGCTAAGTTTAGACCTGAGCAAAAAAAGCCACCTCATTTTGACACGTCTACAATGGATATGAAGGAAAGCCTCATCGCTCCTTCAGTTTAACCCACACCTAACCTCCTCTGCTGGAATATGGTATAACCACAGACTTATTTATAGGTAAATCCCCATTATTTTGGAAAGAATGGTTTCAAAGAGGCATTAAAACAATAGGTGATCTATACTGCAGTGATTCACTAAAGTTCTTTGATTGTCTTATACAACAATTTAATCTATCTCAAAACCAATTCTGGAGATAAGACATCTGACAGATACTGAAGCAGACCTTTGGCTCTTTGACAATATGTCCTACTAAGGCAGTTATTCCCGACCAGATCCTGGAACACTGTGGTAAAGGCCAAGAGGCTGCTAGGTATTATACAACTCTTAACTCATTCCTTAACAGTAAACAGTCCTCTTGTAAGACAACCTGGGAATCAGATCTTAATGTCTCTTTTACTCAAATAGTGTGGCATAGGATTCTGAGTCTCTCAAAAAAAATGTCTATAGAGCTTAAGATGCAAATCATTCAGTTTAAAATCATAAACTGAGTGTACTGGACTTTGTCTAGACAATATAGAATTGGCCTTTCAGACAGGTTGACTTGTTGGTGTTGCACAGCCGAGCCAGGCACTCTGCATGATGTGGGAGTGTCCTTATTTTCTATTATTATTATTATTATTATTATTATTATATATATTAGGACACTAATATATTGAGAAAATTCTAGGCAAACACATTTTTATATTTTTCTTGTTAAGTGGCCTAACGTTTAGTTGTTTGACATTTATTTATTGTCATTAAGAAGTCATTGTGTTGACTTGCCCTGGTTGCATCAAGACTTTAGCAAGTTGTAGAATAATACATTTTCTAAACATATTATGTCCCACTATGACATTATATGAGGCTATAGCCTATTGTTTACAGCAGTCTTGTCATCATCCTACATATTACAACACCATATAATGGTAAAACTGAACAATAGTAAGATTATGCAAACATTAACAAGAACAGGTTAAAATAAACCCAACAACCAATGCAGTACTTTTTTATAAAGCATGCGTTCACTCTTCACAAGCACAACATTTGCCCCAATGAAGACAACATAAATTAAAATCTGAAAGCTGAGATGTACATAACAAAGATGAAGAACACTACACCTGCAAACATGAAAAACAAAACCATCAAGTATCCTAAGCTAAAGCATAATTCCACAATGGGTGCCGAAGTCTTACCTTTGATGACTTTGTTCACAGAAGCAGACTATCTGCCAAAAACAATGCTGTAACTTTTTTTATTTAAGTCTGACAGTTTTGTAGTTGTGTTTATTTATGTTTTATTGAAGACATGAAATCCTCTAATTTATCAGAGTATCAGGTCTTGCTTTTACAGATTTTTTACAGACTGCTAAAAACTGAAAGCTTAACTGAGGTGATGGCAGATAGTGGAACAGTTGCTAGGCAGTGATTGGAGGAGAAAATAAAGCAGACTTTCAGGAAAGATGTATAGAGTGTCAGGCTTATGACCAAGCACAACACAGTGACAAATTTAAAATTAGAAATTTGTTTGTTTACTGTGTGGCTTGGGCCCTGAAAGTCTGAATACCTAAGGGGTAATCTAGGACTAGACCACACTTTACACTAGACCACACAGTTTAGTGCTCTAGCCTGGGATCCCAGTTCCATCTTTTAGTCACCTTGCCAGAGGTGGATCAGTACCTGTTGATACAATAATTGAATGTGTCAGTGAAATATTCACAAATTCTTGCTTGTGTTGTAGCGCTACACACTGACAAAAGCTGATCTACAGTGTATTTGATGTATTTGATATATTTCTGTTTGTGGGATGATTCTTTATGATGAACATAAGGCAGAAGTAATGGTGAGTCATTAATATGTTTTCTCTATCGTTTGTGTTTGTTTCCTTAAGTTAACCTGTCCTATGCTCCACCCACATATGTTTTTCCGTAGCTACTGTTGTGAGGTTAGACAATTTTTACAGAATGCAACCTAATGAGAAACTGTAAAACCAATTCAGTTTATATCAAAGTACCTACACTTAGAGCCAGTTATTCATTCAACCTAATGAGAAACTGTAGAACAGACTCAGTTTATATCACAATACCTACATTTAGAGACAGTTATTCATTCAACCCAATGAGAAACTGTAGAACAGACTCAGTTTATATCACAGTATCTACATTTAGAGTCAGTTATTCATTCAACCTAATGAGAAATGCATATTTATGCATATTACTTTGTTATGCTTGTATCATGATACATATAGAACTGTGAAGTCAATAATGCCAATGTGCAGCCCTGGGCCCTTTGACAAACTGTGTAAACTTATGAGATGTGAGCTTAGATCAGTGTTATTACACTGAAATGCCTAATAACTTTGGGCCATGGTGTGGTTTTTCGCATGTAGTATACAATTATGTGATAACATAAAACAGTGTTGTATTTGATGTATTTGATATATTTCTGTTTGTGGGATGATTCTTTATGATGAACATAAGGCAGAAGTAATGGTGAGTCATTAATATGTTTTCTCTATCGTTTGTGTTTGTTTCCTTAAGTTAACCTGTCCTATGCTCCACCCACATATGTTTTTCCGTAGCTACTGTTGTGAGGTTAGACAATTTTTACAGAATGCAACCTAATGAGAAACTGTAAAACCAATTCAGTTTATATCAAAGTACCTACACTTAGAGCCAGTTATTCATTCAACCTAATGAGAAACTGTAGAACAGACTCAGTTTATATCACAATACCTACATTTAGAGACAGTTATTCATTCAACCCAATGAGAAACTGTAGAACAGACTCAGTTTATATCACAGTATCTACATTTAGAGTCAGTTATTCATTCAACCTAATGAGAAACTGTAGAACAGATTCAGATTATATCACAGTACCTTCATTTAGAGTCAGTTATTCATTCAACCTAATGAGAAACTGTAGAACCAACTCAGTGTATATCACAGTACCTACATTTAGAGCAAGTTATTCATTCAGCCTAATGAGAAACTTTAGAACAGACTTGGTTTATATCACAATACCTACATTTAGAGTCGGTTATTCATTCAGCCTAATAAGAAACTGTAGAACAGACTCAGTTTATATCACAATACCTACATTTAGAGCCAGTTATTCATTCAACCTAATGAGAAACTGTAGAACTCAACTCAGTATATATCACAATACCTACATTTAGAGTCAGTTATTCATTCAGCCTAATGAGAAACTGTAGAACAGACTCAGTTTATCTCACAATACCTACATTTAGAGACAGTTATTCATTCAGCCTAATTAGAAACTGTAGAACAGAGTCGGTTTATATCACAATACCTACATTTAGAGTCAGTTATTCATTCAACCTAATGAGAAACTGCAGAACAGACTCAGTTTATATCACAATATCTACATTTAGAGTCGGTTATTCATTTAGCCTAATGAGAAACTGTAGAACAGACTCAGTTTATATCACAATATCTACATTTAGAGTCAGTTATTCATTCAACCTAATGAGAAACTTTAGAACAGACTTAGTTTATATCACAATACCTACATTTAGAGTCAGTTATTCATTCAACCTAATAAGTAACGGTAGAATATGACTTGTTTTATATTATTTTTGTGTATGAAAAGACACACTGTCAGGATAGATATGGGCTTATATTTATCTAAATTCTCAAAGCAAAAATTAGGGCTTTGTTCAAAATACTGACAAAGGTGTATATTGGGGATAAGCTTGTGGTGATATGCATATTGATACAGTGATGGCTTTATCAATGTTTATGAATTTACTTTTATGCAGCATATGTATGCATGAATAAAATTGGTAAAATCACTAATATAAAGTATAATAAAAAAGGTCATTGTCAATTTCCACATATTCGTTTTTTTATTTATTATTACTGTAGTTTAAAAAATATATATTATGAATTTTGACAAAAATGTCTGTTGTACATCTAGTGTTTTGTATCATTGCAACAGACCATTTATGCATATTTATGCATATTACTTTGTTATGCTTGTATCATGATACATATAGAACTGTGAAGTCAATAATGCCAATGTGCAGCCCTGGGCCCTTTGACAAACTGTGTAAACTTATGAGATGTGAGCTTAGATCAGTGTTATTACACTGAAATGCCTAATAACTTTGGGCCATGGTGTGGTTTTTCGCATGTAGTATACAATTATGTGATAACATAAAACAGTGTTGTATTTGATGTATTTGATATATTTCTGTTTGTGGGATGATTCTTTATGATGAACATAAGGCAGAAGTAATGGTGAGTCATTAATATGTTTTCTCTATCGTTTGTGTTTGTTTCCTTAAGAATAATTTCTATTCTTTACGCTCTCATATTCCTCCTTTCCACTTTGTCCCTCTTAGATGGGGGAAGGATGTCCAGCTTCTGGATCAGTCCAGTTGTGGACTATGTCACCACCTTCTGACAGAACCAGTCTCAATCACCTGTGGACACAGTTTCTGCAGGCATTGTATCAGCAGCTTCTGGGACCATGCTGCTCTGCCAGGAGAGTTTGACTGTCCTCAGTGTCTGGTTCTACATCCACACAAAGCATCCATGGAGCAGGACTGTTACCAACCAATGGATGATGTCCTGCAGAGAGTCTTTGAGAGTCACAAGACCAGCATGAAGATCAAGTACGAGAGCTTATTTGAGGGAATCCAAACACAAGAAAATAAAACTCTCCTAAACAGGATTTACACACAGCTCTACATCATAGAAGGAGAGAGTGAAGGGGTGAATGAAGAACATGAAGTTTTCCAGATGGAGAAGACATCCAGATTTAAACACATACAAGACACTCCAATCAACTGTGTAGATATCTTTAAACCTGCACAGTATCCTAAAGTTGGGATAGAAGAGGAAATCTTTAGATTTTTTATGGCTAATGAAAGAAAAGAAAACATACAGAGTTCTGTGGTGAGAACTGTGCTGACTAAAGGCATTGCTGGAATTGGAAAAACTGTCTCTGTACAGAAGTTCATTCTGGACTGGGTTGAGGGAAAAGCCAATCAGAATATTGAGTTCATGTTTGTGCTTCCATTCCGAGAGTTGAACCTGATTAAAGATCTGTGCAGTCTTCATGGACTTCTGAGTGACTTCTATCCTGAAGTTAAAGATCTGGACCCAAAGATATATGATGAGTGCAAAGCTGTGTTTATATTTGATGGTCTGGATGAAAGCAGGATTTCTCTGGACTTCGAACTGCGCGAGAAAGTATCTGACATGACAATGATGTCATCAGTAAATGTGTTGATGACTAACCTCATCAAAGGAGAGCTGCTTCCTACTGCCCTCATCTGGATAACCTCCCGACCAGCAGCAGCCAATCAGATCCCTCCTAAATACATCAACCGTGTGACAGAAATTCAGGGATTTAATGACCCACAGAAGGAGGAGTACTTCAGGAAGAGAATCAGTGATGAAGACCAAGCCAATAAAATCATTTCACACATTAAAACAGCGAGGAGCCTCCACATCATGTGTCACATTCCAGTCTTCTGCTGGATCTCAGCCACTGTTCTTCAGCAAATCATGAAACACAATGATACCGAAATCCCTAAAACTCTGACTGAAATGTATGCACACTTCTTGCTCACTCAGAGGAACATGAAGAATGAGAAGTATGAGGAGAAAGACGAGAGAGATCCAAAGAACCTGCTGGAGTCCAACAGAACCATTCTTCTGAATCTGGCTGAACTGGCTTTCAAACAGCTGATGAAGGGCAATGTGATGTTCTATGAAGAGGACCTGAGAGAATGTGGCATTGATGTCACTGAGGCCTCAGTCTATTCTGGGATTTGTACTGAGATCTTTAAGGAAGAATGTGTGCTTTACCAGAGGAAGGTCTACTGCTTTGTTCATCTGAGCTTTCAGGAGTTCCTGGCGGCTTTCTTTGTGTTTCATTGCTACGAGAGCAAAAACATGGAGACACTCCAGTGTTTTAAGCCACTGAACACAAAATGGTCTGAAAATGTTCTACTAGAAGATCTGCTAATGGGAGCAGTGGATAAAGCTTTAGAGAGTGAGAATGGACATCTAGATCTTTTCCTTCGTTTCCTACTGGGCATCTCACTGGAGTCAAATCAGAGACTCTTACAGGGCCTACTGACACACACAGAGAGCAGCTCAGAGAGCATCAACAAAATTATAAAGTACATTCAAAAGCAAGTTAAAGGTGAAAATGAAGTTGGAATGGAGGAGATGTCAGTGATGATGAGGAACTTGATGATGGAAGTAATGAAACAAAGAAAACGTCTCCCTACTGAAAGATCCATCAATCTCTACCTCTGTCTGTTTGAAATGAATGACCAGTCTCTCTCCAGAGAGATCAAGGACTATCTAAAATCTGAGGAATATGTAGACAGGAAGCTCTCTCCAGGACAATGTTCAACATTAGCCTGCATGCTGCATATCTCAGAGGAAGTTCTGGACGAGCTTGACCTGAAGAAATACAACGCATCAGAGGAGGGTTATAGGAGACTAATTCCAGCTATTACAAACTGCAGAAAGGCTATGTGAGTGTTTAATTCAAGTACTAATATTTGAAAACTCATGGATAGATGTTACCACTTTATATATGTCAGTTAGAAGACCACAATATGGTCTGTAAGGGTATGGTGTCTAAACCTTTGCTGTGGCCAGTTAGTAAAGTCATGCAGCAGGTATGTACTTTCCTCTCTTTCATTCATCTCTTTAGGAAACATGCAACAGAACTATATTGTAAACACATATCATTAGGGTTTCGTAGGGTTATAAAACGCTGCCAAATAAGATATCTAATTAAGTAGCTGCCTCCAGAATTAAATGTACTATATCTTTACTTGTTGAAGGATTGATGTATTATTTTGTTAGATACAATTTTTCTGCCCTTTTCCTGAAGCTGGAACATGAATAACCTGTACATAATGGCCATTTTGACTGGAAATTAAATACATGAAGAGTGGTCTCTGACTTTTGCACAGGACTGTAAATCTTCAACCTATCTGCATTATCTTCAACAGGATATTTCATACTTAATTAAAATGACAGTGGCAGTCACAGCAAAAGAGTTTCTACCCAGTAAATGCATTTCTTTTGGATGTAGTTGTGTGAAGTTATCAGTTAGATATTTAAGCAGTGTCTCTGTTAAAGAAAGTGCATTCTCTTTTTTTACAGAGATATCACAGAGTGGTAGCAGTCAAAAAGGCTACATATTTGCAAAATGCAGGTCATGAACACTTGTCCCATGATCCTGTAATTACAAATTGAGTTTGATCACACAGAATCAACTTGATTTCAAATTCTTTGAACTGTATTCTGTATGTACTCTGCTTTTGCAGGATAGATGGCTGCTATCTCACTATGGACTCCTGTGAAATACTAGCTTCAGTTTTACAATCTGAGAAATCCTTCCTGAAGGAACTTGACCTCAGTAACAATGACCTACAAGATTCAGGAGTGGAGCTTCTCTCTGATGGACTAAAGAGTTCAAACTGTAAACTGGAGAAACTCAGGTAAACTTCCTTTCAGTTAGCATTAGAATATGTGAAGCTTTGAGTACCATGGCATCAAATCAGATGGCAGACTATTTGGTTCTTAGACCTCTCTACATTCAGTGACCTGCAAAAATACTGAAACAGTCAACCATAAAACATTGCTTACTGGTTTTTAGTCTCATGGAGCCAGATAAGATCTCCTACCAAGAATGTCGGTTCAGTTAAACTAGACTATGCATTAACTTTAGAAGATGTCACTGGGCAAATAATAAAAGCTAACAGTGGGTTACTAGCAGCTGTATGTGGCCTCTGTTGTTGACAGTTGTGATGATACAGCAGGAAGTGATGCAGAAACAACTGGCAGCTATTTCTGAGAAAAGACAAGCTATCAGATTTGTAATCAAGCTAAACAATGTGTACTTTTAGGGCCTTTTTAGTGTATATATTAGTTGACAGATATGTCAAAAAGCACAAATTCACAGTAGATCACTTATTCTTTTTGAACTAATTATGGACAAAACCAGTAAAAACAAAAAGAAATCCAAAATATTAGAAGTATCCACCCTGACCTATATTATTCAGTCACATGTATGTAATGTATGCAATTTGAAATTTAAATATTTTAGTTACATTGAAAGTAAATGAGCCTCATCAGATAATTTATCAGACTCCACTTCTCTCTCTCTCTCTCTCTCTCTCTCTCTCTATATATATATATATATATATATATATATATATATATATATATATATATATATATATTTATTGTACTTACTGTTCTCTTGCAGATTAGCTGGGTGTAATCTCAATATGAATTCCTGTGAAATACTAACATCCATTGTGCAATCAGCAAACTCTTCATTGAGAGATCTGGATCTCAGTAACAATGACGTGCAGGATGCAGGAGTGGAGCTGCTCTCTCCTGGACTGTGTAAACTGGAGATACTCAGGTAAATTATGTGAATTGGCAAAATTATGCTGAAATACAGGTTGGGATCCCTTGTTATTGGGGTCAGAAGGTTAGCGACAGTGGCATCGCAGTGGAGCATTTAAATATTGCATTCCACTAAATTTTTACTGGAAATCTTACGTGGTTAACAGCATGGCTAGAGGTCTGTTACCTGCACCTCAGCTATCTCAAGTTCACAGTCAGTTATAGAAATTGGAATATTTCTTGCACACACCATAGTATTATGCACATTAACACTGTCACTCTGGAATTCACAACAACTTTATAAATGAGGCCCCAGGTCCCTGATAAAGACTGCTGTGTGACACGAGGAGACATATGTTCAGTTACATCACTCACAGTGACACTGAGTGACTGTTTTTCTATAAAGTCTCTGTCTGTGGCTGGGACAGCAGGGATGCTTCCACTGCATAAGCACATCCATGTGATCATCCACTACTCACATAACTGCAGTTACATCCACAGCAAGTAATATACCTTGTGAATGCTATTTTCTTTTTCTTTTTACTGCTATTCAGAGTTTTTTTCCTGATTAGATTGATCTTTGTGGTTACTCTCTATTGGTAGACTAGCGATCTGTAATCTTGGGGGAAAAGCTTGTGAAAATCTGGGAACAGCTTTACAACTAGTAAACTCCTCCCTAAAGGAGCTGGACCTCAGTAACAACGATGTGCAGGATTCAGGAGTGAAGCTGCTCTCTGCTGGACTGATGAGTTCACACTGTAAACTGAAGACTCTCAGGTGAGCTTTCTGTGGATTAGTTCTTGAATAGTAATTGTCAATCTCTAAATTTTAATGCTTTAGCAATATGTCTTTTATATATTTGTGAAAGAATTTCTCTATTACTAGAGCACAAAGAACACTGTCCTAAAAATAATCCTTGTAGCAATTTGTTATTCAGATATTGTGTTAAGTATTATTTTAATAACGGCAATAAAATTAATAAAAAAGGTTAATATGTGCCATTTACACCACACCAAGTAATAATAGTTAGTCTCAGTGGAGATTTTTTAAACTGCTAATTCTAGATATAGCATTTATTATATGCTTTATACTAACCATTACAATAGAGAATTAGTTACCATAGATCTTAAACATTTTGCCACTTGTCTGCTCTGTTTTGATATTTAGACTTTTTGCTTATTATAGCTGCAATATCAAAAACATCAGCCCATCAACTCCTTAGATATAATGCTGATAGTGCTGGCATGAAAATAGGACTCTTAATGTTGGTACAATGGAATATAATTTAATGCTTATGGCTTTTACACATAGGGGACATCACTGTAGCTTGTAATGCATGTTAAGGTCATCTTTCATATTTCTATTTAGATAGATACATGCATACAAACATACATTGGTCTTAATAAACAGGTACATTCACAGACATTGAGATGTAGATTGAGACATCACATGTTGGTGGTAATTGTTTTCACAGCAACCAAATGCAGGGAAACTCTGCTGGTAGTACACAACACAGCACACACATGTAATAAAAAATACAACAAAGACCATAAGAGGACACATGGATATGTAATATACAAAAATCTATAATTCACAAATTAATCCTTACAAGAACCTAGTACAAAACCTATAAGTTTATTGTAACAATACTAATAGTTTATTTACCCCATAGCATTAGAGAAATACTATTCATTTCATTCTGTGCCGTCTGCAGATTGTCTGGTTGTATGGTGACAGATGAAGGGTTTTCATCTCTGGCTTCAACTCTGAAATCAAGTCCCTCCAACCTGAAAGAACTGGATCTGACCTATAATCATCCAGGAGAGTCTGGAGTGAAGATGCTCTCTGATCTACTAGAGGATCCACAATACCAACTGGAGAAACTCAGGCATGTAGTGTTGTGTACAACTGTGTGTGTGTGTGTGTGTGTGTGTGTGTGTGTGTCTGTGTGTGTGTGTGTGTTTCCATACCTTTTCTGGACAAAAATGTGCTGTCATTAAACCAAAGGTAAATTAGGGCTAAATTACAAGACTAGCAAAATGGTGTGTTTCTGTGAAGCAAGTGTGGTGGGAGTTGGAGCCTATTTCAGGATCAAGCAGGATTAAGCAAGGATTGAATTTCTTGAAAGGCTCTAGTCAGGCTCTAATCCTTGCATGCCAAAACATTACAGACTTCAGCACACTGTCTCATTACCCACGTTTCAGGAGCACTTCAGGAGCAACCTCCTCTCTGTCCCCGCCCCTTCCCCAACATCAATGACTCTATGGTTTCCACTGTGGAGTGACTCAATTTCCTGGGCGCTACTGTATCCAGGGACCTGAAGTGGGAGAGGAACATGGTCCCTATACCAAAGAAAGCACAGTAAAGAATGTTCTTCCTGAGACAGCTGAAGAAATTCAACCTTCCCCAGAGTCTGATGATCCAGTTCTAGACAGCAATCACCAAGTCCATTCTCACATCATCCATAACCATCTGGTTTGGTTCCTCCACCTCACAAGAACAAGCCGTATTTATTGTTTGGACAAGCTTTTGATATTTGACCCCTGAAGTAAGGTAGTAATCTTAAGCAGTCACCCTTTAAAATAACTTTCTTTAGTAAAACATTTACTAACTATTAATAGCTATAAAGAAATCATTTGTTCATCAGAATTTGAACATAAACCATACTTATAAATGTTATAAATGTTTATAATGTTATAAAAAATGAGCTGTACAATATCAGTACATGTATACAAATCATCACAGCAAAATACTGAGAGAAGTGACCAGGTCTAAATGAGAGAGAGAGACTGCATCAAGACCAAAACCCAAAAAATCAAGTCCTCTTCAAGACCAAGCCTTAATTTGTCACTGCTGAAACACTACTGTACAAATTACTGGAAAGGTATAAGTGAATGATTCACTTTCCACAAAATAAAACTACATGTACAAAAATAACTCCATCAAATTCATATCATGACAAAATGCCTTCTCTTCTACTTACAAATGGAAATGTGTTATGGATTATAAGTTTCTTTGCATTCAACGCCTGTTCTAGTTTAATGCAATCAATGCCCAATTTTAATTAATCCAAGTGCCCCTTTAGATGTATCAATCTAGCGTGCATTTACAGCACATTTTGCAACAGTCAGTTAGCAAAATATGGGCTGAACATCATAATTATGCCAGGCTTATAAAATCCAGTAAAAACCCAGTTACACAGAGCAGAACTAATGTATGAACAAATGTTTGATTTAGCTTCCTCAGTAACTTCTAACAGCTGTATCTGGCTACACCAACTCAACTTTACCCTGAAATAGAATGTCAGATTTAAAATAATAAATAAGGGCAAATACTGCAGGCTACTTGTTGAGGAATAATATAATTTAATAAAATCTATTTATCTTGTTAAAACATGAAATGACAGGAATTAACCAACCAATACCTATAGGTCATACATTCAGGAAATTATATGATTATGATTGTTTAAATGTGCAGGGTAAACTCCAAGGCCTTGGGGTTAGAACTTATTTCTCATCGTGGTTTATCACATTGAATATTTAAATGGATTTCATACAAATTTACAAAACATTTTACATTTCCATCAAATTATAGCACTGGAGCTCAGCTCTGTTTGCTGTTGAGATGAACTAAAGCTGCTGAAGTTCCGCTCCAGTTTGCTATTCTGTATATCACAGAATGATATGAACATTTAGAGTTGTTGGCATTAGGTTACAGTATACTACAGAATAGTATGAATGTGTACAGTTGTGCTAAGATGCCTTATGACACAGAGTGGAGTTGTGGGCCATGAAAAGGTTTGCAAAGTATTATTTGAAGTGCAAGGTGTCCATTGTGCCTAATTAGCACTAGAGGTGACAATGCCAAATCAAGATAGAGTCCAAAGGATATACCAACCCCATTTTCAGAAGAGTTAAGACATTGTGTAAAATGCAATAAAAGCAAGAATCTGTGATATGCTGATTCTCTTGAACTTTTATGTAACTGCCAAAATTACTCAGAAATGACTTTTAATGTGTTGGATGACCAAATTGACTGTATTTTGTAAATATTAACAAATTTTCATTTTTGATGTTTGCAGCACACTCAAAAAAGTTGGGACTGGGGGAAAGTAAGAGTGAAAAGTTTATAGTATATTTAAGTTGCACTGTTTTGAAACATTCCCCAATACAAAGGTGAATTGGTAGCAGGTCATAGTTTCATGATTGGATATAAAAGGAGCATCCACCAAAGGCTCAGTCTTTGCAAGTAAAGATGGGTCGTGGCTCAACACTTTGTGCCAAATGTTGTGGGAAACAGTTCAAAAAGAACATTTCTCAATGAAAGATTGCAAAGAATCTAGGTCTTTTGCCATCTACTGTACATAACATTGGGAAAGGATTCAGGTGATCTAGAGAAATCTCAGTCCATGTAGGGCAAGTCTGGAAATCACTGTTGCATATGCATAACTGAGAGACTGTGATTTTAGAGAGTCATATGCTGCCATCAAGATGATGTTTTCCCAGGATGTCCCTGCTTGTTTCAGCAAGACAATGCCAGACCTTGTTCTGCAGATGCTGTAACAGCGTCACTTCATAGACACAGCATGCGTGTGCTTGACTGGCCTGTCTGCAATCCAGATCTGTCTCCTATTGAAAATGTATGGTGCATCATGAAGAGGAGAATCAGATAATGATGACCACGGACTACAGTCTTGTATCAAGCAATAATTGGCAAAAATTCCACCTGCAAAATTGCAACAATTAGTGCCTTTAATTCCCAAATGATTAAAAAGCTTAATTAAAAGGAAAGTGTTTTTGAGTGTTGGTAAAATAAGGCTATACTTATGGACTAAAACTATTTTTAAGCTAGTGACTTGAAAATGTGGGACAGCATTTTTTGAATAAAGTTTTTTTTATTTAAATATTAAACTCATGATAAATCTAAATCTTTCAACTTCACTTTAAACGAAAAGTATTATTTTCAGAAGTTGAAATTTAGGGTTTAATTTTTGGGTCAGCTGCATTCCAACAGTAAATACCCTGAAAATTATGATTTTCTATATATTTTGCTTATCATTGTCTTGAGTTTGAAAAAAGATCATAACGTAATCCTTGTAAATATGTAAGGTCTTCCATAGCTGCCTTGATTCTCCCATCATCCTGCTTTTATTAACATTTAATTTTCATTTTTTATAAGTCCTCAACCCATGGCTGTTTAGTATTAGCACAACGTTGAAGAGTCAGAGAATTTTTTACACTCTAGAATTGTAATTAGGTGACAATTCCTAATGACAATTTCAGATCTGCCTAACCAGCCCTAACAAGTCATTTAAGGTGAAATGAATTGCATTCTGAGACTTAACTGGATGTCCAAACTTGCCACAATTCCAATTTTATTTTGTTCTTTATCTTTAGTTAAGCACATTTAAAGTAACCACACATTCACATTTGCAGCAAAATGCTATTTTTGAAAATAGTTTTGATACATTCTGAACACTCCGATGTACCTTGTTAAGGACAGAATGTGTTGTTTTCAACTGTTTCAAGAGTGTAACAAGGATAGAGCAGTGCCTACATGCTAAAAGTTTATTATTATTATTATTCAGTCATATGTTCATTAAATTACAGACTAATATGGATAATTCTGTTTTTGCTTGTCCAATTAGTTTTTCTAAAACTTGCAAAAAACATTTTTATACAATACTGTGGAAAACATCCTTTAACAGTTTTACTGTATCTTTTTGCACCATTTTTGAACTTTCAATAGATTTTTTTTTTAATCTGGAAAGTTTTTGAACAAATTCTTCAGACATTGTAACATAACTTGTGCTGGACTGTAAAGTCAGTTTGTAGCAAAGCTAGTAGCATGACAATATGAGGGAAAATGCCAAAACATTGTGTTGTCTGTTGGGAAGAGAATGATTAGCATTGCTTATATTAAATTGTTTAAATGCTCATAATTTGAATGAGTGCATTAATATGTTTGTTTATGTGTTTCCACATTCCTCTTTAGAATGGAGCATGCTGGGATGTTGAGGATCAAGCCAGGACTAAGAAAATGTAAGTTCAAACACACATATGCACACACATACACACCAGAGATGGGAATCTCAGTCCAGTGACTTAAGTCACACTTGAGTCCCTATTTTTTTCCACAGCCCTGTGATTCAAGTAACTTAAACTGTATGCAGAAAAATATATCTATTTTAGAAAATATGTATGTAATTTAGAAATAATGCATTAGCATCATATCTCAGTAACTAATTTCGCTTAAGTCACTCTAAAATGTGCATAACCACATATGTTGAACAATACTGTGAATCTATTCTTCCATCAGGATGTCAATTTCTGTTTCTTTTGACTAAAAAAAAAGAGATGCATGTCAAACAAATGGCTCAGACTCTAGGGCTTGAGATACTGGACTAGACTACAGGTAGAAACTCCGGACTTGATTCAGACTGTATAGCTATTGACTCGACAATTTATAGTCTGTACAGCTGGTACACTGGACTTAATCCAGACTCAATGGCTAGGGACTCTGGACTCGATTCAGACTGTATGGCCACAGACTCTAAAATGAGTTCAGATTCTACATCTAGGGACTCTGGACTCTACTTTGACTCTATGGCTAGATACACTGTCCTCGATTCAGGCTCTATGGCTAGTGACTCAGGACTCAAAGTGAACTCTGCAACTAGACACTCTGGACTTGGCTCAGAATCTTTGGCGTCTATTGGAACTATGGAATCGATTCAGACTCTATGGCTATGAAATTAGGAATTGACTTGGACTGTTTAGCTAAAGACTTCAGACTTGACTCAGACTTGATGGCTTGGGATTTGGAATTTGACTTTTCCAAATCCCAAGCCAGACTTTTACTGGACAAGATATGAGTTGACTCAGACTCACCAAAACACATTTGACCATGCATTTTATGTATGTTGGAGATGTCCTCTTCTCTAATCATCTCTTCTTGTGTGCAGATGTCTGTGATCTCAATCTGGATCCAAATACAGCTCATATATTCCTCTCTCTGTCGGAGGGGAACAAAAAAGTGACGTGTGTGAAAGAGCACCAGCCATATCCAGATCATCCAGACAGATTTGATGAGTGTGTGCAAGTTCTCTGTACAGAGGGTTTGACTGGACGTTGTTACTGGGAGACTGAGTGGACAGGAGAGGAGGTTGCTATAGCAATGACCTATAAAACAATCATCAGGAAAGGAGAGAGTGACGAATGTAAGTTTGGATGGAATGAAAAGGCCTGGAGTCTATGTTGTTTTTATGACCCTGAAGACTCTGAGATCACATACGCTGCCTGGCACAATAAGAAGGACACTGCCATACTTGACCCTCCCTCCTTCTCCAACAGAGTAGGAGTATATCTGGACTGGGTGGCCGGCACTCTGTCCTTCTACAGTGTTTCACCTGACACTCACATACTGACTCACTTACATACATTCCAAACTACCTTCACTGAACCCCTGCATGCGGGCTTTAGGGTTTGGGATGGCTCCTCAGTTTATGTGTGTCAGATGGAATAGCTTTCTCTACCCAGGAGAATACCTGAGTCTTCAGACACAGAGAGAAGGAGCATTGCCTTTAAAGCAATGGCTTCGTACAGAATCTAATTTTCCTTTGTCACTTAGTTGATTAACCAAGACATGTTTAGTGCCTGAAATTTGCTTCTTTATTTTTAGCACTGAAGCTAAAAGGCTAGTGTAGGTAACGAGTAATGGAAGCTTATTCCTCAACAATTGGCATGAAACTACATTCCAGCCTAAATTATCACACGCTTGTCTCAGACCATGTCAAGTGATTTAGCAATATCAAATAGACTTAACTATGTTTTTCACTTTTAGTTATGTGATATATTTTGGCCTTTTTAAAAGGTAACAGTTGCCATCACCTGCATGTTTTATAACTAATTCTAGTCTCCTGTAGGCAGGTGAAATTTTGAACTGAAATGAAAAATCGGTTAAAACGAGTGTTAGATTTCAAACCTGCAAAATATGAAATGGGACTTCACTTTGGCTTCATGCTTTTTTCCTCTGTAAAATAAATCAGTTACATAACTGTATAAAACGTATTATCCAGTGTTGTCTACAATGCAAGTAAACAAGTTAGATATTATTGTGCTTGTTTGGGCCTGTGTGCTACACAATATTTTTCCAGTGTGCACATCAGACTTAATGAGACTTGATAAGTGGATGCAGAATTTGTATTAGCCCACGTTGTTAATATTTATAAGCCTACATATTTAACTATTTTATCCAGTACCATTATCTATTGTCTGGCCCAATGTCATAATGTTTTTAGTTAGTTACTATAATCCTCTAGGTTATCTTTGTGACTTGGTGAGTTTTTTAAGCTATGCCTAAGCTTTGATTTCACCAACATGTCAAGCTTGTCACAGCCCTCTAAATGTGAATGTAAAGTCCTTTCATCATTTACTTTAAACTTTGTCATTAAGGTGCTATACTGATAATGTACTGTTGTTCCATAATGTGTTAAATTTTTGGAAGTGTGTTTAAGTGTATTGAAGCCCCAGTGAAATATAACAAATAATGTTTTAACTGAATATCTTTTTATTTGTTACATCCCAACACCCCATGGAGGGAAAACACGTTAGAAAGTGTACTTGTCTTCACCCTCTTTGAGTGGCAGATGCCAGTGGGCCCCAACACAACCCCTCAACAAACAGTTGTAGGTGAACTGTGCAACAAGGTTTTAGTTACAGTAAAGTGCCAGAGTTAAAATGTTGTTGAAGAGAGTGTTCAGATGTATGAAATGGAGGTCTTTATTCTGTGGAGGTTACAGGGTTGGCAGGAGCTGGTGAATCAGTGGGCTGCTCATGATCTTGGGAGGCCTCAGAGTCACTGGAGGTGTCTGGAAAAACAGAAAATGTAATAAGTCATCCCTGGGCCTGTATGCAAGGCTTTTAAATCGGGCTTGAACTCTCAGTTTCAGTGAACCAAACATCTGATTCAATGTTGCATTCATTCTCTTCCGCTGTCTTGTATGCAGAGCGTGTTTAAGATCTACCAACAGTTTTTCAATGATGTTCAGTTCAGAGACTGTGATGGCCATTCCAAAAGTTTCAGCTTGTATTTCCTGAACTAGTTCATAGTGGATTTTGAGGTATGTTCTGGATCATTTTCCTGTTGTAGAAGCCAGCCTCTTCTCAGCTTCAGTTTTTTGACTGACAGTGTTACACTTGCTTCCAGAATTTGTTGATATTGAGTGGAATCTATTCTTCCATTTCCTGCAACACTCGTTCCTGCACAATCCTCAAGCATAATAGATCCACCCCCAGTTGGCAAGGAGTTCTTTTCATTCAATGCTGCTCCTTTATTTCTCATGAGATCACAGGAAAGGTTTTTTTCTGATGCTTTTTCCATACAGATCATGTTTGTGCAAGCAATGCTCCACATTAGAACAGTGCACCACCACCTGTGTCAGTTAAACCCCCTACAGATCCTTTTCTGTCTTATGTTTTTGTCATATGTTTTTGCTAATCCTTTCTGACCAGCATAGGAGGAATTCTTTTTGAGAATTTTCTTGGTCTTCCAGATCGTAGCTTGACTTACACTGTTCCCCTGTCATTCCTCAATGAGATTTTGGACAGTGGAAATTGTGAGCTGGAAGTGCTTTTATATTTTTCACTTTGCCAGCTTTGTAATCATCAACTGGCTTCATTGTCAGATCCTCAGTCAGCTGATGACAATTACAAAAAATCTCTGACAACTGACAATTCCTAATGACAATTCTTAATCTGTTGGACTATTTCTAACAGTCCCTTAAGGCCTAACAAGTTCAATAGGTTACATGAATTGTAGGAGATTTGGCTATTTTTATTTGTAAACTGAGCGGAACTCCCAAGACAAAGTTGACCATTTTGGCTTAAAATACAAAGAGGAATCACCAACCAAGTTTATTCCAGAATCCTCTAAGGACTCCCTCAACCCTCCTCATCTGCCACATTTCTCAGATCATGGCAGCATTGTGCAAGAGGAGGACCTGGCCTCAAGGACCAAGATAGAATACAGCAATGACCAGATAACCCTGAGTCTACAATGCTATAGGATTACCCCACAAAATCCCTTTTGCAAACACTCTAGGAAAGCATCCACCCCTGTCCCTCTCTTTACTCTCTCCCGCACATTCCAAATTCCTTCAGGTCCTTTCAGAGACTGACTGTTAAAAATCCTGCTCATTCTCCTGCTCTCTGGCAAACTATATGACATGCCAATCTTTGACCAAATGTTAAATCGAATGACTCCCCTTTCCTAATCATACTTTGAAAGAATGCTGTCTGTGTTTCTGGGTTAAATTATTGATGTGAACGTAACAGTGGCAGACAGAACCAGATGCTCGCAGCAGAGGAATGAGTTATAATCTTTAATGCCAAAGGGGTTATCCAAAATCACAGTCGATAAACAAAAGCAGAAAGTTGAAAGCCAGAGAAACAACACACAACAAAGGGGTACAGCTAGAATCAAGATCTTAAACAGAAAATGGGTCATACACAGGAAAGCAGTCAGGAACGTAGGAGAAACGCTTGATATGCACATAGGAGTGACGATACTTCACAAATAACCTAAGCTATAGCCAGGGCATATATACTAAACTAACTAACAACAAAAACTAGGGACACGTCTATGAAATTATTAGTTCAGAGATGAGGAACACTGATAGGTGGATCAGTGAGTCCTCAGTCAAGTGATGCAGCAAGGAGTTACAGCCAAGCTTGAGGGAGGCATGACAGTGTAATTCAAACTCATATTTCCCCATGCAGAATGGTTGGATGTGAAGATTCCCTACAGTTTTGATAATTACTTTATAATTTTTAAACTGTAAGCCAATTTTATTATTTGAAATTATTATTATTTTGATAGTTCAGAACATCTCAACTTTAATCAACTTTAGAAATCTCATAAGGTTAAGTATGTTAAATATATTCCTATAAATCATGTTTTAACCTCATATTTGCTTTCCATTTATTAATCATGTTAATTACTCTTCCTAACCAAAGGAGAAATGTGAAAGTAAATTTATAACTTGAGTAACTTTTTTAATGAAAAATGTAATAAAGTATTACTCCCCTAAATATTCACTGGAAATATTGATAATAATTAGAAAATGTACTCAGTATTTCTTTTGCTCTGTACTGTGTTAACTTCTTTTTTCATTTAAGCATTATTTAGAGATGTTATAGTGGTAATTAACACTAACCTTGAAATAATGTTTTTTTCCTAAGAATTCTCATTTCCTGTTTCTTATAGAAGTAGGATTGTTTGAAGTTTCATATAGCTGTAGAGTATTTCAAATATAATAGGTTGTATGTAATATTTAAATTAAAATGTAATATGTAAAATGTGAAAAATAATAATGTTTATATATGAAATTACATGCCTATGGATGTATGGATTACATGCTCAATGCTTTGGAATCACACTCAATTGATGTACATCAAGTTATTTAATGGTGAATTTGAGCAGATGCTCAGACAAAGAGATGCATATTCATTAGGAAATTGGGTGTGAAACCCCTTTTCCCTACCTTAGCTCTGCCTATAAAAAGTTCCATTCATATAATAGGACAAAGAAAAACAAGGAAAGGAAGATGTAACAGAAGAAAAAGAAGAGCTCATACTTTGCACTTTAAATATGCAGATTTTTATTTTTGTTTCATGTCTCAGTTCATCATGTCTATGTTCAGTTCGTTTTTTTTCTTCACTCACACAGCAATCTGACAGACTTACTGCATTTGCACATTGAATAATCCAACAGAGCTGCATTTAGACTACATTCCGTTGATTCATTTTGTAAGTTTTGATTGGCCAGTGACGAGTCATTGCGAAATCTGTGAGCATAGGTGAAGAATTACGGACAGAAATAAACCAGCAAGCCATCACAGAAGTTTGCTTCAGCAGCACGGTTTTAAACTGCGGACTGATGTCACCAGCCACTGCAGAAGAACTGGAAGAGTCCGTCATCCTCAAGAGAGGCCAACGCAAACCAACTGAAGTTCACTGCACTCATTCATCCAGGCCAGTTGTTTTATTGTTTCTGGGGTAACGTCCCTGGGGGCTCTACTGTGATGCAAGGACACTCCTCTAAACAGCACACAGGGCTGCCAATCTCCTCCTTAAGATTTGAGGCAGTAAGGCACTCTCACTTCTGTAGCTATATGATTAGGTCTCCGTGCTTGGTGCCCCCCCACTTTTAATTTAAACCTAGATCAGTGATTACACTAGCATTCATATTCCATTCTGTATACTACTTAAACCCCATAAAACAGCTCTTTCCAAGTTTCAGCTAAATACAGTATCTTCATCCAGTGAATCTCATGTCTCTAGCTTCTCTTTACATATCTTTTACAGATCTTTTTCATTTTCTTCTGATTCTAAATAAATACTAATGATTTCTTGTATAACTATGTTTTGTCACCTGTCTGTAAAAAACTTTGAGCTATATAAAAATTATTATTATATTATTAATAATTATTATTATTATTATATCTATTAACATATTATTAGTGCCTATTTACCTTGTTAGTAATGAGTTACCCTTAAAGTTATCACTTATTTGGTTGTGTGTGTAATTATCACAATCCAATTAACTGATCACTGGCTACAGGACAAACCTAACCTGAGATAAAGCTAAAAGTATGTTATGTTTGACTGAACAGTGGGCCTCATTCACCAATATCCTCCTATGTTTGTTCATAAATGTGTTCTTGAGAAAGGTCGTAAGAAAAAGTCTCTGTCAGATTCATGACGTTCTTAAAGCGCAGAACTGTTCTCACCTTTGTGCTCTTGAGTGTGTGTAGATTCTGTTCTTACCAAAGAACAAATCCCAAATAAGAGAACACTGGTGAATGTCAGAATCTTTGTGAAAACTGCGTAAGTGGGTTTTAAGAAGAAACTTCTTCTTAAAACAGTTGGTGAATGAGGCCCTGTATTCCTGAAAGTAACAAAATATTGTCCCACACAATAATGTGAAGAAAAAAAGATGATTTGTACAATTTTAATTAATGCCACAAGCACAAAATGAAACAAAGCTAAGCCTGATGTCTGTAAAAATAACATGATGTTAGTCATTGTGCATGCAACACTTCATCAGCATGACACCTGATGTCATGCTTCCAAGGACTGGAGGGCAAAAACCTTCTTATGTGTCAGAAACACTCTCTGCAACCCTCAGCCATGTTGTCCTCATAACAAGCATTCACAACCTCAAGTGAAGACAAATGCTTTTGCAACTGGCGATTATCCACCTTCCATCTCTAGCTGAGAAGAACTCTTCAATAGGGTTCAGGAAGGGTGAATGGGATGGTATGATCCCCTCAGTTGAGTTATGGAAGGGTGAATAGAGTGGTATGAACTCATCAACAAAGATGAAAACCTCCCTCCTGCATTGCCTCCTTGAACGCCGGATATGCCTGCTTACTCATCGCGCTCAGCTCCACCACCAGCTCGCCCACTCGCGATTCAGGAAGCAGCCATCTGGCCAGCCACGCCACAAGTGCCTGCTCAAAGCATCACTGGAGTGCAGCGGTCAACGCTGCCAGGCTGCCATATCGCTCTGCTAGCAGGTCCTTGCCAGCTGCGTTCCAATGTTTGCCTTTATTAAATTGACCTGATGGCATTGAACCCAGGGCGCTGAAACTGTGTGCAGAGCAGCTGTGTGGAATTCTTCAGCACATCTTCACTCTGTGTTGCAGCCTGAAGAGAGTCCCAGTTATGTGGAAAACATTTTGTGTGGTTCCCGTCCCCAAGAAAAGGCAACCGACAGCACTGAATGATTATCGACCGGTTGCACTGACATCCCACTTAATGAAAACACCTGAAATGCTGATGCTAGCTCATCTGAGCTCATCTGTGTGCAGTGTTGGGGCACCCCAGGGGACTGTGTTAGTTCCATTCCCGTTCAACCTGTACAACTCTGACTTCAGGTACAACACTGAGTGATGTCTGCAAAAATTCTTGAACGACACGGCTATTGTGGGGTGCATGAGAAATGGACAGGAAGAGGAATACAGGAAGCTGGTGAAGGACTTTGTTGACTGGTATAAGCTGAACCAGCTGCAGCTAAACATCATAAGACTAAGGAGTGCAGATCTGCACTTTCTGCTGGCCATTTTTAGATCTGCCCATTCATTTCTCTGTGTATAAAACACTCCTACTGAGGTTCCTGTGTTCAGCCGTTTCTGAAGGCAGCATAGATACTTCCTTCAGTGTTTACATTTCCCATAATCCTTTTTAGTGTGATGTAGAAAACATCAGCACTGACTCAATGGAGGAGAAAGATCAGTTCATATACAAAAGAAAAACAAAAATACTTTTTATTCTGATTATAAAAAGTTTAACATACTAGCCTTCTTCAAAGAATTCTTTTCTGGAAAAAGATGCTAAGGGCTAATGCTAACAGCTAACAGTGAGCTGTCATGTCTTAGCAATGATGTGAAGTATCACTGCCTTCAAAGCATGTCTCAAACTCAATTCACCTGCAGGTACCTTCATCACAAGGTTGCCTTCTAAGGCACTGACTTATGAGACAGCCCAGGCAGCAAGCGGATGACATCACTACTATATATCCCACAAAGCCCTGAGTTTTGTAGTTCAGTTGTCATTTAATCTTCACAGTTACCTGTCTCAGTAAACCATTCTGCTCTTGCTATTGTTTCATAGCTGCTGTGCTCACAAAGGTTTCAGTTTGTGTATGTGAAATTCTGCCCCACAGCTAGAATGCTCTGCATCCGGGACTTCACCTACAAACCAGACAATTTATTGGACGAGAAGAATTCTGTGAATTGGCTAGCAGTTCTATTGGACATGGTATATAGCACTTTATCTGTTACCTAATCTAAGGCAAATATTATATAATATTATATCATGGTAATTTTACAGGAGAAGAATAAAAACATTCAAAACTTATAATGTATGATAAGTAGGTGTGTAACAATTCTGAAACTGAGACTGAAAACTGAATACAAGCATCCACGGTCTCATGTTGAGATGTCAAAGACAGAACTGAGATACTCCAACCCACTGCCACCACTACTGGTGCAGCCTGTTGAGCTCCCATTACATTACTAATGTAACAAAACTCATTTTTTATTTCACAGTTAACACAACACATGTAATGACAAATGAAATGGTGTGCAAAATGTTTATAGCTGCTGCAGCAATTTTGGAATGTAGTGACAAAGATAACATTTAAAAAAATAGCATTTCGAGGGTTAAACTGCATCTTCCAGGTCACCATCATCTGTGCTCAGAGTGAGAGGCATGCCATAAATATATGGCCTGAGGTGTTTGAGTCCAGCTGCCAAGGCCAACAGCTCATGCTGTGAAACTCGGTTGTGGCTTGCTGAGGGGATAGCGGTAGAAAGCAATAGCCATTTTCTCTCCATTCTGGATCTACAACAAAATCCCTCATGTATCTTTGTTGCTGGCATATGTGTAGATGAAGTGGCTATCTCGCTCATTCCCTCCCTTGGTTGTGATAGAGCTGCAATGTTTACAAATTCCCGCTTAAAATTCCAGCAGTAGGATGCTAAGCTCACAAAGTTCTGTAGCTGTTTGACATAGCATGTAGAAGACCGCTGCTGGACAGTCTCCACTTTTTCAGGATCATTGTTTACTCCTTTGTCACTGAAAACATGGCCCTAAAACTGGACTTTGCAGTGGAGGGGACTGCACATTTTGTACTGGAGTTTAAGATTTGTGTTTTACATAGCAGTAATAGTCTTCCTCAGTGCGTCTCGGCGCTTCACCAAATTTGGGCACATGCATGAGCAGATCATCTAAGTACACCACACATCAGTTACTTGGCAGCCCAACCAGCACCCAATCTATCATCCTTGAAAGGCATGACCCAAAAATGTCATAGCCCTGACTTTCATTTTGTCAACAGCCAGAGACAGGCCACCAGGGTGCTTTTTGAGGTTTACTGCATTCCCTAGGATATGATTTGGCTTTTCCCTTGGTGGTAGGCCTGAGTTTCCTCTGAGACACAAACTTGAAATTTACTTCCAGGGTGATACCTGGAAGAAACCAGGAAGAAAATGCTGGCCATACAATGGCTAGTAGAACAAGCTGATGACATTTTGTCTGACAAGCAACAGCTAAACCTAAATGCAAACCACCATAGTGAAAATCCCTAAAAAAAAACAAGAGACTATCAAGGAGGCTATAGATGACATGAGATATCATTAGAAAAAAAGGATGAAGGCGTGAGGTTTTGTACAAATTGCCACAGACTGAAGGCAGAAATGTATCTTGATGGGTATCAGATGCCACAGAGATTCTAGAGTCACTCCATGGGGCCAAAATCTTCAGCACCTTAAGTCTGATGAGTAGCTATTGGCAGGTTGGTCTGGAGCCAGCCAGCACAATGAAAACTGCATTCACTGCCTAATAAGATCACTTCAAATGTGTGGTTTTTCAATGTGGGATTAAATACTGCAGCATTGTCACAGCAGCTTGATGGAAACTGTATTGGCAAACCTTCAAGGAAAGAGCTGTTTTGTCTATGTAGATGACATCACGATATACTCATACACAGTAGACTGCCATCTCCATCATCTGCAAAAGGTATTCAGACACCTCCTAAGGGATGAAAAAGTGCAACCTGCTGCAGAAATCCTTAGTTTTCATGTCAACTCTGGGGATGGTATCTTAACTAAACTGAGCAAGGTTGAAGCCATGAAGAGGCAAGAGACAAAGGGCAGCTCCACTCAATGTGCTCCACTCAAAAATAAAAATGCTACTTGTATGTAATTGATTGTAAAATTGTAAGATGATGATGATTGGCAATAACATTTTGTGGCATATGCCACGAGGTCGCAGCAGGGGGCAGTAAAGAAGTACTCCACACTGAAGAATGTTCTATCATTTAAGGGGCCGTTGGGGCTGTTTGCTCTTACCCTACACTCTTTTAAGCAAGAAGTAGCTTAGGAAAAGTTAAAGAGTTGTTTGCAAAATACATGCTATCTATCAGTCTAAGGCAGCTTAGGAGGAAACCTCATATTTTATGCTTACTTTAAATATATTTTTTGTTATATTTGTATATTTGGCCAGTTAGCCTAGTTTTCATGCAAACATATATTCTGCTTGTACTAGATATTTATTGTTTCATACCCTGGGAAATGTTGGTCTAGCATTATGCTAATAACAGTTACTTTTGGTTTAGCTCATCTAAACCTGGGCTCTGTGTTCAGAGGGAGCTTGTTTAACGTGATTACATTGTTGCATGTCTCCTTGTTTGGAACCATATATATGGGCTTTGGATTGTGGATTGTTGCTGAGTTCCACTCCTCCCCAAATACTCTTTGCATCTCCCCTGTAACACAGGAGAGACAACACAAGATAAACTGGTGGGAGCTATTTAATCTCTTTAAGAGCTATTTAAGCTCTTTTTTTGTTTAAGGTCAATTAAAAGACTGCCATCTGCGCTCAAAAGGCTGTTGATGGACATTCAGTGAAAATAATGTAATATTATGGCTGTTGGAAAGTTTTGGCTGGGGATTCACTGTTCTTTGTGGCTAAGTTGGTAAGAGTGAGAAAATATTTCAGCTGTTACATGAATTCTCTATCTTGACTTGTTACATGTATTGGGGTAAAGTAGGCAGACTACTGTCTACTATCCTCAGATTTTATGTAGATAACTTCTTGTGAGTTCTGTAAAGAGTAGGTTACAAATGAATGCATGCAACTGATCATTTCATGAGTGATTTGTAACCATAAGGCCTGGTGCCACTGGTACTCTTATGAAAGTGTGTAAAAGACATGCAAGTTTCAAATGAATTTATTTATTTTTCATTGTAATTAATTTGTTGTCAATCTATTAAGATGGATGATTTTCTTAGGAACATTTTTAACTCTAAGGATTACTCAGAGTTGCCTTGTTAAAAAGGCTCAATAGTTACTGCACTTCCTAAGGAAGAAATGGAAGAAAGTCTATTTAGATGTTTTGTCCCCAGTGTCTATGGATCCATGTTGGAGAGCAATAATCTAGGTTAGACAGCTCCAAAATCACTAACTGCAAGGTACTACAGTATGAAAAAGGCACAGTGATTTACTGATATTTCCCCTCCACCCATCAAATGCATCAAAGATAACAGGTGTCTGAGAAAAGCCCAAAGCATTCTCAGATCCCTCACATCCCAGCCATTGACTGTTCCCCTTTCTGCTATCTAGCAAGCATAATCAGAACATCCTGTTCAGAACATCAGACTCAGGAACAGGTTTCACCCTCAGATTATCAAACTGTTACTTCCCATCATTTCTAATAGTGGACTGATTTTACAACTAGTGAATTTTAATTGATTGAACTGTGTATATCAGCCTCATTTTCTCTTCACATCTAACATCGTTGAATTTAAGTTCTTAACATTTATCATTTAAGACCTTATTCAAAGAAAGTTCACCTAAGAGTCTCCAGTTTACAGTGTGAACACTTCACTCCAGCAGAGAGGAGCTCCACTCCAGAATCCTGAAGGTCATTGTTACTGAGGTCTAGTTCTTTCAGGGAGGTGTTTACTTGTTGTAAACTTGATCCCAGATTTTTACAAGATTTTTCACCAAGATTACAGATAGCTAATCTGCTAACACAGAGAAAATACAGAAGATTTTACAATTCATTGTCAAAACTCAGTAATCACACAAATATTTGTAATACTCAAAGAACGCCTTGTTTTACATTCACGATTTATAAAAGAATTCACAGAAATCTCACCTGAGTGACTCCAGTTTGCAGTGTGAACTCTTTAGTCCAGCAGAGAGCAGCTGCACTCTTGAATCCTGCAGGTAATTATTACTAAGATCCAGTTCTATCAGGGAAGAGTTTGCTGATTGTAGAGCTGATGAGAGTTTTTCACAGGAGTTTGTGGTAAGAAAACAGCCAGCTAATCTGCAAAAGAATAACACAGTAAACAAGTACAATTTTAAGAGAATGTAAAATTAAAAGAAATTTTTAACAACTATCCCACAACACAAATTATACATCAACAGATGGGCTAAGGCTCTGACTGTACACCCATAAGGTGGAGCTACAAGGGAGGGGTTTCTAATAAAGTGGACAGCGGGAGAAATTGGTCCTCTCATTATAAGATGGTGAAAGCAAAACACTAGATTTATTATCTTTTAGCTGCCATATGGTGTACCTGTATTATTAATGTATATATAACACTCACAGATCCTTTCTGCAGGCATTCACAGCTGGGATCAGTCTCCTATAATCCTCCTCTGAGGTGTTGTATTTCTTCAAGCTCAGCTCATCCAGCACCTCCTCTGAGTTCAGAAGCATATAGGCTAGTGCTGAACACTGTCCAGGAGAAAGCTTCTCCTCCGAGTGTTTCTCTGATTTTAGATATTCTTGAATCTCTCTGGAGAGAGACTGGTCATTCATTTCAGACAAACAGAGGAAAAGATCTCAGTAGATAGAGATCTGTCAGTTAAGAAGTAATGATTATCTTTTTCATCTCCTTTAATTAATTTCTTGATGTAGTCTGTGACTCTCTATGAGCTTTTGTGTCTTTGCGTCAGTAGGCCCTGCAGGCGTCTCTGATTGGACTCCAGTGAGATGCCCAGCAGGAAACGGAGAAAAAGATCCAGGTGTCCATTTTTACTCTCCAAGGCTTTATCCACTGCTCCCTCCAGTGGCCCATCCAGTGAAACATTCTCACACCACTCTCTGTGTCGAGGTTTAAACCGCTGCAATATCTCCATGTTCTTGCTCTCATAGCAGAGAAATACATAAACAGCGGCCAGGAACTCCTGACAGCTCAGATGAACAAAACAGTAGACCTTCCTCTGGTAAAGCACACATTCCTCCCTAAAGATCTCAGTGCAAATTCCAGGCCTCAGTGACATCAATGCACATTCTCTCAGGTCCTCTTAATAGAACATCACATTGCCCTTCATCAGCTGTTTGAAAGCCAGTTCAGCCAGTTTCAGAAGAATTGTTCTGTTGGACTCCAGCAGGTTCTTTGGATCTCTCTCATCTTTCTCCTAATACTTCTCATTCTTCATGTTGGTCTGAGTGATCAGGAAGTGTGAGTACATTTTAGTCAGAGTTTAGGGATTTCTGTATTTTGCTCTTTCATGATTTGAGGAAGAACAGTGGCTGAGATCCAGCAGAAGACTGGAATGTGGCACATGATGTGGAGGCTCCTCACTGTCTTAATGTGGGAGATCATTTTCTTGGCTTGGTCTTCATCACTGATCCTCTTCCTGAAGTATTCCTCCTTCTGTGGGTCATTGAATCCCTGAATTTCTGTCACACGGTTGATGTATTTAGGAGGGATCTGATTGGCTGCTGCTGGTCGAGAGGTTATCCAGATGAGGGCAGAGGGAAGCAGCTCTCCTTTGATTAAGTTTGTTATCAAAACATCCACTGATGATTTCACAGTTATGTCAGATACTGTCTCACACTGCAAAAAGTTCAGTGGAATTCTGCTTTCATCCAGACCATCAAATATAAACACAGCTCTGATCTGATCATAAATCTTTGGGTCCAGATCTTTGAGCTCAGGATGGAAGTCACACAGAAGTCCATGAAGACTGTATTGGTCATCTTTAATCAGGTTCAGCTCCCGGAACGGAAGCACAAACATGAAATCTACATCCTGATTGGCTTTTCCTTCAGCCCAGTCCAGAATGAACTTCTGCACAGAGACAGTTTTTCCAATTCCAGCAATGCCTTTGGTGGCCACTATTCTGAGCTTTTGTACTGTTGGTCCTTTGTCTTCCTTTCTGTCTTTCTGTGTGAGACCTTTAGCCAGCACTGCTCTAATGATCTCTTTTTTTTTCTCTTCCTTAGGACCTTGTAGAGGTTTGAAGATGTCTAAGCAGTTGATTGCAGTGCCTTGTAAATGTTTCCTAGCTGTTTTCTCCATCTGTAAAACCTCATGTTCTTCATTCACTCCTTCACTCTGTCCCTCTATGATGTAGAGCTGTGTATAAATCCTGTTCAGAAGAGTTTTATTCTCTTTTATTTTGATTCCCTCAAATAAGCTGTCATACTTGTTTTTAATGCTGGATTTGTGTCTCTCTAAGACTCTGTGTAGAACAACATGCACAGGTTGGTAAGAATCCTGCTGCAGGTTTCCAGTTCCCACCATCAGTGTGTCCATGTGTATCTGCAGTGCTGCATCTGCGGAGCACTTCCTGATGGAGATTAAACACAGAAACACAAAAACCATCAATACTAATGAATCTGCTTATATGCCAAATATCATATTCAGAGTTTTCCCATGACTTCATATCCAGACTTCACACAGCATAATTCAGTAATCAAGCCATTTTAATGACTGCGCTTCTTTCTGATGATAATAACTTCACATTCTTCTTGCTGTAAGAAGTTTTAATTATTAATCTAATTAGACTGAAATAGAGCAGTAGTAATACTATTTAAAATAATAATTATTTATAAATACTATATATCATACTATATATATATAAATACTATAAATAATAATAATCGTCTGTAAATATCTACAAATCATTGTTAAACATGGCTGTATCCAGCCAGTGACTGGACAGGCCAGTCTCTTTCTCCACTGCTTAGGGTTAAAGTCAGAGTCATGGAGCAACAGGAACAAAAGGAAGTTGTTCAGTTCAGTTCTGTGTTACACTGATGTATAATAACTCACTCTTGGTCAGAGGTCCCAGGTATGCTGCTAAAACCAACAGGATTCCCCATAGACCAGTCGCTCTTCATAGAGACACAGCTGGACACAGGACCAACTGCTCTCTTAGTCTGCAATCTAGAAACATCACACACAAACATTACAGATTCCTTGTTCATATTTAACTAATTAGATTATATTTGAGTTTTTTTTTAAGTAAGGCAACACTTGTTTTTAATATTTTAATGCAACAGCACTTTAACTGCTGATAACATACTTTCAGTACATAGAACCCTACTGAAGCTCATTCCATAGAACCCTACTATAATGTCCCACAGGACCCTTGTGAAGCCAAGCTTCAATTAATGGCAGATTCAACTGCATGCTGGAATCCAACAATGGTTATTGGACAGCAGGCTTTCTGCATCCTGTCTGGTTGCTGGGCTGCACTTGGAGTCTGTGAGACTGTTGAGAGTGCTTTTTGCATATTAGAACCATCTCAACACTTATTGGATGTAGAATGTCATTTTTGCCTGGACTGGAAAATGATTGATGGAGCTGTCAAAGGGGCGGGATCTCAAAACAAATAGTCAATACTGACAGTGTAGTGAGCATGACATCACCTTAAAATAATCATCAACTAAAAATAATCTGCCATTTAATAAATATTCAGTGCTACAGGAGAGTTGTATGTACAATAGCACTGGCATTGTTTATGTACATGTGTGATTTAGCAGCTACACAGTCATATAGAAATGTTTGGCATGTCAAATTACATTTTGTTCATTGTCAAAGTACATATTCTCTACACAGCAAACATCCTTTTTAATTTTAATGCAAAATTACTGTTTATTTGCTGAATTGAAATGGTGAAAAAATAAAACATTAAATGTGGCCTGTGCAAACTTTATGCCACATTTAGTATTTTATTTTTTTTTATTCATTTAAACTTTGCAATAAATATAAAATTGTGCATAAAAGTGCAATATAAGGAAGAATTACTGACCAGGCCAGTGGGGCCAATGCTCAGGGGCCAGTGATGCCCAGTAACCAAAGCCAAATTCCTTGTATGTGCAAGCATAATTGGCCAAAAGCTTGATTCTGATCCTGATTATAATGATATTAACATAATCAGGATTCCATAACCATAAAATTGACATTTTCCTTAGCCAAACTTTTTTTAATGCCAAAAATGTTTGTCACTGGTGTTGTCAGAACACTTCCATACATTTTTATGTATTTAGTCATATTTCAATTAAATATAGGGTATAAATGATTTGCACATCATTGCATTCTGTTTTTATTTACATTTGCACAGCATCCCAACTTTTTTGGAAATGGGGTTGTACATCACTCACATCCAGAGTATACATATATCATTTTTGCTTAATTTACTCATAAAATAATATTAAGTGACAATGAGGAGTGACAACATGTACGCTTTCAGAGGAACAAAGACTGAAAGCTCTGCTTTTGTTCAGTATTGATAATTTGTTGTTATCTCTCCACTGAACAGGTCAGCCTGTTCTACTGAGGGCAGAATACAGTCCAGTTACAGAGAACATGCAATACAGATCAGTTGAAAATGTCTGTTATCAGTAACCAGCCATCTAATTCCTCACCTGGTTGCACTTGTTAAACACAGATTTCAAAGCTAACAGCTACACAGTGAAGATGGGTAAGAATAACCTGCTTTTAGCTGTTCAGCTAAAACTGTTTAGCTTATTAGTAAGACAGAACTGCGTTTATTCAGCGTAAACTGTGTTTCTGTGTGGAGTCATGGATGCTGCTCTTGCTCTTCACATTACATTTAAGACCTGTGTTTATTGGTCATGTTTAGTTTACTAAGTACCGATTAGTTTACTGATACCGGCTCCTCCATTGATCGAAAATACACTGAACAGCAGTTACTGATTAGCTAGTGTGTTTTCCTTCACTGGCACTAAAGTAAACCACCGCTGCCCGTCCAGAGTGTTTCTGATCAGTAAAGCTGCAGTGCTGAGCAGAAGTGTGAAACTTTATGTGTGTTCAGGTTCATCAGCAGGTCGTTTTGAGGAGAGATGGAAAATGTGTGGCTTGAGAGCGTGAGATTAGACTTAAATGTGTGAGTCTCACTGCCAGTGCGTGAGAGTTGGCAGCCCTCTAACACTCTAGAACCCCATTGGGTGTAAATTATATATAGATGAGTTCATTATTGTTGTATGTCGTCCTTGTATTTATTAAATGTCTTTGTACGGTTAACTATGAAAGGCCCAATCCCATTTCTTATTTTTTCCCCTACCCCTTGTTTTTGAGTGTCACCTTGCCCCTTGGAAGTGAGCTACAGGGGGTAGTAGTTGAAATCTTTCTCTACAAAATGGAACAACCCTCAAATAAAAAGAGTGTTACTTCATTAACAGCTACTAGCGCTGCTCTGTAGGCGACCCTGCCAGTCTGCTGTGACAGCAGAGGAGGGTAAAGTTCAGTTCATCATATGACTGAAAAGAGGGGGGCAATTATTTATTATCACCCACCCCTAATTCTTCAGTGATATGAAGCTGAAGTCAGATATTCACCAGATTTTTGTTCAAATTTTTTCTGTTCCACCTTAAATGGTGCAGCAGTTACATTCTGGCGCTTCAGGCATCAGAACTGCTGGACTATTTAAGGTGGAACGGGAAAGTTAGCTAGCTACCGAGACATTAGCATGCTATTAGCGCTTTTTATGTTTGTTATGAAGAAAATGACCATAATACACTGAAACGACATTAAACTAAGATAATACGATAGTTGTCATCATTTTTAACAGGGAACATTCTCATATTTGTGTGTTTCTTTGGTCTCTGGTTCAGCCGTCTCGCAGTTTTTCTTTTTTTCTCATATCTCTCTGTTTGGAGTCTCTGAAAAACCTCTGTTTGGAGAGTCATGTAGCCCCAACACTTCACCCTACCCCTCTGTCTCAACCAGGATCAGGACACCCTACCCCTAGACGTGAACGCACAAAACGGAGGGTAGGGCTGAGTGGTAGGGGTGAGGGCTGAAATGGGACTGGGCCGAAGCGTACCTCATTCAGAGACTATTTTGTCCTGCACCCACTTCTAATTACTATTAATAATAAAAATGATTTCTCATATATATATATATATATATATATATATATATAGTAGTAATAATATACCCCAAACTTCTACAGCAATGTCACTAGTGTTACAGCTCTTTGTTGAGATTAAATGTTTGGATCTATCTTATAGCTTTTTAAATTGACTGTAATACTCCTGACTTTGTGCTTGTGGCGTTGTTTTCGTTCGTGTCTCTGTGTTTTTACCCCCTTCAGTCTGTTTACCTGTGCACTGTTTGTTACTCTTCTCTGTCCAGGTGGTTCTAGTCTTGTCTTTTCTATCCCCCATGTTTCCATCTTCCTATGTCTGGTTTTGTGTCCATCAGCTTCTTTTTTGTTAGTGCTTTTTGTTTGAGTTTATTCTCTGTTTTGTCTTTTCTTCCTGTTTCTCAGCTGTGAGTGTTTTTGTTTTTTTAGTATTAGTGTTGGTTTATTAAACTTGAATCTCTTGCCTTCATCCTGTCTCCATCACCTCCTTATTGTGACATCTTATTGATCAGTTTATGTACTTTTCCTGTATGTAACGTGCGTGCAGGAATTTTTACCTAATTTTTTTCAATAATGTACAAAAATACATTTGAATGTATTTCCATTAAAATTGTTAATTCTTCATTAATAGATTATATTAACAAATGTATTGACATATTTAGATTTAGGAATTTAGGAATTTCGTTTTTTAATTCCAAATGCCATTTTATTGTCTTGTTTTTATTTATTTATAATAAATAAGTTTTATCAAGGAGACTCATTACTCAACTGTTTACTCTCATCATTAGTGATGATTTAATCTGAAGAAACAAATCTATTCAATTCATGAGTCTCTTTAATAAAACTTATTTAGTATAAACTTAATCAAAACAGAATAGATCTTATTTGTTTTTCTCAGATTAAGCAGTGATGTAAAGCTACTCACTTTGGGTCAGAGGTTCCTCCACCTCTGCTGGAGTTATGAAGATCCATCATGCAGCGCTCAAATTAAACACTAATGAGCTGAACACAACACACAGTGTCATTATCATCATTAAATATGACTCTATATTCATGCAAACTGACAACCAACTAGCTACTGATATTGCACTCAAAGGTTACAGACAACAGTCCAGTTAAATCTGTCCATTCGAATAAACATTTCTGATGTTTGTGTCGACATATTTCACTGTCGGCCATTTAAAAAGGACTAGTAGTTTAGTCCACCAACCAGCTGAGATCAAAAACCTGTTCCTGCTTTAAATGTATTCGTAGTGGAGAAGTACACCTAGCGGTCACTTCATTAAGTCCACCTCCTTGTTTCTACACTCACTGTCCACTGTATCAGCTCCACTGACCATATAGTTTCACTCTGTAGTTCTACAGTTACAGACTGTAGTCCATCTGTTTCTCTGATACTTTGTTAGCCCCCTTTTACCCTGTTCTTCAGTGGTCAGGACCCCCATGGACCCTCACAGAGCAGGTACAATTCGGGTGGTGGATCATTCTCAGCACTGCAGTGGCACTGACGTGGTGGTGGTGTGTTAGTGTGTGATGCCTCTTTTTCCACCATTGCCCACTGAGTGAAAGACACTATAGGGACTCAAAAGTGGAATGATTTGGTCCTTGTAGACCAAACACACATCACACCTGCAATACATCTGTAAAGGGTTGAACTGAGAATCAAGTATCATTACGTCAAAATAAAGACTTACCTTCTCAAGATTTTCATTTAGTAAGTCAATGGAAAAAATGAGTCATTATCTTCAAGAAACTGTGACCTTTTAATGTCAAGCTTTTATTTTGAGAAAGCACAGCTTTATTTGAATATAACAAGTAAGAAATCTAAAAGAAATATTTTTTTTTACTTATTTATTTACTGTGTCATAAATAAATTACATTAATCTTATACTTATCTCTTATCTTTCATTTACATGCTTTTACATAATTTCCTTTGGGAACAATTATCTGTATTCAACTCAATGTTTAATCTTAACCCTAAACATAAGCAAATGCACAAAGACACACATTATATTAATTATGGCTGTGCCTGTAACAGAAGCTGTTTACAGGTTAAGATGCTCAAATTAAACACTAATGAACTGAACACAACACACAGTGTCATTATCATCATTAATATGACTGTATATTCATGCAAACTGACAACCAACTAGCTACTGATATTGCACTCAAAGGTTACAGACAACAGTCCAGTTAAATATGTCCATTCAAATAAACATTTCTGATGTTTGTCTCGACTGTCAGTCATTTAAAAAGGACTAGTAGTTTAATCCACCGATCAGTTAGGATAAAAACCTGTTCCTGCTTTAATCTGCTTTAACCTCCACTTCAGTTTTCCATTTCTAGTTATGCTAGTTATGATTTTACCGTGTTAAATCGTGTCAGGAATCTTCTTTCCTTCTCTACTGAGGCTTCTTTACCTGCTCAGGTGAGTTACTTCCGTTTTTTTTTCTCATTTGAGGAAGTAGTGCTTCGATCACTCAGGTCCATTCAAATTTCCCTCACAGATGATTCTTCAAACTTGTGCTAAAACTAAAAATGACCTGATTACTTTCCAGTGCGTCTTTTAGAAACACTTATTACAAAGTTATTACATCAAATGGTTATGAATTCACAACCTGATGACTGAGACACTGTGACCTTCTAATGTCAAGCTTTTATTTTGATAAAGCACAGCTTTATTTGAACATAAGTAAGAAATCTAAAAGAAATATTCTTTTTTTACTTATTTATTTCACTGTGTCTGATCATTTACATAAATCTTATACTTCATTTACATGATTTACATCATTTCCTTTGGGAACGATAATCTATAATCAATTCAATGCAGATTCATTCAGTATACAGATCCTGATGTTTAATCTTAACCCTAAACATAAGCAAATACACAAAGACACACATTGTATTAATGATGGAAAGTAAAATACACGTTCCTCTGATTTTCTGCTTCAGTTTGAGTCATCAGGGCATTATTCGTGGCTGACTGCGCTTCCTCCGGTGTCCACTGGGTGGCGATGCAGGACAGTGAAACCACAGCAGGGGAAACCACGGCAACCAGCAACAGTGTGGAGAAAACAAACACAGTAAATAGTGAAATAGTGAATTAATCGACCTAACAAAGTACAGTTTTGTCCTGTAATGACCCTGAAGACACAGCAGAGCCGTCTCGCTGAGTTTATAACTCAGTCTGGAGGTTTATGAAGCTGCATGTTTGTAAACACAGAGCTGCTGGTCTGCTTTACTCACAGACTCGAGACTAATCCAGTTTATCAGGCAGTTTTAGTGTTTCAGGCTGTTTTTAGCGATTTGTCCGCTCTGAGTCAACTGAACTGAACTGACCCGCCACATCCGGGTCTCCTCCCTCGGGCACGCGGTTGCATTGTGGGACATGACGTTCTGAGCTCTGTATACTCCGTATTGGCCGTTCGCGATCGCTCGTGGCGCGCGCTGCTGTGTTCTCGCGGTGTTTCGCGCAGTCGGCGGCGGAGTCTCGGGCTGCGCTCCAATCTGCGGACCAGTGCAGTGAGTAGGGCGCTTAGCTAGTGCGCAGCGCGGGGAGCGGAGAGTGCAGACCTGCGCCCTCTGGCCTCTTGTAGAACTAAAATACACGTAAACTACAAGTAAACTACGAAACCCACAAATCAGTGCGGGCACTACTTTTTTAAAAAGATGATTCTTCAAGAGTTCTTCAGGAAAGGGTTCTATTCGGAACCACCATGAGTCTTATTTAGAGCTTAAAAGGTTCTCCGGATGGTGAAATTGTTCTTCAGAATGTGTGGTATGTGGTTCTATATAGAACCTTTTTGAAAATGGTTCTGCACCAAAAAGGGTTCTGCTCTTGTTATAATGTCAAGCTTGTAAGAGTGGCAGAACCTATTTTGTGCTATTATAGAACCATATACAACACATTCTCCATCTAAGGAACCATTTCACCATGCAGAGAACCATTAAACATGTAAATGGTTCTATGTCTATCTCTTGGTTCTAAATACTCTGCTGAAAAAAAACAAAAAAACATTACAGACCAGCGAGCGTTCCATGCTGGTTTATGCTGGTCTGGTGCCGGTTTTGCGGGTCACCCCAGCATGGTCATACTGGTTGACCACAATACCAGCATTACGGAACTTAACACATGCTGGTTTTGTTGGTGTTGCTGTTCTTTGCTGGTTTTTTCTAGCAGGGTAGGACCATTCCCTTTACTAAAGAACCCTTGAAGAACCATCTTTTTTAAGAGAGCAGGATGCGCTACAGTGACATTATCCACCCGACACGCTTTGTAGTCGTTTATATTTCTGATCGAGACGGTTAAATTTAGAGAACACATACAGTTTAGAACCTTATTTACATATTTAAATGAGCCGAACAATCTGAAGAACCATTCCACTATGCAAAGAACCATTCAAACATGCAAATGGTTCTGTATATAACCTGTTTGAAAATGGTTCTATATAGCACCAAAAAGAGTTCCTTTATTGTTACAGGCTTGACATCATAACAATCACAGAACCCTTCTTGGTGGTATACAGAACACACTTTTGGTACTATGTAGAACACATTTTCAAAAAGGTTCTGCATAGAACCATATACAACACGTTCTCCATCAATCTGAAGTACCATTACAACATGCAAATAACTATTTAAGCGTGCAAATGGTTCTGTATAGAACCTGTTTGAAAATGGTTCTATGTAGTCCCAATAAGGGTTCTTCTATTGCTACAAGCTTGACATCAGCAAAGGAACCCATTTTGGTACTTGGTAGAACCGTATACTATGTATGAACCATTTCATCATGCAGGCAACCGTTAAGCATGCAAACGGTTCTATATAGAACTCACGGTTCTAAACAGAACCTTTTTTAAGCGTGTACAGTTTTATGGTGTAAACACACACAATCATGTAAATGCAAAAAACACGCTCCAGAGTAGCGTTCTACTTAGGGCCCTAGGTAGTGGAGGAGTGTGCGGATTGGAGCGCGCCCCTCCCTCCCTCGCTGCCGTGCTTCCTTCCTGGGGCTGTTTGAGGTAGCGTACGGGATTAATGCAGTGTTCGGAGAGCAGCCCGGAGAGCAGGAGCGGAGGGAGGGAGAGAAACGGAGGGAGAGAAAAAGACTAAAACTGCACTTTAACGCACTGAGACCGGCGCGCGGTGCCATGTACGGGCGGAGAGGAGGGCGCGCGGCGAGATGAGGAGCTGTTTGATCGCCCCGCTCGCGAGGACGCGCACGAATAAGTTGGCTATTTTGTATCGCGGCTGTAAAAGTTAACCGAGACAACAGAGCCCTCATCCGGGTAAGTTCACCAGCTTTACCACCCATAAACAGAAAGGGAAAGAGAGGAGGAGAGAGGGAAGAGGAGGGAAGGGAAGAGAAAGAGAGAAAAGGAGAAGAGACTCTGTTTTGTGTTTAGAGGAGAGATGAAGCTGGAGTTGGCTTCTGATTGGACTTCTACGTTCCACCTTAAATGGGGCAGCAGTTACATTCTGGCGCCTGAGGCTGAGAGTGTAACTGCTGCCCCATTTAAGGTGGAACGGACAATTCCAATCAAAAGCGGAACTGAACTTTATTTACACGTTGGTGTTTACTCGTCCTGTGTGTGTGTGTGTGTGTGTGTGTGTGTGTGTGTGTGTGTGTGTGTGTGTGTGCGCGCGCGCGCGCTGCACTTTAGGCCCATTAAAGTTGACTTAAGGTGGAGTTTAAAGACCCAAAGGCCGGTGCTGGTTCTGAACACACTGAGAGTCCCCCCTCAGTCCGGAAGGGTGTACTGATTTCAGCACAGCTTTGAGGAATCAAATGTGAAAATGGAACTGTACACGCCCCTTTCACACCTTTCACACCTTTCACACCTGGCACACCTGGCTAGGGATGTGGGCAAGGGTGCCAGGGGAATTCCACCCATTTTTCAAAACTTCCTACATGAATGGTTAAGATGTAAACAGAGTGGTTCAGAGTGGTTTGGTGTGAAACACTCCGTTCTAGAGAATCTTACAGAGTCAGAACTGTTCACAGTGGTGGTGATAGGAACCAGACGTCCACCTCTAAAAGCTCCTCACAGAAAGTTCCTACATGAAATGGTTATGAATTCACTGCCTGATGACTGAGACACTGTTTTATGATAGTTTTAGAGAACTTTTGAGAACTCCATTCATGGTGGAGGGATACATGCAGGGCGCTGTGAGGCAAAATAGTCCCCAAAGAAAACGTATTATTTCAGATTTTCCACTATTTTCATCATCATCATTCCATATAAGCTCAGAAGACTCGTGTAGGTTCACTGGTGGTTCTGGATAGTAAATAAAATGTCTATATCTGTGTTG